CACTACTGAAACTAGTAGTTGTAAGTAGGACCTGAAAAAAATTTAAGGCCCGTACGGGATTTGAACACATGACCTCTGCGATACCGGTGCAGCGCTCTACCAATTGAGCTAACAAGCCAACTGGGAGCTGGTCAATGAATTGGGTACAAATAAACATCAGAGTGAATGAAGATTTAGATATATGAAAATTCACATATTTGCACTGCGGTGGAAAGATGAAATTAGAAGATCCTCGCAGCTAAGAACACTACTGAAACTAGTAGTTGTAAGTAGGACCTGAAAAAATTTTCAGGCCCGTACCCCATGACCTCTGCGATAATTAACTAGGAGCTGGTCAATGAATTGGGTACAAATAAACATCAGAGTGAATGAAGATTTAGATATATGAAAATTCACATATTTGCACTGCGGATGATTGTACCCAATTCATTGACCAGCTCCCAGTTGGCTTGTTAGCTCAATTGGTAGAGCGCTGCACCGGTATCGCAGAGGTCATGGGTTCAAATCCCGTACGGGCCTGAAAATTTTTTCAGGTCCTACTTACAACTACTAGTTTCAGTAGTGTTCTTAGCTGCGAGGATCTTCTAATTTCATCTTTCCACCGCAGTGCAAATATGTGAATTTTCATATATCTAAATCTTCATTCACTCTGATGTTTATTTGTACCCAATTCATTGACCAGCTCCCAGTTGGCTTGTTAGCTCAATTGGTAGAGCGCTGCACCGGTATCGCAGAGGTCATGGGTTCAAATCCCGTACGGGCCTGAAAATTTTTTCAGGTCCTACTTACAACTACTAGTTTCAGTAGTGTTCTTAGCTGCGAGGATCTTCTAATTTCAAAAACGAAATTGTTTATCCGATCATCCGTGCTATTAATCACACGAGAAAGAGCCTCCTTCGATGGCTAATTTAGGATCAGCGTGTGATCAACCAAAAGACAAGATGCGTTCTTTTTTCACAAGACTATGTGTTCAAACAAATTTGAATTTGAAAACCGAGCGTGAAAAACCGTTCATGACAGAAAAACCTAACCATAAACATACAATCGGTATTTCGATCGCTTTTCAGTTTTGATCCTACTTCAGAAGTTTTCCGGTAAATTGTTCCCTACCAATTAACTTAGAAGAAAGAAAGATAGAAAGAAGAAATTCGACCATTTTCAATTCACCAGCACCGTAAAAGCATAAGAAACGGCGAAATATCTATACCCATAGATATCGCTCGATATGAGTTAGATCTATTCCTTGAAATCAGACAGATTATTATTTTGAAAAATAATTTCTCTGGTACATGTTTTTTTAAAAGGGGCCATAATTATTGAACTAAAAAATGGCTAAAACGAAAGTCATTTAAATGAGAATAAAAAACAAGCGGTTATTATGGAAAAATGTCCCTTGAAAAGTGATTAAAAAGACATTAAATTGTCCTGGGGGTTCAACCCTTTCAGCATGAAAAGAAAAGCAATTAGAGGAGCCATTTCATCGCGGAGATAAAACAACGTTCGAGGAATATCCTACTGGGTCAGTAAATATATTTCCGTAGATTTTGAGTCGAGAACTGAGCAATCTGAAAGATCAATGCTGGTGTTGCTGAATTCGAGGAGGTATTAGAAAGAGCTCTTTGTCCAGCTAAAAAAACTTCGGTTTCGGCACAGAAGCCACTTGAGAATAACAGTTTAGCCTGTTATAGATGATATCTCTTTCTCTGTTAATAGTGAAGTCTAGACGCTTTTCCCAAACAAGATATATGATGATTGTCAGATGTCTATTGAAACTCGGACTTTGCACGAAAGAAAAATTAAGGCGTTGGAGGGCCCATCTAACGGGAAATGGCAAATAACTAAAATGGAAAAACCTAAACAGCGCGCCTCTGACTTAACGGTTCGGCCACAATCACCAGCTACCAAACTCATTTCTATTTGAAAACATACTTCGCATTCGGTATTTTCTTTGCTGAAGAGTGATAGTGCAGGGCGTTAGCATGACATGAGTAGGATTGACGGTTAATCTTGGTGGCTGTTCTGGTTTCTGCTACTAGCCTCGATGGCGTTTAGACCTCTGATCCGTATTGTCCTCGGCGTCTTTATGATAGAATTTCACATATTTCCAAAAAGTACTCGACAGGCAGCTGCCTAGAGGAGTCCTGGGAGCGCAATTTATTAGTCATTATGACATCACAATTGTCACCAACACTGACAGCGAATTACACGTCACTAAGCAATTGTAGTTACTGCCCCAGATTTTCAAGTATTTCGAGAAATTCTAAGAAGCGTGTAGCATTCTTTTCGGTGTCCCAATGTGCGGCTCATTGTTGTCGAAATTCAAGAAGTCAAGAAAAAAGATTAAATCTTCCTCTGATACGTATTTCCAAGACCGAAGACGAGAAACTAATTTCGATGACCACCCGAAGGTGGTGCAGATACGTGGTCTTATTAAGAAAATGCTCGAGGAACATGAAAAAACCAAGATCAAAGCTCCCAGAAGCACAAGCAAACGGAATGAGAAGACACGATCAAAATCTAAAACTAAGGAGACGACTGCGAAAAAAGAAACTGCTGTCCTAACAGCAGAATTCGAAACTGGAAGTTCACACGCATGTCTACCATTTTCACAGGTGGTCAAGGCTTCTAGAGACATCACAAACTGTACCGACAACTGCCATGATTCAAAGGTCGAGACAGGAGCAAAAAAGGACCCGCACGCAATGGAGATGAGACGGTCTCCGGCTGAAGGATACCGCTTGTTACCGATTATCCATCGCTCAACAATCACCATTCAGAAGGTGAAGGAAATGGCTAAGGAAATGGCTAGGGAAGAGGAGCGATTTAAAAAACGGAAGACCAAAAAGGTGGCTAAAAGGAAGTCAACTGGAGAAGCGAAAAATAAGGAAAAGCCTGCTTCAAAAATCAACCCAAGAACGAAGTCGTGTAGCCAAAAAATGACCAAACAAATGTTGTGTACACAAAAGCCAGTCATGCAAAAATGCACCAACGAAAGCCTAGCTAAGGAAATGCTACTTAGAAAGCAGTTTATTACTAAGCGGTTGACCAAAGAAAAGTCATATACAGAAGGGCTGCAGGTAGAAACATTCAACAAAGAAAAGAAATGTGACAAAACGGTGGTTTATAATAGGTTGCTGGTTGGAGAAAAGTCTTCATCGAGCAAGTCATCTCCCACCTCTAACAAAATGGCGTCGAAACCCCTAAATTTCGCTTACACGATCCTTCTTGGCAGAACTAAAAGCGCCATCGCTTTTAAAGTTCTCACTGATGGCAAACGTAAGGAAACAGTTCTGCTTTCAGCCAGGGTACCAAAACAACTCCGTAAGCTTGACAATCCGCCCAAGCTTACTGCTGAAATGATGGCTGAAAAGCAACTGGCCGTTCAAGAGAAAAGACTTAGAGAACTGGAGCGAGTCCGAAACTGCGCTCGCGCTTGTGCGCGGCCCGTTAAGAGAAACACCGCCGTCCACTAATTAACATTTAATTACGCAGTATGGACGAAAAGTAGCGTTGCGCGATCAAAAGATTGGCAGTGCAGGAAAACCATCAGAGGCTCTGCATCAAGCTTTAAAAAGATAAAACCGAGCAACACAACGCAAGATAAGATCGTCATTCGAAGATAACAACAATGTGTGATGTCAAACAGCTTGCTTATCATGAACCATTACGACAGAAAACAACTCATTCATTCCCTGAATTTATTTCTTTGTTTCCTTGTTCATGAGGTTTAAAGAATTTAAGAAAATATTTGGAAGGTTCTCTTCCCTCTAATGAACTCAGTTCACCTTATTAAGTGTAAATATGATGGATATACACCGTAAGTTACGAACTTTAATCCACATGGTGCAAATATTCCTCTTACAGCACAATACGCGCTGTAACCTGTGAACACAACTTTCAATCGATCAATCGTCTCTTTTTTATTGGAAAGCTGTTGCTGACTCCTCCAATATCCTAGCGTTTAAGGTGACCTTAATAGCTACATACCTTAGAGAGGTTTCAAAGAGGGGGCTATAAAAACAGATTTTTTTACTGATTTTTGCTTATTTGGCATCTACATTGAAATTAACTTTTCACGTGTTTACAAAGCCTCGCCTAGAAGATTAATTAAAGACAGTCATACACAGTTTGAGGTTTGCATAATCTGCGAGAATTCTCTTACCTCCCCGAGCGTTGGAATGAGGTAATGTAAAGCGGGGAAACGTCTTCTATTGTATTTATAACATATTTCTCAAAAATACGCACGAACACAAAGCATCACAATCGTGTTTACAAAATCTCGTCTATACGTATTTATCGATAATAAGGGCGATGATTTTCAAGCCCAAGAAGATTTCGGGTCATTTTGAGAATCGCACACCTGGTCAGTGTAATCAGAACGAACAAACAACTTTCAGCAGGAATGATCAACGTCTTCATGACAAACAGATGAACGGAACAGAACACAACCATGGTGACGAACCAAAACCACGTCATCTTGATCCTCCCAGCCAATTGAATCTCAATAATATTAACCAAATTGTTTCGAACTATACATTTAAAAGTCGACTGACTGACAAAGCTAACTAGAAGACCTCTTAAGTGCGATCGTTCTCACTCTCAGCAACTTGGACGATTCTTTTCATCACTACCCCAGCAAAGCGATCACACCGTAATAACCCTTTTAGGAAAATTTCCAGTCGAGTGTTGAAAGTAATCTGGTATTACTTTGAAAAAAGGGGGTAATATAAATTTCTACCGAAACTGTGGTGCTGCGTCGGTGGGAGAGTATAGCAGGGTACTTTAGAATTATCAACTGAAATGATAACGTATCACTTTAGTTTTGCAGCACTTCGCTGTGTCTTTGGTCCAGAAACCTCGCAACATTTTCACAACCAATCAGTTCAAAAATAAAAATAGTCGCGACTTGGTCACTGAAGATTTCCCGCGCTTCAAGCAGTTTGCGTGTTTTCCCTCTGAAATCTCAATCAACCCGTTGTGATAATTTTTATCTCTTCTGATTGGCTGTTTTGGTTGCATTCGTTTTGGTTTTCAGAGTTCAGGCGAGTTTGTCAGCTGAACCTTCATGATAATGCTGTTCCACGATATCTCCACAGTGGCGACGATTCATAAAATCACGAAACTGTTGGGGGGTCCTCCACGATAACCCTCCAAACTAATTAAGGTGGACATGACCTTAACACATCACAGATCATTTCGAACTCATTAAAAACGTCGACCAAGCACCACAATAAAGCGTTTTAGGTTTGAGCCTCAATGACAATAGGGCTGCTACTTGCGTCGGCGCAGATCTGTCCACTCGGTCTCCGTGTCCGAGTTGGCCATAGTAGCCTGGAACATAACAAATTTACGTCATTACTGCGGTTACGTGGTGTAGGTCGACGACAGTTGAATCAGTCGTGTGAGGTAAGAGCCATCAGTTGATCGAAACGTTTAAGCAACGTTATAAAAATCTTGTGCAAATGTTGATCAAAATCACTCAAAGGTCTACTCTCCCTGTTTCTACACATTAATTATCTTTTAGGACTGAGGACATTTAATAAATTAAAGCAAGTATTTCAATAATGAGGAAAAAGGGGGTTAGTTTCTACAGAAACTGTGGTGCTGCATCGGTGGGAGAGTATAACAGGGTAATTTAGTGTTATCAACTGAGTTGAAAACGTAAATTGGCCTTCGTCAGAGTGATTGGCTATAGGGCTAACGCTCGAAACTTCAGCCTTTAAACTCTTCCCGGAGGCCAATTTACGTTTTCAATTTAGTTGATAACACTTAATTACCTTGTTAATTCATTTAAGGATCGAGTTCCTTTTAAATACAAGGGAAATTCGAATAGCAAATTCAATCCACCTATCCTTTGATAGATTGATAGACGCATAAAAAAATGGATTTCATTGATTTCATTTTCAAAACACAGAGAGTTGTGTCCATGAAATGAATATTCACTGTTCCTAATGCATAACAGAAGCAAGGATAGGAAAAATTCTTCCCATTTTTCCTGGGAGGAAATTTGAAGGTAAAGGATGGCCACTGGTTTTGACTTCATATTGGTTTAAGTTATAGTTTTCTCTCCAAGAAGTCTTACAGGACATTCAAAACCGTCATGAACCAAAGCTACTTTAACAGAGAACTACATTAATATGAGCCATGTTTCATTTTTTCTGCATTTCCTGAGCATATTTAGGTTGAACACAATATCTATTTAGACAGTAAAAAAATGGTGCTTTTTTAACCAATGTTACATGCTTGTTAAAAATAATTTTACATAAACAGAAAAATTCATTCAAACTTACCCCAACCCCATGTCCAGACACTCCCATCTCCTGTTAGCAAAAAAATTAAACCAAGATTAGTCACACTAACTAATTGACAGTGAGGTAAATGGGTCAGTTCTCCTCTTTTTTTATCTCCTACAAACCACTAAGCTTCTCTTTAAAATGTTGGTACAAAAAAGTTATGCGAGTCAGTCCTGATTATTTTTAAGGTGGATGTCTTATCCACCGGATAAAATAAGCAACACATAAATTGTTCATAAACACTCCTTGTCTTGATAACAATTTATCCCTGGACAGTGTTAATTGTCACCACCATTGAAACAACAATTAACAAAAGAGTGACTTCCCAAATGTCCCCTCATTTCAACCTAAAACAAAACAAAAGTTGAACAACAACAGCAAACCACACTGCCAAGTTAGGGGCTGCAGGGAGGACTAATTGACAAATACAAAACAGGAAAAACTGTCAAAAAACCATCTACATGTCAGCTCTCCAACTGGATCTAGTAGGTCATGATTTACTGTATCCTGTGTTTGATCAACAAATTCTAATAGGTACCAATGCCTATTTGCATATCAGTTGGAGATGGTGATACCCATCTACTCCTCCCCCCTCTCACCTTCACCTCCTGTCTCTCCCCTCTCTTTGTTACAGAACACAGTCATTTTTTTAAATGAAGTAAGAATTTTCACATTGTTTCCTTTCTCTTCCAGTACTTCCTATCCTTACCACTTCAACACCCAAGATTTTCATAGAGAATTACAGTAGACAGAGAATTGCAAAAAGTAACAAGGATATTCCCCACTCCTGAATGAAAAATAGATCAAGCAATTGAAATTTAGTTGGAATATTCTGCTATATAGTCAGAGTAATCTCTGAGCTCCAGTGCCTGATGTACAACTTGTGTTAAAACCCTCCCCTACCATTCTATCAACCAAGCTCATTCTTTCCCCCTCCACATACCAAGAACTGCTGCTGTGTGCCTTGATCCACAGCTGACCATCAGTACCTCTAAATCATCTGGAAAGCTGACAGGAACTGGCACTGTCTGACATTGAACCTGGCCACCACTTGACGACAGTGTGTCATTTGGATTGACAGCCAAACCCAGCTGCCCCTTCTCATTCCATCCCCACATGTAGAGGTCACCAAATTCTGACAGCAACACAAAAAGAACAAATCAAACTTAAGAAAATCTACTTAGCTCAAAAAACAAATACCACAGATTTACATGTTCATAATCCATCAACACTTACTGGACAGAAGAAAACTATTAAAAATGTGTTACCTGTGGAGTCTTATATCTGAGGATTCATGTGTGAAGCAGTAGGAGTGTAAGTTGAATTTTCTAACCAAAGATAAGTAAAAGTCCTTCAGCTCTGGAATTTGGAATAATTTTCTTATTAAAGGAAAAAATCAAAAAACCATGACAAAAACGTTTGGAGCATGCTAACATGGACACTTCCTTTCCAAAAAGCACTAATTCTACCTACATCTGGCCAATTAAGGTCAAAGTGACCAGAGGGGAGCAATATTAATTTTCCTGCCCTGTTGATTATACAGCAAACATTAGGAAATGTACTTAGGCTATTCCAATTGAATATTTGGCTTCTCTTCTCTCACCACTTATTGCTGCTGAATGCCAGCCACCTGCTGCTATAAACAGCATTCTGATTCCTTCCAGAGCTGGAACAACCTCTGAACTTTGCTCTTCAACTATTAATCCACGACCAAGCTGTCCACGACTAAAAAAAGCAAACAAAAACCTATTAGTTGGTTATTTTGTCAGAAGTTTTCATTAGTCGGTCCCTGGGTCTCATCCCATGAAAATTAGTGAGTCTGAGACCCAAACGATTGGTTCCATCCTCTGAGAGATTATTCTTGTTAATATAAAAGCTTAACAAAGTTTACATTTCAAACATCAACAAAATACAGTTTTTAATTAAGTACTAACATTACCAAGGAACACATGCTTTCTTGAAAATGCAAACAACTTAACGGTAATTGTTTTTTTAATACTTGATACTTACGCTCATAATCATAACAAGCTTTGCCTTCAAAACCCAATGACAGGTGCATTCTGACTGGAAGTTCAATTCCCTTTAGTTTAAAAATTTGACTTTGAGGCTTGAGGGGGGTTGTTGTAAGTCATAAAGGGGTAAGTTTCTAAAGAAACTGCGGTGCTGCGTTGGTGGGAGAGTATAACAAGATAATTTGATTTTGTCAACTGAGTTGATGACGTAAATTGGCCACCATAAAGAGTTTCAAAGCCTGATGACAACGGTGGCCAATTTACGTTAGAAACTCATTTGATAATACCAAATTAACCTTGACGTACGTAAGTAAGCATAATTTGCAAAAGCTTCCCCAGGTGACTTGAAAGCTATTAAAAGAGGTTGACTTAAATATAAGCTCATAAATGGAACGGTCTACCTTATTTTTCCGATTTTTCCACTTGTGTTTAAGGCTGATATAAATTTATAGCTCGCCTTTTTCTAGCCAAGACTAACCCTTGTTTAACCCTCATCAGGGTGTCTTGTCAAGTTGAATTTTCACCTAGAAACCCCGGTTTGGATTTTTCTTTCTCCTCGATCGCGATTAATTCAAATAATAGGGGGTTTTGAAGAATTTGGCGGGCTTTCAACGCGCGTACATTAATCCATATTTGGTACGCCCTCGTTACCAGGGTCCTGTCGGCATTAAGAAATACGTAACCACGCAATCAAAATGGCGGCGTCTGTAACGCTTCGAATTCATTTAAAGACTGTGCGATTTTACGCCCCTATCTGCGTCGGTATATTAATTATAATATATAGATTTAGCCAAGTCTAAAAGCGTACGTCTCAAGGGCACAACGCCTTGCCGCGGCCAGGACTAGAACCCGGGTCGTCCGACTCGGAGCCCAGTGCCCTCTACGGTCGTACGGTCGTACATCCAAATTTTTTCGGCTTGATGGGTTACTACTATTTTGTATAATTATGGGGCTACGCTCTGCGAGCTCCGCTATTATCACATAAACTGTGGTGTTATAGAGGGATTTCCGGCCCTGAGAAAAGCCGTAACAACACACGCGAGAAAATATCGTATTTTTTTCCACATGAGTTGATATAGCCAATCAGCTGGTGACACATCACTCGCCTTTGGCGCCTTTGGCGCCACTCGGTCAGGTTGATGAATGAACGGCAAAGCCTTCACGATTCTCAATACAAGGTAGGTTGTCGGAACTTTCACAGATTGTGGCGGTTAAAACACTGAAAAATCCGTATCGCTGACAGACAGTGAGGTTCAAACTTTTCTAGAAGGGGAAAAACCAATGTACAAAAAGAAAAACCGAAAGTTACGTATTCAGTGGCTTTGGTGTTGGCATTTCTCGCGGCTGAGAATGAAAATCGACAACAGGAAGATTTGCCGCTGGCCGATTTTGGCCGTTTACCTGAAAGACTTCTTCGGTCGGTAAGGACAAAGTCAATAAATGAGAATTTTGTAACTTGAAAATTACGACCATTATTGTTTTTGTAATCGTGATTCAACGCATTTTTCCATCCTAAGAGTTAGCGCCAACACACTCCACGATTGTTATTTGGGAATTTTCGATTCATTGATTTTCATTCATTAATGAAGTTGGCTCTTCTTGTGGGTAAAGGGCTATTGTGTTTATATGATAAACAAAATAATACATGGTTGCTTGTAGATACAGAATTTCTCTTCTCGGCTGCGCCTCGTGTGCCACTTTTTTGTTCTTACCACATTTTGACTTCATCTGTGATCTATTACTGAACAGACGCACGGCAACTTGGAATCTATTTGTTAAATATATAATTAAATTACACCGTTAGTTAACGGTGTAAAATCTTACAGTAAATACATTACTGACTGGAAGAAATTACGCCGTTAGTTACAGGCGTAAAATCGTACAGTATATATATCACCGACTGGAAGAAATTACGCTGTAAGTTACGGGCGTAAAATATCACAGTATATATATACTACCGACTGGAAGAAATTACGCCGCTAGTCACTGGCGTAAAATCTTAAAGTATGTATATACTACCGATCATGAATGAAATTACACCGTTAGTTACTGACGTAAAATCTTACAGTATGTATATACTACCACTGAATGAAATTACGCTGTCAGTAACTGGCGTAAAATCTTACTGCATATATAATATAACACCGACTGAATGAAATTACGCCATTAGTTACTAGCCTAAAATTTTACAATATGTAAATTGCGGGAGTGTTTCTTTTTTTTTCTATTACCTCTTGGCGAGACCACCATAGTAAATGGCGCGGCAAACTTTCAGTCAAGCTTGAAAAGTGACAGGGCATGAACAGCTTTTACGGTCATTGCGTTTGTAACAACTTTCTTACGGTAGAGTGGCATGTGTGCTCCTGGTTGGTTCCAAATCACGCCGCATTTGCGCCTTTAAGCATCCTTCGATAACCTAATTATAAGGCCCAGTTCATACGCCGTACTTCAGCCGAGCCGAATCAAATTCAACGAATTAACTTCATCATATGTGTGAAGTACGGCGTCTGAACCAATTCGGAACGGCTGACTTAATTTAGGTCGGATCAGTCAATTCATCCCCCGCCTGGCTCAGCCGGGAAGAACGGCTGTAGGCCGGCTTTGATTCAGACACTGTACTTCAACTCAGCCGAACCAAATGCATAAATTATTTTAATGTACTTTTCATGCTGTCTTTACGCGAAAGCATGCGCAAAATAGTGTTTTGTAGGAGAAAATGGCGGCCTGGCGGGCCAAATTAAATGATGGTGACATGAGTTGTTAGTGTTTCGGCATGATCATATATACTTGCTTGAAATGTAAAATCCCAGTTTGCAATAAAAGTTCAATTCTTGAAGACGAGGATTACCATGGATGGGTCGCTGGTAAAACCGTCGCCTTTAAGACGGTTTGCATTCTTCTTCTTTTTTCACTGTTTTCCAGAATTTTAAGCAAAAGAAAGGCTTTTGCTCGCAGATTGCTGCCGGAATCCGAAAAGTAATATTCTTCGATTAATTAATTTTGGCCGAATAAAGTTTGGCGTTTGAATCAATTCAGCCAATATTAACTAATTTAGATCGGCCTATCATTGAATTCGATTCTACGGCTGAAGTGCTTCGTCTGAACCGGGCCTAAAAAATTTATTGCAGCCTAGTTTGTCTTGCTTTTCCTTTTTTTTTGTATGTGTGTGTGTTTGTGTTAGGATGTGTTATCATTCCAGTTCGCAATTTCAAGACCAGTCATCACCCACATTACCCCTTACCATGTGAATTTAGATTTAATGCACAATCAAAAATTTCAATTTTATACCACACTTTATTTCAATTTTTGAAGGTTTTTGACAGTGCCGTGAAAGTGGTATTGTATTTCATTTTCTCTAACGTCACTGTCCCCGCCGTGTGGTTTCCTTTCACGACGTCTACGTCGTCCACACCGAGCTTGGATATGGCCCATAGCTCCGTAGTTGTAACATTTCCCTGCAAGGAAATAAAGATTCTTATTACAACAATAGCAGCGAAATACCACGTGACCTTTCGCGCGAAAACATGAAAATAACACGAAAGTAGAATGGATTGCCATTTCATTGAGAGAGTCACTCGTATCTCCATGCGGCAATGTAAGATCCCCTTTTCATTATACAAATGGCAGTGAATTACTAGGAGAGCTTCCGCACAAAAATGTGACAAGTGTAACATGTTATTTTTACATGTGAACACCGCACCGACGCTATGGTTACAAAGTAAATAGTACGCAAATGAAATGTTCGGTGTTTCCTTTATCTTTGTATCACAAAATGATATTACATGGCTGTTTGGATGTAATTAAATTAGGGAAAAACAATCTTTCTCTCGTTCGCTGCTTGCACTCCTGAGACATATTCAACACTTGAAGGGATGTATCAGTCGCATTCCAACGCGCCACGCAATATCATGTACTTAGCTCCCTTCAAATTTGAAAACTAGGCGAGTAAGACTTAAATTAAATTTGTCTATCTTAGTGAATGGGAAAACCAAATTAAACGGTTGAAAATGTATCCAACGGTAGGAAGAGGTTTAGATTACTAACTGGGTCGACCTGGAGGTTGACGTAAGGGTTGGCGCGGTAGTGGGCGCGGTTGCACAACGTTCTCTTCTTCAGGCCGTTCATCCTCGACCCTTCTCCTTCGCACAGGAGCCCTTATCCTTTCTCTTTCCTCTTCTCTCCTTCATTCCCTATCTCTTCGCCGCCTCTTCATATCATCGTCTCTTGCGTCCTCCCCCCCCTCTCTCGACTTCAATGTGCAAAAACTCCATGGCATCATGTATTTCAGTTATCTGAAAGGCAAAACCCAAATAATTTAGCATACATCAATTTTTTTTACCAACTAAATAATTTTACACGGTCCACTCTTTTTTTAATTCGAGGAATAACACCGGTTAAGACTGACACATTATGATTCTAGTAGATGTAAATAACTGTACTAAACTTGAAAAACGACAACAACAACAAAAAAGTTGCCATAAACCATTATTGAAAGAACACTTCTAGCGAAAACTGACATGGAAAACTCTCTCTAATTATAAACAGTGGAATCACTTACACTTTGAATGTATTACGAAAGCTTGAATGACTCATAAACTTCTCATAATGGCGCATTTGATAAAACTTCTACAACTTAGAAAACTTAACTGACTTACGGTTTAAGACCTTGTTTCTGTAAATGAAAATCACACAGCTGCATCATACCGGTGTATAACTCTATCAATGAACGTATGTACAACGTTTCAACCTTTCCGCAGAGGTTAAAAGAAGATTTCAGCTTCTCGAAGAAATCTGAGTTGTTTTATAGTGTGAAAACCAGCTGGACAGTAATGCACAATAATGTTCTACCAAAACATAAAATGAACGTTCAAAATGCAAACGATTGTACAGTTCCTGTATAGCGATATGAATCATTCATTGAAACCAGCTTTCATATTGCTCACGACAATAGCTACTTCCGAAGAAGAGCGAAAATTAAACGCGATGGGTATTCAATTCGTTGAATTTGAAGCAGGGCCATTCTGTAATAAATACATACTGTAAGATTATACGCCAGGAACTAACGGGGTAATTTGGCTCTGTCGGTATTGTATATACTGAAAGATTTTACGCCAGTAACGGCGTAATTTTGTTCAGTCGGTAACATACATACTGTAAGATTTTACGCCAGTAGCTAACGGCGTAATTTCTTCTAGCCGGTAATATATATACAGTAAGATTTTACGCCAGTAACTGACGGCGTCATTTCTTCCAGTCGGTAAAATTTATACTGCAAGATTTTACGCTAGTAACTTATTTTAAACGGCATAATATCATTTAGTCGGTATATAGACAAACTGAAAGATTTTACGCCGTTAACCAACAGCGTAATTTCATTCAGTCTTTATTTACATGCCATGAAATTTTACGCCAGTAACTAACGGCGTAATTTCAGTCAGTCTCTATTTACATGCTGTAAGATTTTACGCCGTTAACTATTGGCGTAATTTCTTCATATATATATATATATATATATATATATATACATTTTACGCCAGTAACTAACGGCGATATTTCTTCCAGTCGGTAATATATATATATACTGTAAGATTTTACGCCAGTTACTAACGACGTAATTTCTTCCAGTCGGTAATATATCTACTGTGTGATTTTACGCCAGTAACTAACGGCGTAATTTCTTCCAGTCGATATATGTACATACTGAGGGGTTTTATGCCGTTAGTTAACGGCGTAAAATCTTAGATTGTGTTCAACATCGCAGATTGGCGTAAAACCGTACAGCCTATAGACTGCATTAGTCACATAATATTAATTACTATCTAATTCCACTACCTTGTGAAATTAAAAACACAACTGATATAATAGTGTAAACCTTGTTAGTCCGATCAAAATGAGCGTCCCGCATCCACCTTCCTGTTGTTGTCGGTAAACTGACTATTAAGTCACATACAATATAGTGATGAACAATTATGAGAGACACATTTTCTGCTGTTTTCAAATCAGAACAATATCTTATATGATGGCAATCGCCGAAATAGAAGTACTGATATAATTATATACACTGAACCAATCAGATCTTAACATGTCAGTTCACGTACCTTTAACTACGCTATGTAGCGATGTATATTTTTTTAATTTCACATCGATTTGAAACCAGTATAAAGAACTTGTTGAGGATGCAGTGTTAAATGGGAAAAAATTGTATATTATTTGTCTAATTATTCACGTTGTTATTGTTGTTTTAATGTATGTAAAATACCTTCCACTTCCAAGGGTGTAGACAGTTCCTGATGAAGTCAACAGCAGAGCATGTTCTTTGCCACAAGCAACTGAAGTTATCTCTTTATCTATGGCTATTGCTTTAAACACAGGAACTGGTTTTGCGACAGCACCATCTTTCACTTGATCATTGCAGATGACACCAGCCTGTCCATTTCCTACGATGAAAAGACAATGTCAGTCTGTGAGAGTTAGGAAAGGTTTATCAACACATTTGAAGCATAATGTAAAAACAATTTGCATGATGAGGGAAGCTTTGTGACTCAGTGGCAGAACAGTGATAATACTGGATACTTTTTTTACTACTTAATTGTGTGGTTTCCCACTCTTGCAAGAAGTTTCAGTGACAGGCTTCATAGCACAGGCTAGCTGTGTCTATTAACTTGGAAAATATTTGAATGTAATTTTTTCTCTTCAATGCCTTTAGTCATTGTGAGAAGTAAATTCTTATCCTTTCACTCCAAGCAATTATTAAGTGACATCTCCTGACCATACCAAAACAATGTCAAACAGAAAGGTGATGGGAGGAGAGAAAATATCAACTCTAGAGTAATGTATGATTTCAGTCTAATTTCTCACAGATAAAATTTTAACTAATGTATGCAAGATGGTTAGGAGAATTTATAGTAAGAACTAGGAGATGCAGGAGTTAAAAATTGATTTTGCAACAACTCTTTTTATTGCCAAACTGAATATGTTACCCTTTGTATTCAAAATAATACTGTGTCAGATCTAATGCTATAGTATGAAGATAATCCTGGTTGTCAGTCATTATTCTTATTACAAACAAAACATTCATTTCAGACAGCTCTTGCTGCCTTATATCTACTGTACCTGTGACCAAAATGCAGCTGGACTCTCTGCAGCCAACTTCTTTGAATTTTGTGCCATTACTGCAGACTTTCACAGGTTTTAATTCTTTGTTAAATCTAGTGTAATCAGTCCATTGTAAGCAATCTCCATCTTTGGTCAGAAAGACAAGTTGTGTCCAGCTACAGCATGCATCTGTAACAAAATGATCTGGAAAAAGATTTTCCTCTTCCCCAAACATTTTTGTTTTAGAATTCCATCCAACCTTATTGATAGTACCATTCTCTAGGACAGAAAAAAGAGTGGATTCTTTAGAAGAAGCAACAGTGAGTTTATTTTCAATGTGCAAGCCATATGGGATTACAAAACTAGGTCCATGCATAAAGCCACATAGAAGTTCAAAGCCCAGCTAAACAGTTTGTTACCTCATACTTACACTGATTAACTCTTCTCTGAAATGTACATGTGTTATCTTTGTACTGCATTTCCCTCAGACACTCAGAGGGAGGATATTTTTTCAAGAATATTAATGGGGCAATAATTAAATTTACCTGGAAATAAACATGTAGTTTATTTGTGACAATACACTGATAAATAATTGTACACACAATTTTGTCTCTTCAGCTGCTTGGAGGTGAATAGTTAACAACCATTCACCAAAGTGGGGGTGGCTTGTGATGGATATTTAACAAGCCACAAGCAGCAAGGTAAAAATCCACCACCAACCACTCACACCAAGGTAAATGGCTGTTTTAGTATATACCAAAACAGTGAGATAATAAAGCACAAAAGTATGATTTTTTATTCATTTATTCCTTCAATGATTACAATATTTTGGGCACAAATCCCATACCAGTTGCTTGAAGGTGAATTGCAAAGGATATTCGGAGTTTATGTGGCCAATCAGAGTGCACCTTCAAAGCCAGCCACTGTTTTAGTATATACTAATACTAGTTAACCACTTCGAACTAATAATAATAATAATAATAACGAATTTTTATACAGGATTGAAAAACCCATCAGTGTGTAACACTGTTGTCCTTGGGGTCCTGTCAAAAATAATAAATAAATAAATAAAATAAAATTTAACAAGATATAATCATCTACTCCTTGGATGCCGGTAGCCAATCATTTCACAAGGGTTACTTACCTGTTTAGTATATACTAAATATTTCCTTGACGTATGTGTCAAAACAATTGTTCACTTCTGTGTCGTTGAAAATGGTGAATATTTACCTCGCTATTTCGGTGAATATTCATCACCAGCCACCTCCACTTCGGTGAATAACTATTTAATAGAGTTCCCGAACACCAGTAAACCACATCCATGTCACCGTTTTTTAAAAATGTAAAATAATAGCAAAGTACAATTTTACGACGCCTAGCTTTTAAAATTACCTTTAAGATAAAATGTGCTCGACCAGGAAGCCAGTATACTACTAACACAGTCAAAATTCAGCTGAACAGGTGTTAGGACTGAAGCGGGATGTGATCCACCAGTCTCGAAATCCACTTCTCGGCTTTCATTTGCGTTTATAGCTTTGGCAGTAATTTGTCGAAAGCCATTAAAACCGAAACCATAACATTGAAACCTTCCGTCAGGATGAAACGCTGACTTAGAAGTTGTATTCTGACTTGTTTTATCCATTGTAAAAGATCTACATGTGACCTTGCGTTCCTTCCGCCATTTTATCTGCTGAGCATCCTAGCCTTCCTCTTTAAGGCTTGGATGCATGGCGATAACCATGGAAAAATGTAAATGCTCAGAATGATGCGCAGAAGTTATAATTGAACGTTCGTTAATGTGGTGTGAAGTCAGTTATTGGCACCATTCTCTTACCTTGCTTTTTGTTGAAACTTTGGACCGATCCCAGCCGTTCACGCAACGCAAGGAACGTGATGATTACCATTGTTCGCTTTCAAAGGAAACCTCTTCTCTCGAGCGACTAGTCAACGACATAATTCAATCGTTATTTGAATGTTTGGAATAATGCGGTCGTTAACGGTCGAATTCTTTGCTGTAAATTGTTAAAGAGCACGCAAAAATGGCTTCTAAAAGACCTTTGGTTAAACAAAAAGTGACTTATGGCTTCTCGGAAGATGGAAATTTGTATGAAAACGAAGACGATATCTCTGGCAAGCAAAGTTTAACAAAACGCGTTTCGTTTCACAATCATGAGCTGAGTGACTCAGATTCGGATGAAGAGAATTCCCTCGGAAGGATAAATCGCTCATCTTCAAAGCCTGCTGGGGACTCCCTTGATGGTCTTTTCAGGGAATCGGACTCTAAAGAAAAGGAAAGCCTTGTAGGGTTGGCAAAGGCAGCATCCCCAGGAAGACCGAGATCAAACGACAAGGGTACGTAAGTAAGTTCGTTGATGCACAAAGTATCGAATATTGCACTGTTGCAGTTGGATACATTGTATATACCACATATTTAAACTCGAAAAGGAGTCAACAATTCAAAGAAAAAAGTATGTACGATTTGTCTTATTTTAAACACTGTGCATGTATATACAGTATAAATTAAATGATCTTTATTTAAAAAATTTTCCATTTTAACCAATACTCATTTATACTCATTATTAGATCTTGTTAGACACAAAATTGGTAGGAAAAATCCCAATTTAGTTAAAGATGGAATTAATCGATAATTATGCTCTGCTTATGCTGTCTTCAATTTCATTTTGTAGGGCAACCCAGGCCTGTCCCAAGATCTCGTCCAACTATTTCAGTAAAAAAGTCGCAGTTGGAAGGTTTTTCTGTAACTTCTACTCAGCAGTCATCAGATGAAGAAGAGGGGAACATGTACACTGTAAAAAAATCCAGTGAAACAATTAAGACAAAGGATGGATACCCAGTCCCACCTCCAAGAACTTCGCCAAGGCAGCATTCAGAAAGGACTTCTTCATCAAATGTGGTTTCACCCAGACCTGTGCCACGATCTAGGCCAGCTTTGTCCCCTAGAGAAGGACAATCAAAATTGTTTCAACAAGACTCTGGTTTATTGAAAGATGATATGATCAGAAGAGTCAGAGATATTGAAGTTCCTGAATTCAAAGAATCTAAAAAAGCAGCAGATAAACCTGTGGCTCCTTTGAGAAGGAAAAAGACTCTAGAGGAAACACATGAAGGTACAAGACCTCAGATTACCAAAACTATTATTTCCACTTTTGAGGATGAAAGCCTGGCTCCAGGCAACAATGATGGGAGAGCAATTGAACAAGATGGGAACTTGAGACATGGGAAAGTTAGAAAAGTCAAAGATCGACCTATGATTTCAGGACCAAGGTCAGATTCCTTTGAGGAATTAGAAAGTGGAGATGATACAGAAATAGTTAATAACAGAAAAGGTTTCTATGGCAGAGAGTATCATGAGGAAGATAAAAGTTACCAAAGGGCTCTGACAGACTCTTCCAAAGGACTTGAAAGGGTGTCACCTAAACCTTCACCTCGAAATCGCAAACAAAATCATCAAGAGGTAGAACAAAGTGTAAACCATGTCAAGCATTCAGATGCCCCTTTAATGAAGAAAGCATCAAGTCTTGAGATGTTGCAATCCAAGCAGAATTCATTTTCAGAGAAAGACATGCATGTATCTGTGCCCAAAGAAAGAGGAACTCAGAGATTGGAGTTGAAAAAGAGCCTTACGCCAAAGAGACCTGTTAGTGCTAAAAAGAGCTCTTGGATGGGCCAAGAAAGGGTCCAATCTGATATAACAGACACTTTTGAAGAGCATGTCCCTCCAGCAGAAAACATTATCATGGGAAACCAAAATGAAAGAAGCTCCAGAATGAAAAGAGGATCAGAGTTTGAATCAGGTACCTTTACAATATTTTGTAGGATTAGAGTACTTCTTTAAGTTGCAATCAAAGAAACATGATTTGAATTCTTAGTAGAGATTGACAGTGTGGCAGAGCATAGGAGTGAAAAATTGAAAGTTTTGGAGTTTGATTGCTAATAGATTACTCAAGCAACTTAATAATGTGATCTCTGTAATTGTAATAATAGTAATGATAATTATAATAATTTAGCAGTGGAAACTCCACAAGGTGGCTCTGTCCAATGTTTGCAGTTTGAATTGGAACTTGGAATGTTGGTTTTTGTGGCATGAGGAAAAATTGAGTACCCTGGAAAAAACCCTCAGATGAGGAGGACAAGAATCAACAACAAACTCTGCCTTCATATGATGCCAGGTCTGCAAATCAAACCCGAGCGACAGCAGTGAGAGACAAGCATTCATGCCATTACACTATCCCCTGCTCCTCAAACTTGTAAACAAAGGGACTAACTTCCTAACATTGACTGATATACAGCTTAGTAATAATTTACCGCTGTAAGGTAGTTGATGAATCTCTTCATGATTTAATTGTGTTAGGTGGTGGTAAAGGAAGATCTGGACCGTTAAAGGCCAATCATCTTATTAGCCAAGTGGTGAGATCGCCACTCCCAAGAGAAACACAAACAGATGTTTGGGCAGAAACCAGTGGTGTAAGTCATGGTCAGAATCTTACAACAAAGAGATCTTTGTCATTGACAAATTTGAGAGGTACCAGCCCAGAGCTTTTAAGTGAGAGTGGAAGTGCAAGGAGCTCACAACACAGCAGCTTGATGGATACAACATCAATACGTCAGGCCGTGTTTGATGAGTGGAAGTCGAAGAAAAGTGAAAGATTGAGAGAGCAAATGGCCAGCAAGTCTGCTGAGAAGAAAAAACTTGAAGAGAAGGAAAAAGAGGAACGTCAACGAAAAAAAGATGTAAGCCAGTGTTAATTAATAGTTAATATGTGTTTATTAAATCAATGTAACAGGTGTTCTAGGCATTCAGTTAACCCTTCACTCCCATAAGTGACCAAGACTGGATTTCTCCTTATAATATCAATACAATATCAAGCAGACAAGTGATGAGAATAAATAAAAATGTAGATGAGGGCATGATTAGTTGATCCATTACCATATTCTCAGAACAAACATAGTAAGAATGATATGGCAGACAGTAAGGAGAATAAATAATGGCATCTTGGGAGTGAAAGGGTTCATAAAACCAAAAGTAAATGGTGGCATTTGATAGTAGGGGAGGAGTGAAAAAACCAGGGGAGATTTGAGCATTGTGTAATTTACCAGACCCAACCCAAACTTCCATCCCTTATACACTCTTCCACTACTATTGCAATGGTACTGTTTCCTATTTTTTACTTTATTTTGCTAACTGACTGCCTGGAATGCAGGCTATTATGAAAATGTACATTTTTACATCATATTTAACATTTTTATTGCTTTGGATTCCACATTTCAGGTGTATGGTTTATCAAGCCTGAATGCTTATATCTCAAAATGCTCGTGTTATGTTTAAAAGCAGTGTTTCAAAGTTTCCTTCTTTTTTTTTTCTCATTCTTTTCCTTTCATTTAATTTATAGACTGTTTATATTTTTCAGGCAAAGATGGCTTTTGAATCTTGGAATGAAAAGAAACAAAAAGTAAACAAAGAAAAAAATGCCAAGAAAAAGGAAATAATGAATAAAGAACTGGAAAAGCAAAAAGAACAAAACCTTAGAGCAAGAGATGCAAAAAAATACTTTGAATCTTGGAAGGCAAAGAAAGATGAAGAACTTAAAAAGGAACATCATAAGAAGAAAGAGGAAGAAGTTAACAAGATAAAGAAAAATGAAGAAGAACAAAAGGAGAAAACTGTTGATTCACAAAAAGCATTTGACAACTGGTGAGACATTTATTTTTCTCCAAATTGTGACCAATAAAATTTTTATTTATTGTAGTTGTTAAATGTTAATGCTTAATTTTTCAATGACATGCTCAAATTCACAATTGGGTCTTTTATATAATGGTCACACATCAATTTGGTTTACTGTTGTCAATGGAATATTACAACTGTAATTTACATTTTTTTTTTCAGAGATTCATGGTCATTTAACAATAGGCCATTTCCAAAATACTGCTGGCCTCATTTTCAAAACAAGTCCTGGTGCTCATCCTCTCACATGATTATGAATTTTCATTCACATGCAAATTACACTAATTTTCATACAAATGGTTGAGCACCCAGCCTTGTTTTAAAAATAGGTGAAAGGTAATTCAGAAAGGTCTACTGAATAACCTCAATAAGACCTACAGAAGGCAATATGATTTGTCCATTTTTAATAATTGTTAAATTATTTATCAATAAAGGGCAAAATTACTGAGCGCTGATTGGTTGAGAGAGAGGACATTTTTTTCTTAATCGAGGGCATTTTTAGTAATCAAGAGAGGGCATGATTATCTGTTAATGATTGGCTAATCCGTTGCATAGCAACCGTTCATTATCTTGAAATTTTGATTTTCCTTCGTATAAATTTTGCCCTTTATTGATAAACAAGTAATCCCATGAGACCTCGTACTATTAAGGAATAATTGCACTTGAGTTTTCAAAATTTTGGAAAATTTTGAAAACTTATTAATTAAAATAACTATGATTACCTATACTAATTAAAATAACTATAAAATTTTTTCAAAGTAATATCAATTTTAATATTTATGTTAAAACATTATCATACCCAAGACACAAAGTATTTTGTGTTTTCTTTATTGTGAGATTTCACTATTAGATGTCATGTTAAAGATTGGGAGATTATCCATTTTATGTCATGAGAGTGAATTTCCATTTTTTTTTTCATTTTGAATTTATGTAGGAAAAAGGAAAAAGATAAAAAGCTCACTGAAGAGTACAAGAAAAAAAGAAGGGAGGTAAATAATAACAGCATGAAAGAAGAGGAAGAAAAGTATGAGAGAAGCATTCAGTGTGCTGAGCGTTATCAGGCCTGGGTGGAAAAGAAAGGGAAACCACGCAGAGGACCACCTCCACCTACACTGACACAGAGGTACTTAGATACTGAGACATTGGAGAAAATTGAATTTGGTCATCCAGTCACCATTCACAGGCTGTTGGTAAAATGCTAACAAAAGTTCATGTTCGATGAATAATACATAAACCCTTTCTCACAAGGTGTGAACTTTCATTACAACCCTTAAAATTTATAAACTTTAAGTTACACTGTGACCTAGCAGGTTATTTTTTAAGCCTTTTTTTTAATAGGAAGTCACATCAAGGAAAGAGGATTTATCAAAAGTAAAACATTTTCATATGTACAGTATTACCCTTAAATTTAATAGAAAATGTCAATGGTCATTTTTATGGCAAACAGTAACTTTGGAAGTATTAAGCACTCTAACAACAGCTAAAAACATGGGCTCCAAGAGTGGTTTGGCTTGCCAGAGATGTCCCAAGACCATGGAGACTTTGAAGATGTTCAAAAGCTACATTTAAGGGTTATCAAGCTATCTTTGATTGCATGTAGTATTGCAAACAATACATCAGCCAAACCATTTCAATCTCTAAGGGGGGGTTGAGGGCCCAAAGTGGAGTGTGTCTTTAGAGAAGATGACACCATGTTATCATAGTGAGAGCTCATTTGTCATTACTTCTTTTATCTGTTGGGAACATTTGCTCCTGACCAGTTTTACCTAATTTTTTTTTTTTTCACAGGAGTTGGTGCCCAAGTGGCAGGAAGTCAGGCAACTGTATTCCTGGTAAGGTAGGAGCTGTGATTCAAGCTCCTTCTCCCAACAGATCACGAACAATGTCAGGATCTTACTACTTCAAGCCAAACAAGGTATATGCATAAAAAAATAACAACTCTAAAAAATGATTACTGGTTCACTTTTCAATATCATTAGAGCAAGTGACTACAGTGTGATAACAATACCATATTTCCTGGAATAAGTGCACAAATTTCAGCCAAAGGGGTGGTTCCTTATTGGAAAGAGGGTGCTTAATCAAGGGGGGTGTCTATTAAGTTAGTGCAGCAATAGGACAAAAATTAAAAAGATAATGCGCATAAAGGAACTCTGCAAGCACATGGAGATAGAAATGACTGGAAGTGTCTTTAATTGAAAAGAAACTATTCTCCTATACTGATTCTAAAAAGTGGCAATAAATCAGGTGTCCTTGTATCCCTAATATTTAAGAACATGAGGAAGGAGGTGGACACATTTTCGACATTACGGCCTAGATGGTGGGTGCTTGTAAAAGCACAGGCATTTATTTGAGGAAATATGGTAACTGTAATAACAATACTTTTTCTAATACAATTTTGTGCAAAATAAATTATCATTTGTTGGTCATGGGCAGATCAATCATTGATCAACCAGATGGATGACTTTTGACAAATGATCTAGCATCTTTACATGAGCAAAATTTTACTATTCAAATCAAGTAATTGGTTAGATTGCTTTACATCAGAGGAGACCATTTCCTTTATTCTTTTGACCTTAAAATGATGACCTTAAATTTAGGGGTGATATTGTTAGAGGATATTAAATATCTGTCTCTTTTGCATGTCAAAGAGTTCACAAATCTTCTTGGTGTTCATGTTTTTCATATTCTCACAAGAACAATTGCATGGGAGTACATTTGATGATATCATTTGACACCATCTAATTGTCTTTCAAGTGTACTAAAAAATTTGTCAATGTGTATCTTTCCCTGTCTAGTTTTGATGCTGGGGATAATGCAGTTTCTTGGACTTTACTACCATGATGATATTTGGAATTTCAAATCCAACAGAAAATTAGGATTTCTTATTTAAATTCAATTAATTTTGACTGATATATGTATTTATTAACTAAAAGGTTTTCTAGATGTTTTTTATTTTCACTCCAACTTAATCATTCAATTGCTTCATGATAAGCTTAGGAGGAAAGTCTAGTTTACCTTCACACAAATCAAAGACGCAATAATCTCAAATTACTTATAAAAATTTTTATTAGTTTAGCCATTGGATTCTTAAGATTGTGAAAATAGTTAGTAAAGAATGTCAAGTAACAAGTGAGGGTATTATTTTTGTCTGAGTAAAAGCTCCTAGGGAATTAACAGAAAAATGACTGCAGAAATTTCCAAGTACATCGTATGAATACTAAATGCTTGTTTTACCTTACACTTAACACCTTTCAGTAACAAATATTTAATTCAATGTAAACTTGCAATACAAATTCTGAAGGAGTTTTAACTATTTTAAATGACACATTTCAATTCTTGAGTAGGACTTCTGCCCAATTTTTTCAGAGTTAATTGTTAGTGTTAGTTAGACCAGTAAGATCTTCATTGAATTGAGAACTGTCTAACAGTAAAAACATAGTATTTATACAAAAGCCTAGGGTGTTACTGTAAATGACAAATTTAGTTACGTAAAGAAATGAAGCCTCAAATGACATCTGTATGTTCTGTATCTTACTGAATATTCTTCAAAAACACTGAAGTCATAACACAAGTTGAAAGTAACAAGAGAAGTACCCCTGCACTGAATCTAGTTGAAATCCTCAACAATGGAGCCACGTGACAGAGAGAAGCACATAATCTGACTTAGCTGTACATACTGAAGAGCCAAAAGCTTGAGTGTACATGTTAACTAAGTTGGTGAAAAATGTGGTACCCTTACTACTAGTGCACTGGACTCTGGTTTTTAAGGGCCACATTCCATATCTGGCCAGATCAATGTGTTGTGTTCTTGGGCAAAACACTTCACTCTCACAGTGCCTCTCCCAAGGAGGATAAATGGGTACAAGTGAACTGTCAGGGTAGCCTGAGGAAGCCTGGGGAGGCCTGAGGAAGTGCTGGGAAAGAGGGGTGTGGTAACTTGCCATGGACTGCCACCCCATCCAAGGGGAGTTGCAATACTCCAAGCCACTTTGTCTATGAAAATCAGGACAAGTTCCAATAGATAAGAGCAGACTTAACTTCTAGTCATAGACAGGATTTGCGACTCATGAGCCATTTTAACCTAATTGCGTGTTGTTTTCTTCCAGAGGATTATTCCTTGCCTGCAATCACAATGTATACTTTTTTATTGATTCAGTACTAATATCTCCAGGTGTATATTCACAGAATTAAATTCTACATACTTGTATAATATATTTACAAAATGTTGATGATACATCTCTTCAAAACGGTGGTATTCATACTAGGATCAACATTGCCAGATACAGATCAGAAAACAACAAACAACTTGGACTGTAAAATAGGTTTGATTGTATACATTTACATCAATCCACCAAAATAAAAATTTTCATATCCTTCTGTTTTCACTTGCCAAGAACCAATTCTTGGTCACACCTACAAATGAAGAATATTTTTTTCTTCTCAAAAGAATTGACTGCTTTTCCTCATTAAGTGCTAAGGTCCATTTCCTGCACTCCAGTCATAGCTTCTTCCTCCTCATTCTCTGGCAACTCTTCCAAATTCTTGTCCTCATTTTCCCTCAACAGCTCTACTTGATAATCTGAGGTAGAGTGCTCAAAGTAGCTGGCTATGTGATGCTGTCAGAAGCAACAGTACACAAAGTCATGTAGGTTTATATGTGTCATGAGCAAAACAGCCTTACAGTACCTGAACAGGGCTGTAATCAGTCACGGTGCCTCAACCTGTTACACCCTAGCATAAGTATGCATATTCTCCATACTGTTTTCTATACATTTCCTAAGATGCTGACAAGGAGATTTTTTTTCACAATCAAGAGCTTCTTTAGTTTGTGATCATTTCCTTTATTCTTGTGACTTTAATGTTGGACCCAGGGGGGATGATGTAAAGCGAAATTAGATGCAAGCCACTCAAAGGGGTTAAAGGGTTGAGTAGAACTGAATTGTTAACCCTCTAACTCCCATGAGTAATCAAGACAGAATTTCTCCTTACAATATCAATACAATATCAATCAGACAAGTGATGAGAATAAAGAAAAATATCAATTTAAGGATAATTAGTTGATCCAATACTAAATTCTCTGAACTAACATTATAAGAATTGTATGGTCGACAGTAAGGAGCATAACAAATTTGATCTGGGAGTTAAAGGGTTGAAGATTCTGCAAGTACATCTCTGAGCTCTAAGTTAATTAAAAAGTATAGCACTAAAACAATCAAATGTCAAAAAAAAAAAAAGGTTTTCAGACTTTTTTCTCCACAACAATGTAATTGTAAGTGAGACCTTCATCCATCAAGAAAGGTTACCAGAAACAAGAATTCCAGGAAAGTCTTAGATCAAGTCCTCTGTGACCCTTCCCAAATGGGTGAGTTAGCTAGAAAGTCCGCTGACAGAGCAATTTTCATGCCCTAGATAACTACACTGTAGAAAGTGTTTCTCTACCTCTGTATTGTTCTTGATATGCTGCACATCTGTTGGCAGACTGAGAGTCCATTTTTGCCGATTAACAGTCAAGTGGTAAATATTGAAGTGAGGAGAAAATGCTTTAAATAGTGTGTAATTAATTACATCAAATCTACCTCTTTGAGTGGCTTGATACACTGAACCATGTTTGCCAGCCTAAAAATTGTCCTTACTAAAAGGTCTTTCACCTGAAAAAATAAATAAATAAAGTGAGCAAAGCTAGTGACACAAAGACCATCACATTTAATGAAGAAAAAAAAAATCTGTATCCAAATTAGGTAACTCAGTTAGTCAGTCCTTATCCTAGCTTCTGTACCATGAAGTGCCTGGGGGTATTTTTAATCTACCTGGGTTGACATAAAGACCATCACATAATAATAATAATAATAATAATAATAATGAAAAAAAAGAATCTGTATCCAAATTTTTAGGTAATCAGGACGTCAGTTAGTCAGTCCTTATTCTAGCTTCTGTACCATGAAGTGCCTGGGGGTATTTTTAATCTACCTGGGTTGGGTGCTCATCCATCACGGCTTACCCCTCACTATTTTTTTTCAGACCTCTCTCTACACCCTAACATCAGTATGCATATTCTCCATACTGTTTTCAAGACCTTTCTTAAGATGCTGACAAGGAGAATTTGTTTAACAATCAAGAGCTGCTCTAATTGGTCATCATTTCCTCTATTCTTGGGACCTTACTGTTTGATTCAGGGGGTGAATTAAAAGGGTTCCTGGCTGGAGAGAGGCGATGTAAGGGCAAAGAGCCTGGCCCTAAAATTAACTAAAACCATCAATTATATACTGTACCTTGGTTCTGTTCATGAATGCAGCCCTTGGATCTTTGATATCCCCATTCACTGTTCTCAGCTTGTTGGTCAACTTTTCTAGAAATGGCTTAATATAGAACACAACAAGGTACTTATTATTGCTACTGACAAGTACAAACAAAAATGTCTCAAATCTCTCACATTTACATTATAGGTACTTAATATGGTACCACAGTACCAACTGGTGAAAATGTGAAATTGTGAAGGAAGTCTACCAAATAGTCTGATGTGTAACTTGGCAAGATTCATACAGAACTTCAGTGAATGAAAACTTTTAATTTTAGATGATTCCTCAGCAATGAAAGTTGTCAAAATATTTTGAAATATCCTGAACTTTCATGAATGACAATAAAAAATATAGGTCAGTCACCAAGTTTGTGCAAGAGGAAAAGATCAATGCACCTGTTTACTTTGTCCATTGATTTAAGAGGGAAAAAAAAAAAAAAAATTCCCCATGTTCTCTAAATGTACAGTGCAATAACATGCAGTACAGGATGCACAGTGCAATAACAAGGAATCATTTTCAGTGTTCTCCCTTATTTTAAGCATAACAGGTAAAATAAATTTTCAAACCGGTAAAGCAATCCTTTTACGTGTTGAATTTTCAAGAATTCCAAGCAATTTTAAACAGTAATAAGAGGTACTACAGGCAGTAAATGTTAACGGTTACCGCCTGAAAAGGAGAACACTGATTTTAAGGTAGCTTTAACCCTTTAACTCCCAGAACCCACACCTCTGAATCCTAGATATAATTATGTACAATATTTTGAAAAAGTAAAACTATTAAACTTCCTTTCATCATATGTTAACCACTTTGAAACTTGCCATGGTAACTAAACTCCATATCATTTTCATCTGCTTCAATTCACTGGAGAGGTACTTCAAAAGGCTACGATAGCTTCAGTGTTATAGACCACAATTACATCATCATATTATCATGCTTCCTCGTCTTTAATCTGTAGAACAAATGAATCGTGATTTACCCTTTCTTTAGAGGGTAGGTCCTCACTTCCAACAGCAAAGCTGATCAAAGAAATTATGGTGTGCAGCAGGAAATAATCTGACTCATCTGTAGGCTTAATCTGTGCCACAAGATTAACCAAACTAGCTACCTGTAAAAAAAATTGTCAGAGAAAAAAATGCTTGGCAACATGACAGATAGCATTTTGGAAAAATGTGTATCATTTTCCAGTAGGAGTGAAAACCAAAATTTCAAGACCTTGATTCCCCTTTCATGTATGGCCTGATCTGCAAGTACAAGTTTTTGGGTTTTTGACTTAACTGTAAATGAATGTGGACATTGCAAAGGGACCATATTTTTTTTTTCTTTCTACAGAATATCAAGCCCATTTTTTGTTCAACAAAAAAGCTCCTCTCCTGCATGTTGCAAAATTACAGCAAACTATTGCACACCGACTATGAATAGTATGGAATGGTTGCATTAAGAAAAAAACCTACAAAGCTTAAACATAAACCTGTTCTGACATTTACATAAATCCTTCTTAATACAGTCATTTCACAGTGTTTTTTGGTTACTTTTCTTGGAAGTTGCTACACTAAACTAATTCTCATTACTCTGCCAATATATTTTAACCCTTTAACTCCCAGACATGATTAACATGTAACCTCTCCCTAAAATATCCACATCTAATCCAGCAAACAGGCAATTAGAATACTCAAATTTATCACTTAGAAGTTATCTTGATCTAACACCCAATTCCTGTAAATAAATTAAAAGGAAAGGTGTAGCAGCTAGCTGGGGCAATCAACAATAAGGTCTTGGGTGTTTAAAGAGTTAAAACTTTGTAATTTTTCATCAAACCATCTCACCTTTACATTTTCTGGAACAATTACATTGCATCTGTCCCCACCAAGGTTTTCTCCAGTTTCCTCCTGATTTAGAAACTTGGGCACTAACCAGTGAAGCAGTGTCAAACTAAGACGGCGCTGAAGCTGAATCCCATAAGTGGATGGAGGCTGAATTTCGACAAGATACAACAGATTCCGATGGTCTGTGCTCAGTTTTGTCAAAATACCACACAACTCTTTAATCTGAAATGTACAAACAGGTCACACACCCAGTCAACCCTACTCTGCTAACAGAGTTACCTTCTAAATAGAACAAGAAAGATGGTAAGTTTGGAGCTTTTTAAAGAAGTAGAGAAAGATTTTTTTTTTCATCTTTTCATGAGCATGGGACGAAGAAAAACTTCTGTTCCCCATGAGGAATCAAACTTCAAACCTTCGGATTCCACGCTCCACACTGAGCTACAGCTAAATAGTTCTTTGGTTAGCCTCCAATCACAGAAAAAGTGTTAAGACAATAAAGCAAACCTTTCAGTCATTTTCAAATCTTGTAGTTATTTTGGCCCTACATTAATTTATGGTACCATTTTGTCTTCCTCTCACTCCTAAAGAGTACTTTTTCATATGTGTCTCTGGGCAAAAAGGGCAGAGACAATGATTGAGAAAAGAGAGAAGATTTGTTTTTTAAATTAGGTCTTATCTGAGCACTAGGCATTTTTTACTTAGATCTTGTCCTGATTGTAGGTTTTAGCTCAGCTTATTTGAAGTCAGCAAGCCTTCCTAACAGAGCTTGGCTAGACACCTCACATGCCTAACACCCTTAAATCACTGATAGCCTAACAGACCTAGACCTAACAGTACCTCATCAGGCCACTGCATCTCTCCAAAACAACTTAGCACTGCTGCAATACACATCTCAATATCAAACACTACAGTGTGAAGCCTTGTATCTAGTGCCAACCGACACATCAGCACCATGAGGTTTCTTAAATCCTGAACAGTGTATGACTGAGGACACTTTTGAAGACTGTGAGTAAGCAGCTGAACAAGGTGCATCACATTGATGAGAGGAAAACTTTCAGTCTGCATCACACCTCCAACTGTTTCTTCTTCCATGTGGATTGCATCCGTGGAGTTCTCACTCAACAAAACTTCTCTTATACTTAATTGATTGACAAGATCTCCAGGATAAAGTCTTGGAATCCTAGCACCATAGGAAAAAAGCTCCTTCAAGACTGTCTTGATACCAGGAACCCACAGGGTACCTCTGGAGTTTGGTGGGATATCATCTCTATCCTGCAATAAAGAATATATACTGTTTGCTCCATGTGACAAGATTACAACAAAGCACTGTTACTATAAACAACTCTGAATAGAAAAAAACAGACTTCAGTTACATTAAACACCAACCAAAAGCCTATGAGTCAATCCCCCAAACTAATTGAAATTTTGCTCATGCTAGTGTCTGAGACATCATACCATCCAGAACATACCCAAGCTGTTTTTTGGGGGTGTTTTACAATGACATCTGCCATAATATATACACCACTACCAGCTTAAATCTGATGTAGGCACTCTTACAATAAAAATTCAATCTTCAACTTAAATTCTCAATTTCGATGCTAACTTTGCCAAAAGTGCCAAAAGTAGTGATTAAGCCTCCTCCAAGAACAAGATCACTTTTTCCAACTATGTTTTATTTTAACTGTCTACCATTACCAGATCATGTTCTGCTTTAGTTGCTTTGGGAGAGCAAGATCAAATGAGAAAGTGAGGTCATTTTCTAATAAGTTAAATTCCACAAAAGTATGAACCCAAGTAATGCTGTATACAACACAAGATTTTTGTGCTTTGGAGGTTAGTGCCATTCAGCCTACAATGCTAGCTCTGCATAGTGCATTTAGTCCACAAAAATTTCCATATTGGATGAGAATGAGAACATTTTTCATTATGACAGCCCTTCAAAGCACTATGCTAGATGTACATCTACCTCTGTGGCTGCTTCAAGCATGATCCAAAGGACTTGAAAAGATGTGATAATGACATGCTGATCTCTGTGACGACACATGATTTGAAATAGCCATTCTGCCACCTCAGATGGGCAAGGTTTATCCAGGTAATGCTGCAGTACCCACCCTCCACACAACAACTCCTGTAGCTCAATGTCTGAGGCTAAAACCAGCTTTGCCTCAAAAGAGTTGCCTTGCGGATGAGGAACCATTGATAGACGGGGAAAATCTTGAGACTGAAAAAAAAGAAAAAACATAACAATCAAGAGTAAGGCTCTCTCAACACTTTTCAAATAAGTAACACATTATCTAAGAGAAGGCCAGTCACCGAATCCAACCTAACCCTGTGAGGACCAATAGACACTTGAGGAACTTACTGTAACATTAGGATGAAACACTGGGAAAATATCCTCTCCAGGCAGTTCTTCAGAAAAATCATGCACCTCCACAAGAAACTTTTTGAAGTCCTGAGGTAAGGAGCAGTCTCTCAGGTCACGTCCATCTGCAATCAAAGGTAAAAGCATGAATGTAAGTACTATTCAAACCCTTAGGTGGACTGTACTGGAAAGAAATACAATAAATCCATTATAAGAGAGGTTACAATATACATGTAAATGTGAAAAAAACTGTTTGTTTTGACAATAGTACATGTAGATTATATAGTGTGATTGTCCAGTTGAAGGTACATGCAGTCTTAAAATAGCCTGTTGGTGACAGCAACTGACCTCTGACCTCTTGAGTAGAGTCAAGTTGGTCATGAGAATAGCCAGAATCACTTGTCTCTTCTCAAATTGTCAAAGAAAATTTATTTCCTATCAACAATGATCCTTAACAGTACTTCCCTCAGCCAAAAATGATCTATTGTATCCAATTTACAAAAGGAAAAGTTGTATCCTGTCTAATGATGACCAGAAAAAAAAACTAGTTTAAAACTCTCAATAATTGGAAAAGTATCCAGGGTAAGTGAACAAAATCTAACTTGTTGAGACAATGGGAGATAAGTAAGGCACTATTAATAGTTACCCAAACAACACTTTACTTGCTGTCTTGTTAAAATCTTTTCAGAAATGTTCTCAACCAAGATCAAAACTGTGGTAAGGGAATGACAAGAGATGACTATTGGTCATATCAATGAATTTGGCTAAATTAAATACATTGTATTCCCTATTTCATAATGAATTTAGCAGGGTACATGTCAGTGTCTCTTTCCCAGTGATCCACTAAAAGAAAACTTACCATCAGTTAGGTCTTCCTCTGATTCTATATCACTGAAAGTACTTGGAATTGGCAGTTGACCAATACCTCCATTATCAATCCCTTGTTGTAGCTCTTCCTCCATCTTAGCAAGCTCAGCATTCCTTTCTCTATGCTTAACTTTGTCGGCAATCAACTTTTCAAAGGAGAGTTTGTACTTGATGGTCTTCTCCTCTCCCTCTCCTCTAGAAATTGGGGAGGGAGTAGAATAAACTGGAGCAACTCCTTTTTCTGGAGTGCAAATATCTGGTTTCAACTTTGTCTTTTCATAGAGAAATCTTGGCGGTGTTAAAAGATCCTCATCAGAGGAATCTGAGCCTTCAGGTAAAGTCCCTTCATCCTCTTCAAAAAGCTTCTTGCCACTAATGATTTGGTCCATGCCTTTATCAAATTCCTCCTCTTTAAGTTCATCAGAGCTGCTATTTTGGTCTGTTCCCTTGAAAGGAACCAAACCAGAATCAATAGGAGAACCACAATCAACTATAGTCTCCTCAACATGTGCATCAGAAGTTTTTGTATAGTTCCCGTCAACATCATTACCAATACGCCCTTGCAATCTCACTGGAAAATTATCAGGGCTATTGTCTCTGCATTTTTTCACACCCTTATTCTTTGATTTTAATGATCCATCAGGTGATTTGCTCACAATTTCTTTTTCATTCAACTCATCATTACCTTGTTTTTTTTCCTTGAAAACTTTACAACTCTTTTCTTTGTTCTCCAAATCTTTAACAGTTGACTCTTTGTGGATTTGATTGTGCAAATCTTTCTCAAAAAACGAGCTTTCATTCACATCAGTATCAAGTTTTTCTTCTTTTCCATTATCAATATCACTACCGTCTGTAGAGTCGTAGTTTGTGGAATCCGTCACACTTCTACCACATGAATCGTCCAAAGATTCAGTATCATCACAGGTTGAATAAAAAGTCTCATCACCAACACTATCAGACACAGTTATTCCCGCAGCTGAAGTAGAGTTAGTAAATAAAGCTGAAGCCTGTGTTTTTCCTTCATGTTTGCTTCCATGGACTGAACAGTTATGTCCATCAATACCTAATGGTGAACTGACAGCAGGTTTAACTAGTGAATTGCAACTGCTACCCTTATCATTTTCCTTACTGTCTGCATTTGGAATCATGCTTTTGTCTTTAGAACCAAAACTGTTTTTGTCATTTGGCAATCCCTTGAAATGTGGTTCCTTGAGCTCTTTGTTGTCTGGTAACTTGTCCTTACTCATAGGGTTGCAACTTTTCCTTGGGCCTGATGACGAAAAAAAAAATTTTAATACCAACTGTGAGAGAGAGTAGATATTACTGGAGAAGTACGTTCCAGAAACTGTGCACTTTGTACCTCTTTCATAAATGAGTACATATAAAATTATGTCAAGCACTGTGTTTTGAGATTGATCTGACCTTTCAGAAATGTCTGTTAATTAATGTGCTGTTCATTCTACTTTGTATGATAAACTAAATTATAGATACATTTTGATTGGTTCTTAGCTATGATCTATTGGAGGACTGACACATAGACGAAATCACCATTAGCATTTTTTGTCTCAATTTGTTATGCAACAAATAGATTTCATGATGCAGTGGGTCTCTGCAGCAATAAATCATAGAAAACACCAAAATGTGATAAGAACATCAAGGACAAAATCAGCTGTGCCTCATCTGCCACATTCTTTTTTGGCATCATCTGTAATCTATTACTGATGCAAGGCAACTTAAAAACCTTTTGTCAAATAGAGTACATTTAAAATAGGCTATTTCCAAATTACCTTTTACCTCTTTTTCAATTAAATTGCTTATGAATGAAAACTTATAATCATATGAAAAGATGAGCACCAGGACTCGCTTTGAAAATGAGACCAAAGTTACAGTGTAGAATGTAATTTGGAAGTGGCCTATTATGACAAGTACTTCATTTTGAGATTGACCAAACCTTTAAAAAAGTGTCAGTTAATGTGCTGTTAAATTGACTACAGACACTGCCATTATGAATCTTGCTTAGCAGCCTGTTCAATTGGCTGTAATATGAGAAAGTCTTGCTCCAATAGTTCTAGCCTTGGGCTATCTATCTGAAACAATTACGAGCTACATCCTGATAAAAGCTTCTTTTTGGTGAGAACAACAGCAAACGTGGTTTGGGGACCACACACTATGATTTTATGTTTATAACTAGATTAAAAAGTTGTTTTCAAACTAGCACCATCCACAGGTTTTGAACCATTGGATTTCTCTAACTAACCTGAAATTTTAGTGATCAAAGACTGAATTAAATAGCAATGTAGGTAAAAGTCAAGGTTTCTAAAGGGTCAAAAGTGAAAACTATTATCACTGCAGACAACTTCAGTTTCACATTTCTCTAAATTGTTTTCTAACAAATACTTGTATAATAATATTGCCACACTTACTTATGACTAGTTAAGTGTTTCTAAATATCAACCTACCCTTAGATGTCAAACCCTTGAAAAATTTTGTAATTTCTTGATTTCTATGGGATAAAATATGTCACTCAAGAGTTAACGTTGACAACAAGTTCTATCAACAGGTCTAATTTTGGCTAACAAGAGTGAAGAATACAAATATAGAAGTCTGAAAACGCTACTTGTGAGGCCTTTATAATCTACGGGAGTTTTACATCTACGTTTAAGTCGGATACAGTGTGTGGAGATGTTAAGTTTTAATGTTACGTTAATTGTCTTAATTGTATGCAAAGTATGCCATAGAACTTGAGCTTACAATACTTAGCCTAGAGCATACTTATGAAAGGTTCATAGATCCAGTAAATCAAAGATAAATCTTACCCCTTTCCTTTTGCCGAAGACGGCAGCTTTCTTTTCATTTTTCACAACGGTCCAGTAAATGAGAGGAAAGTTGTCTCATCGTTCACATGTCGCTGCCATCTTGATGATCGACGCGCCAAATTTCATATGCGCAGCGCCTGTGTATTCTAACGACAACGCTGACAATGGTGTATGGTGGCGCTACAGAAAAAATAGGTACGCATCGGCGTACATAGTATTTCTGCATCATTTTGTTTACTTAGGGGAAACAGGAGGCCCGGCCTCTGCGCGAAGGCTAAAATTTAAATTGAGGATAAGGTTATAATTTTGATTAAAAAAATTTACAAGCTTTGATCATTGATTTATTTTTTATGAATTTAACATCCGTGTGACCACTTTTGGTAAAAAAAAATTCCGTGTTGAGGTGCGTCAACAAATCAAATTCGTGTGCATCTCTGATCAGGACACTAATTATGACCCTTTAACCTTTTTTTTTCTTTTTTTTTTTTTTTTGCATCCTTCACCTTATTTAGCCACAAACAACTGATGAAGGATGTATTTTGAGGAATAATGCCTCTGTGAAAAAACAGGAACAAGGAAAACAGGGAAGACTTTTTGTTCCAGAGACAAAAGCATGATTCCGAATGCGGTCAGCAAAGAAAATGACCAAGGCCGTAGCAGTTGCAATTCACTAGGAACAAAGATAATCCTCAAACTGAAAAGTTCCAGAAACTTTTATCATTATCATCATTTTAATTATTACTAGTATTAATATTATTGTTAAGTTCAAAAGTAAGTCGCTCTACAAATAAGTGTCTTGAACCGCCAGTTCTTCATCAGTGGCCACAACTTCATTCCGCTCAGATATAGTTTCAGTTTTTGTTCGATGCTTCACAAAAGACATAATCTTCATAAACCCTTGGCGATACTTAGGGATTCTCCAAGCGTAAACAAATGGATCGATTGCAGAATTTACAAATAAGAACCTGGTGGCTATAAAATCGACTTGACGAAATATTGATCTTAGTTCAAAATTAGAGCCGCGGTACAAATGCATCAAGTGCAATGTAATGTACGCCGGAAGTAAAGTTAAATAAAATAATGCTAAGATCATGAAAACTGTTTTCGCCATTTTTCGCTCTCGTTCCATTTCTCGCCTTTTTTGAAAGGACGAATTTCCTTGATTTTGCATATCTAGTCGATGACGCTTAAGGGCTTGGATCATTTTGATACAGACCGCCGTCAGCACAAATATGGGAATTGTGGCATGGGTGTGCAGATAAATATTGACGTAAACTTTTTGGCCAATACCCGTAAATTTTAAACAACACAATAAAGCTGAAGAAATCCAAACCAGTATGACAGAGATCTTAATTCGTTTCCTTGTCACTCTCAATCGATATCTCATCGGGTCGGACACGGCAATGTATCGATCCACCGACAATGCAATTGTAGATGAACCGTTAACAAACATCGTCAGCCCTATAAACACTCCTATGATTTCCGTGATTTCTTTTTGACCAGTACCATAATAACGGTATGCATCTCTAACAGCGACGGGAAAACCAATCAGCAACCCAACAAGCAAATCCGAAAAGCCGAGGTTCGCAATCAAAAGTGTAGAAGGAGTGCGAGACAGATGTCCGTAATTAAGGTAAATAGTCAATAGAAGCAGAAAGTTGCCTACAACAGTCACGGAGGCAACCATTGACATGATCACAGTTGAACTGAGGCAAACTTCTAGGCTGAAAGTAAGCTTTGAGCCACAGATTGGCTCTCTTGAGAATGATGAAATAATTTCTGCCAGCCCACTTTTTGTAGCGTTTGTGGAGTTCATCTCTTACGGAGTACAACCAGATCTTTGTCTTTATCAAATTCACGATAAAATGTCCAGGCCAATTTAAGGAGCCTTTGTCTTCAAAAGAAGGTTCTGATATGAAAAAAAGTAGACTTTGATTCGCTGATTAAATAAGCTAACATCCGGGAAGGTGGTCACGTGATTTGTTAAGACGTGACCTATTCCAGCTCCCTCAGGCCAGAAAACAATGTTAAACGTGCTTGAAATGTTGAATATAACCGTTAAAAACCTGACTTGTGTCACTTCTTGACAGATAAAAATAGGCTCTCTTCCTTCCTCCAGAGGTCAAACTTGAGAATTCTGTATATCTTTTAATTACGTGTCGGCCCGCGGTTTTTTTTTATCAGTACAGGGCAAATTATAACTATGAACTAAATTGGTAACGTAAACGTTTCGCTCCGGCAAAGGGCCAACGCTCGAAACGTTAGCTTTCAAACTTTTTACGGTGGCCAATTTAGGTTGTAAACTCAGATGATATAGCTAAATTACCATGATATACTCTCCCACCGACGCAGCACCACAGTTCCTTATGAAACTTACCCCCTTTTTTCATCACCCTGCTTTTTCAGATGCCTAAAATAACAATGGCTTCCTTTCTTTACGGGAAAAAATGCTACCCAGGTAACAGGAAATTAGATCACTTATTTTGCTTGTACAATAAGAAAGATGAAAGCAATCAAGTTTTTGACGATACGTCTGTAGTTAACGCGCTCTGAACAAACAAACAATCAACTTGTTCTTTCACTTTAAATAAACCCTATTCAATCAAAAAACAAAACATTTTCCCTCTGAACAAATGAGAGTTTTTGTCGTTTCGAGGTAAATCGGGTTTGATCCCATACTATTTGATTACTCTGGGAGGTAATAACGCCGCGGATAAATTTCACTTAATATTCTTCTTTTTGCCGCAACGTCTCGTTATCAGTGCCGAGCGAATACATCGGAAACTGCCTATATTTCTACACGAGTTGTATTTTTAATGGACTTCAGCTAGCATACGTGATCATAATCTATCGCTAATTTTCTTTTCTATGTTTTATATCATTGAATTGAGGTGATCTTTTTCCCCTGAAGACTGAGCTGTATACAAGTTTTTTTTTTTTAATCAATCCAATGCAATTTGCCCCTTGGCTTTCGGAAATGGTACTCTCATTTTATTTTTCTATTTGCAATTGGCTAATAATGAAAACACATTTCCTCCGAATCAGTTATTCCCTTCTATTTTCGATTTTATAAGCCCCAAAATTTCTTCTTCCCCTCAGCAAGATGTACCCAAATTGACGGCATTTTTTAAAATGTTGCAAAAGGTTATAAACGATTCAGACGGCAAATTGGCGCCAAAATAGCATCTTAACTTTTCCATAGGGCTAAATTAATTGATGATAAAAACGTGAAAATGCCCTCTATTTTTTTAAAATAGACAGCAATAGTGTAATTTTTTCCTTCGATTTTTTCCAATTTCGTAACTACATTCTGTTACTGGACCGCTAACGACCGATTTACATGGTACGACTTTAGCGCGAGCGACAAGGCTGCGTCAGGCTCACGACACGACATAAGAACACTAAGAAAACTGAAACATAAAAAACTAATGTCTTGAACACTATGCTGGATCTGCTCACGTAATTTTATGTGACTTCCATTTCACAAGGACGATGCCAAATTGTTCAACGATAGGGTTTGTGTTCCTGTTTACGAAGGTATCGTTGTAAGGGTTATTTTTAGTCAGATATCAAAGTGAGTTCGAAGATTGTAACAACCATTCAGTATTTCATGATCCTATATGGAAAAACCGACAAACCGACAAACTCCTTTCAATCTTTTTTTGCAATTTAGTTAGTTTGGTTACATGAAAAAGAATGTCAGGTTTAATTAAATTGTCCATTAAAATGACGTCTAAGTTTTAAGCTATGTACTGGGAAGACATCTTTTTTTAAAGTGGTTTAAAGTGATGTTTACTCAGACATGGCAGACTGTTCATTAAATTGCGTCACCAACACAAATGCCAGTATGGGTGGCATTTTCGACAAATGATGACCCTTATGCAAATTTTCAATCTTGTTTCATCGAGTAGCACTCATTTCCACGTCGTAGATATTTAATTTGAAATTCGTTTGGTCACTGCTTTAGGGTTTTTGCGATCAGTAAGTCGCTCACGCCGGCGTGAACATGAAGCAAGATTATACAAATTAAGCTGATAAATTTTACTCAATCAAAAGAAAAACTATCCATAACCTCTGTGAGTCTATGCAAGTGTATTTTTTTACTCTCTCTCAATGCCTGTTCTAGAATGAGGGTTTCGATGGGACGATGGCTTTTACGGCGAACGGTTAAAATCTGAAATTGGTCATTTTATACAGCTAACAGTTAATATCATTCCATTGTTGTTACCAAAAATATTTTATACGGTTAACTTTCTTTGCGACAAACGGTTTAAAATGTTTTCAAAGTTTGATTAACGGTTAAGTTTTTTTGGCCGTTTTACGGCTAGCGGTTAACCCCATAACATTGAGAACCTTTAGAATGCTATTCCAAATCGTCGGTATAAAATGCCGCGCAGAAAAGAAGTCAAATTAATTTTTACTTTACTGTGGTGACTAATGGTTTGAAAACACGACTAAAGCAAAATAATTATTTTACAAGGTAATTTTACTTTCTCAACTGAGTTGGTATTGTAAATTGGCCACGGTAAAGAGTTTCTAAAGCTGACGTATCGTTTCGTTTTGTTTAGCCCTTCGCAAACGTTAGCTTTAGAAAACATTTTCGATGGCTAGTTTACATTTTCAATTTTCGGTTGATAAAACCAAATCCTCTTGCGTTATCACCGACGCATCACCATACACAGCACTACAGTTTTTTTAGGTTCTACGCTACGCACCTTAAAAGGCTCAACTCTTTGTGTAATATTTTTCGCAGGAATCGACCCAGACAACTTCCTTTTTATTTTACTTTAGGGATTCCATCAGGATCAACGATAAAAAGACGAACACTATCCAGGTCGTAGGTTATACGTTATTGATCATGCTGGTTATTTTGCCAAGCATCATAGGAAGTTGTTTTCACCTGGACTTAATTAACTCTTCAAACCCCAGGAGTGACCAGAATCTAATTTCTCCCTTTAGCAATACTGCTAAATCATTCACCAAGATAATGAGAACAAAGGAAATGATCGCCAACCTAAGAAACTCTGATTGTTAGACAAATTCTCCTTATCAAAACTACAGCAAATATAAAGAGAAGAGTTTAGAGAATAAGGATACTGATGTTAGGGGGTAAAGGGTTAAAATTCTCATATTCGCGTCTGGTGCAGATCAAGGACGTTTGAGGACGTTTCAGAGCTGGTTCTCAGTCTACTAATGTTACCTTATGTTTGGTGCGTCTAATTCAATTTAAGACAGGACAGAAAAGTTCAATTTTAACTTAAAAGCTCTCAATAACAAAACAACTTATAACAGTTGAATATGTTTGCTGCTTTTAAAGGAGAAAATATCATGCCGAGAAGTTGTCATACATTAACAAAATTTTTTTTCACTCTAGCATCATGTGTGACTGACAATTGTCAGCTTTTATTTTATGGCCGCAGGGAGGCCTTTTCACTCGCAGAACCCGAAACCAAAAGGGCCCATAAAACTGTTCTGTTTTCATTCAAGATGGAGGTTTTAAAAGTTTCGAAATTTGATAATAAATCTATCAGCTAAAGAAACACAGAGGGCTGCCTGGTTAAGGTCAGTGCCAGAACCTGCTTGTCTATAATTTAAATAATGATTTTTTATAATATGGCTTCGGGCGTCTTTTAACTTAAAAGTTACCGGGAATTTTTCCGCTCAGACCAACAAAATTTCTTCGATCATGTAATTAAGAACTCTGTTTTAGCCTTCCACTCCCAGGAGTGACCAAAAGGAATCGACAGTATCAGTACATCTGCATCTAAATTTTATTTAGTCGGTTAACATGATATCATATGGATAATCTTGATAGAAACGTCGGGTATGCGCAGGTGAATTAATTTCAGCCGGCCACACTGCCCCTAATATTTTCCGCGTACAATTTTAAAGAAAAAGATATAAAACAAACGTTATCACGCAAAACATGCGAAAAGATTGGAAAGGACAAAGAAATCTGTAAAAGGAAAGAAAATAGTGAAAGAGAAAATTCAAATTGTTAAATGCGACGCGCAAAGGGATGATGAAATGCATTTCTTTTTCTGAATGTCATAAAACTAAAACCAGTTTGATTACAACGACCACTCATGATCTTAACCTTTGTTCTGATGGTATTTGTGATTAGTTTGGTTTTTCATTTTGAACACTCGGTGGAAAGCTGCTCTAACGCGTGTTTTCTAAACCAATCATTCGGCATAAAAGCACCTCTTTCGGCACGCAATTGAAACTGCTCTATTCAGTACAACAGTAAATGATAATAAAGTCCTTACAAGGGGTCTTAAAACGAATGAAGTCTTGCTTAGTTTCAAAATAAACCGAAACCATGGGATCATAACAACATGCTGTTGAAAACTCTTTCTATTATCAACAGATCTTGACGGTGTTAACAGTGGTTTGAAATTATAATCTCTTCGTTACGGATTTCCTACAATCTTCGCCTTTTTTACGCCTTCAATGGCCTTCACCACACAAAGTAGAAGCTGCATTCTAAGAAATTAAGAAGAAGAATCTTTAGCCAAACAAGTGTCAACAATACTTAATATAATAAGCTAAATTCTGCACACAGTTTTATTAGTTCCTACCTATGATCTAATGGTGGACAGACGCATAGACAGATAAAAAAACGTACAGCTGAATTCTGAATTCGTTCCGCCAATTTACGCAGTGCACAAATCTAGCGTTTTAAATAGCCTGATGATTTATAACAATACCCCTGTTGGAAAAGAGTACTTCCTAAAACCGAAGTACGTAGTAAGTAGTAACCGGAGAAATATAATTTGACCTCTAATCTAGCCAAAAAAAACACTTTACAGACCTAGTATTGGCCATTATTGATTGCGCTCCTCTGTTAACGAGAGCGAGGCTTTTATTGTTTTCTCAAAGCTTGTGGAATAATCTATATCGAGTTAATAGCCGCCGATGGCCAACGCCGCGCGCAATGTATACTGGTCAGAACTAGTAATAATGAGATCAGTAATTCCTCTTGTGGGGACTAGGGGAGATGGGGGAAAGCTTGATCCAAATTTAAAGTGACAGGGAGATGCAGATGAAAGGCAAAATCGAACTTGTTTGCCATTACCCTTCCAAAGAGATCCAAATTGCGTTACATCTCTACAATTCTCCAATCAAGTTTATTACTTGAAGTAGTCTGTTTTTTTAGTACCACCCCGGCATAGGCACGCAAGAAAAAATCCTCCATTTCAAAAGCCATAAATCTTATAGCTTAAACTCAAAAACAGATTCTAACAAATCTTCCCGTCATTTATTTTTATCCCCACCACTCCCCTCGATGGTGGCGATAGATAGTGTGCTTTTAAAAACTGTTAGAAGAAGCTCAACAGGAATGTGGGAACGGAGGGGGAATCGGCCGTTGCACAGAGGGGGGGGGGGGTAAAGAAAACTGACAGCCAATTAATTGCCAATGAGGGGGGATCACACATATATTACATGACGTATGGAGAAATAGGGTAAATTTTATGGTGACACAACCAAAACCCTCCTCCCCCTCCCCTCAAGGGATAAATAATCAGACCGGTCCCTTGTTTTACTTTTTCTTTTTCACCTGCAGATTCAACAGCAAACTTTCCCCCGAATGTGAATCAGCAAGGCTCGTTGCCAAAAGGTTGCAAAATTCCTGGTGGGAGCTTTCAGGGATGCCGAAGTTCGACAATGATGAGGGGAACTGGCCCATATGCGGCTGTGGGAACTGGAACTGATTTGGTAAATCGGTGCAAGGCGGTGGCTGGGGAACTGAGAACTGTGGTGGATATGGATGATCAGAGAAACGTGGCCCTGACTTAACCGTGCTGCTCTCCATTTCGAACTCCGGCGGAAACATGTGGGAATTGGCCGCAAGGTTATGGCCTTCCTGCCCGTGAACAGAATTCTGAATGTAATCTTTCAAGCTTTGGATGTAGCTTGTGGCAATCCGCAGAAGTTCTATCTTAGTTTTCACCCTGGTCTCCTCGTAATTTGGAATAACGCATCGAAGTTCTTCAAAGGCGTCATTCATTTTTCGCACACGTTCTCTTTCACGTCGGTTTGCTAGGACTCTCTTGGCTCTTGACATTTGTCTCTTTCGGGTTTTCTTTGTTCCGTCGTCTACGATACCTTCCATGACTGAAAATTCCAAAAAGAAAAAAAAAGCCAAAAGGAGAAAAGGAATTTAATCATAGGGTGAAAATTTGCAACCATTTTAGAGTCCCCGGGACTCGCTACTCAAAGGTTGTGCGATTAAAGAGCGTAACGCGGAATCAACATTACGTTGTCTACTAAAGTGGTGCTCATTTTATTTTTGTTAAATGGCCCCATCCAACATAATGCAACTCAATATTTCAGTGCAAAGGTACACCATATATTTCATTTCGAGTCTGGAAATTCTGCACAAGTTATATTATATAGTTATATTTTTTGGAAATGATTTATTTATTCCATCGAACAAAACATTTACAGTATCATTTAACTTACAAAAGTAATAATGGTTGAAATACATCAGAAATAAAGCAATTAACTATACCTAAACTACGATAAAAATGTGGGTGAGGTTAAGTTTAATACGTCGGTATGGTAAAGCAAAAAAACATTCAGTATAGAATATAAATCCGTTGTTGAACTAATCATTTGTAGGGTAAGTTGCTTCTCACCTTATATCAGTGCATTTTTATTAAGAAGATTCTCCATGTTTGACCTAAGTTCATTCGTCAGTATCACATGCTTTGGAAAACATATTTTGATGGTTCAGATGTTATTTTTCTGATAAAAACAGTAATTTTATACGCTCTCGTTATTGCTAGAGATGTTTGAATACGTTTCAAGTAATTTTCCGTCGAGGGATGAAGAGAGAATGCATCCAATTTTTTACATTAAACCTATCAAAAACTTCTCTGTAAAGTTCTTGAGTGAAGTGATCTTCAAGGAAGGTGTGGAAAATAGAGTCTGGCTCTTCCAATTTAAACACTTGCTTTTTATGGCAGAAGCAATGCATGTACAGTTCTTTCTTGGTGACAGTAAGACTATGCAATAAATAGAGATATTTCTCTCTACTTTCTGATATTCAGCAGGAGAAGTATTTGCCATGGATCGGTTTGCTGTGAGGGACATGCATTCTGGGACAGTTGTTTCTATGATGTTTGCTTAAGAATGATTGGTGCGTCTTCAAAGCGAATTTGGGGTAAGTGCGTCATTTTAGAACTGGACCATCGCTGCAGCGTCTTCCAAAACCAAAGTTTGATTTTTACTAGTTTTGCGACCGAGGGTTGATCATTAGAATAGCTGGTTATTAGAACTCGTAACTGTGTTGTAGTGGAAAATTATTCCTAAGAATTTTTTTTGCGAACAGAGATTCCAAAAGCCAATGGAGAGACTATTGCTGTTCAGAAACGTTATCCACGCCAAACTACTTGTATTCCTGCAGTCTATCATGATCCATAATAGGCAAAATTTCACAATAGCTGTCCTTTAATGCATAACTGCTCGACGTGACTGTTAATTTTGACAGTCAGATTAACAACGTCCAGGAAAATTACGCAATTCCAACAGCGGAAAACACTTCAAAAGGTTACCTGTTTTAAAGTTTTTGGGCGATTCCTCTACTCCTACTCCTCATTTGGATGTTTACTGGTTTCTTCTTTAACTGAAAACTTATTTACCAGTTCCTCTTCTTTAACGTATTTTGAGATGAAATCTGATAACCAAATTTGCATTGAAAATAACTTCAAGTTTTCCTCCCCAGATGCGAAAATTCTTTCTATTTTTGCATTTGTCCCGTAAATTCTACCATTTATTTAAGTGCCTAAGATTAATTTGATGTAAACTCTTCGTATGTCGATAAAGAATTGTTTCGAGATTTGAACAACATAGTAAACAAAACGGATCACAAATAACAATCCTAAACTGTTTTTCAAAGGAAATTAGGTACAATAAAGAAACAGTTAGCAAAAAATAACAGTGTTCATAAAATGCTGACTACTTACTACTCTATTTTATACAAAGTTCGCGTTGAGGGCATCATTTCTGTTTTCTTAAAACATTTCCCATCTGAAATTTTGTAAAAGCACGCTCGAAATTTTCCCCACTTCAATTAACTGTAAGTGTTTTTCTTTCTGGCTGTCTGGGGGATAAACGTTTTTTCATGTTATTGACATAAAAATACATTTTGGTGACCTTGAGGTGTGTCAAGACGAACCAATAAAAATTTTGTTTACTATTATATAGCGCTTCCTCTCCAGATTACAGTCAATTGCTCTTCCTCAGCTACATAAAAATTATTCAGTTATTACGATAGTTCCGTGCGGGCCACATGTATGCCGGCTAATTATAATTATCTGAAGGGTATTTTTTCTTTTTCAAATCCTTAATCAGAACTCAATATGCCATCAATTGTGAGTTGAAGAAAATAAAATCGCGACTGGATGTCGAAACCAAATTGAACGTTAATAAACAAAAGGTTTCATGAGGAGTAAACAGCTCTGCACGTGTGTTTAAAACTTTAATTCCCAGTCGTTCTGTAAAACAACAACATTACGTGAAATCACCACATTTCTCATAGTATGAAGACATGCACTTTAACAGCGAATTAATCGCGTTGAAACACAATGTTGCGTTTATATAATATACTTTAAAAGTCCGCCGCCTTCAAAGGGTTAACGTATGGGAACACTTCGCAAATTTTCTTAGAAAAACATTGGTTCATTTTCGGTCGACAGTTTCTTTGGCGACATCGTAGTGAATGCTAAAGGTCCTCATGAGATATCACGATGGTAAAATCTGAGAAAACGGTCGGTTCAAAAATGAAATTTCAGAACTGCGCAAGTAGTCCTATGTTATTGCCTTCTCTGAGGGCGCTTGATCTTGCTTTCAGTGAGAAATGTGAATGCACTGCCGTGTATGAAATAGAAATGTGATTCGTTCGCCGTCGAGTTTTCTCTTTCATACAGCGCAAAATTTGGTGATTTTATTTCATGTTCTGCTTTGAAAATAATGTTTACAGTTTTAAAACGTTTGAGCTGAGGAACTGTTCTCCTCATCAAGTCTTCCTTTTGCTACGTTCCCTTGCCTTCGTCATAGTGGTTTCTTAAATCGCTGTTAAATGTCTCATTTTTGTGTAGTTCTCATTCCTGGCTCGGCAAAGCTGGAAAAGTTCATGCACTTATTTAGATAGCAACGACATAACTCCTATGTTTTTTGTTTTTTGTTTTATTTTTACTTTTACCTTATTCCTGTCGAAGTTTCTCAGTTTTTAAGTTAAATTGGTCACGCTGGTCGTGGAATGAATGCTTAGTAGACTAGGGGATTCAGTTTCATTGGTGCATGTAATTCTTTTGTGGTAGTATCTTAGCCAATTCAAGAGGCAAACGTCATCAAACCTCATCAAAGGTGGGTCAATAGCGAATTAGTTAATGTAAAACAAATCAAAATCAGACAAAGTTACTGCTTCATCTTGTTAAGGAAGTTAAGTGCGGAAAAAAATAACAATGCAAACGCTGAGCACAACACTTAATTCATCGCAAGATGTGAAAGTCTTGTAGGATTTATTAGTCATTCTCTAGCTGTGGAATAACTGGTGAAAAAACAACTCTTAAGAACGTAAACGTCGTCTTTTTTCTTTCGCTTGAGATAAACAGTAATTGGGCTTTGAAAGAAAACAGTTCTGTAAACTATTGGAGCCACAAAAGTTTTCTACTAGAAATAAATTAGTCTTTTCTATGTTGTGCGACTGTTACTAAACCTCATTTGGTCGAGACCAATAAAAGACCCATTTTATTGAACATTTTGAACCCGGAGAGACTTTCATTTTTATTATAAATAAAAGATTACCGCAACGAATGTTGTTTACATTTCCAGTTATTAAGTTGTGGGCAAAGATGAACCGTTAAAATCCTATGTGGAAGGCGCTGCTGAGGTGTTCCTATGAAATGATCCATAGTATAAAGCAGGAGAACAGCTACCATTTTTCGCTTTGACTTGAATTTCATATCTAGTTTTGATGAAATTTTAAAAGTCAAGGTTGGGAAAGAAGGCGCTATCATAAGCTATTTCAACAGGAAATCGTTGTGACCCTTGTCGAGTGGGGCTATCAAATGATCTGGCTGATTTATCAGGGTTTGTTAAAATTAAGCAGTGCATTAAGACTGTATGGAGCCAAAATCCATAGAGTACAAATTCGTACAATATTCAACCATTTTGTGATACTGAATCACACAAGGTGCGATCATGGAGAAAATCACCTCTAGATGAAATTTAATTTTGGTGTCAATTTTTTACCACAAAGATACAATGCTTTTAACAGCATGTGTTTAACAACAACAACGTTTAGAAGTAGCCATTTTTCTGGGGCTTCTTTCTGAATAATATCACAACTTCCTCTTTCATTACGATTTTCTTCAAAGTAAAATCCTAAGCCATAGTGCACAGGTGTAAAAGGCACGAAGCTCATTTGTTTTTCCCAATTTAAAAGCACAGTTTGCAAGCCTTTTGTTGTTCTTAACTCCCCCGACCCAACATGGCGGACTTCGCTTATCCGCCCTATCTTGCTTCTCCTCTCAAATCGTTCTGTGCAATACTTGGCTCGATAAATGGCTGCCCCGTTACTCCTGTTTACCAAAAATATCATCTCAATCTGGTATAAGACAAAAAGTTACAAAACTACTTTTAATATCAAAAAGACCTGAGCATTGCGCCATAGGACTACTCCCAGACACGAGTGTTTTTTCAGACGTTCAAATTTTTCCAATGTTCTGTTACCTTAGCAATTAGACTGTTATTTCAATCAGAGAAATCACTAACAGAGCGCTTTTGTTTAAAATTGTTGTTTTTACAGATCTAAGGAAGATGTTTTTCTCTCACGAGAGAATCACATAAAGTGGGCGCGGCTCTCCGGCCGGTCCCTCATAAAGGGGTGACTTGTGTTATTCCATCTATTTCTAGACGAGTCAAAGCATTTAAAGTCTGTTGAACAGAATACTTTATTTTCCTTAGAAATGTCAAAGCTTTGAGGTAAGGAGATAAGTTTTAGCCAGTAAAAATCCCTGAAAGTCCAATGATTTACACACAGAGGGTAAACATGTAGCTTCTCAGCTGTGCCGGCGTTTCCTATTTTTCAAGAGGGGGTTTGTTTTTCTGCCCATTGAGGCAAAACAACGAGCCTGTTCTTGCACGTTTCCATGTCTTAGCGTGCTCTGTGTCAAAATCATTTGTCATTATTTCGTGCCCCTTTATGTTACAGGATTCGAAACGCATAGTTCGACCAAAGAATCGATGCCGAGAGAGAATGTTAGACAGTCTTAGGAGCGTGACTCGCTCGCTATCAGTTACGCAACGTTGCACCACTTTTTGGAACAAAACGTGACTTAAGCGTCTCAATGAAATTCATTCAGCTCCACAGCTGCGCAAATTGAGCGCTTGTAAGGACTAAACCTCCCTTAAGGCACGAACGATACGTGCTCCTTTATCAATGATTCGTGGACAGAAGTGTGCCAGATTACAAAGCTGTATTTCGAGTCCACACCACTGCATGATCTTCTCTTAATCACACTCAAACCAAAAATAATTTACCTCTCAAATTGATCACAAGGCACACCGCCGTTGCTTTCAGTCACGATTCACGGTTCAACTTACACAACGTGCTGCAAGCATTTTCATTTTTACACAAGCACCTTTAAGAAATTCTTAAGTGCACATACCTCGACTGGTTACCCACAGAAAACGGTTCAACTACCAAGGTCTGCTTGCGGCCTTCTTGCCACACACCTGCCTTCGATTTCACCTCAATTCTTCCCGCGTTGACCGGATAACTCGTGACAGTCAATATAACCTCGCTTTCGTGCTAATATTATATTACCAGTGTAACTGTAGTGCCAATCTAAACCTGAGTAACATTGAAGAACTAATCTAGCCTTGTACAAGTATCACATTATGACAGTGATCGTAGGCCTTCTGGAAGCTCGGCAGTACTTCATATGCTTTTGTACTGGTTTTACCTCGCCGAGTACCAAATTTTTACACTTTGATTTAACTGTAAGTGTACCCTTTTCTTGTATCTACAATGAGTGGCAACTGTACTTGGCACGCCTCCTCTTAGTAAATGGTCGCCCATCCTCCACTCTACAAAATAAACATAATAAATCTTGTAATTCACCTCTAATAACTTATTTGAAAGTTTTCTCTTTCCCACTAAACAATGTTGTTTGAAATTAGCGGGCATTTTTTCAACAACAAGCAACATTGGAATGGAGGAAAAGAATGAGAGTAATAAAAAAAAATAAAAATCGTAAAGTGTTCCGAGACTTTTTCCAGTCATTGTAGAATGAACGAGAACTACATCCTTGACTTGTTTTATCTTGAAATGACAAAAATGGATGTGGCTCATAATGTAGAGACTGCACCTCACTTTTCTTTCGGGTGATTCCTAAAATATTACACTGCATCAAATGAAAGAGCCTTGCAAAAATCAATTACTAGTTTTTCTCAGCTTTTCCTTCACAACTACTTGTTGAACTCGACTCTTCATGCACTTCAAGCCCGAAGAGCTATCTGTGCTAGGCACAGTATCCTCGTACAATCAAGGCTTCCAGGAAAATAACCACAGATTCTAGAACTTTTGAAGGTTTTACTGTCCGAAAAAAGTATTATTGTCTACGCCCTGTTACATTTCATCTATAATTATCTCTAAAAAGGGATGTAGAAGAGAGTAATCTTGGCTTATTACTTTTCCCTCAATCATGTTTTCCTATTTTCCCGAAATACAATCTACAATACCAATTTACGGAGACTGCGACCAAGTGAGATCTCGAGATGAACTTATAAACTCGTTCCCAGAACCAACCCTCTTTTAAGGAATTTGGGAAGCTGGGAACGAGCACTTTCCCCGGGGAAAAATGTACGTTTCACCGACACTTGTGATATTGATTGTTGTCATGGGGACCTGCCTTGCCCACAAAGGCGACGATCTAACATGACGATTGCAGAAGTGTTGTTTAGTAACATAACGTCATCGGCTTCATAGGTGTTGTCAAAGGTTTAGTTCCTCTACTATCTGGGCTGAGTAAATGCTCGCCCTTTGAGCTAAGTAAAACAGAATGAATTGTGCCTTCTTTTTGCGAATCTTGCTCAAGAAACTGTTCTTATTCAAACCAGCGATAGAAAATATTTTTAACGAGTTATCAGTTAACGAGACTAACGCTAACTAGAAGATGATCAAATAAAATTTAATGACTTTCTGTAGTTCCTTGCTGAAAAATTTCAAGACATCTTTCACAATTCACAAGACATCTTCGTAAAGTTAAAATTTCAAGACACAATCCTAAATTTTCTCAACTGAGAGGGATAGTTTGCTTTCAAAGTCCTTTTTGTTTTGCGTATGCAAAAAAAAAACAACTGGACGCCCTTTTGTTCAAAGTTTCGCAACATCTCACGGTTTCCTGCGGTGTACAGTGAGCAATGTTTGATGTAAAATAAATTAGATTAATCAGGCCTTCGCGAAATCTTCAAAACCCTAGGCAGAATTCAATTTCTTTTCTCTTTTAAAACCCGAGAATCATCAGATCAGCGAAGGTTATTTCATCAGTGTGTTTGCTCCGTGTTCACAATTTCGTGAATGAAAAATACTTCACGGTGAAATGTTATTTACGCTGAACTAAATCCTCGGTTTAAAGAGAATATGTAAAGCACCTTTTAAAGAATGGGACAAAAAGATTTAATTCTAGGTCCAGTGAGTTAATTCAAGGTGAGCGACACGCGTTCGTGTTGACGGGACACTTTACACTTCTTATTATCCAAGCAGCAGGAGACCATGAACAGTCAGAATTCACACAATTATCACAAGCACAACTCATAAATTAGCAAAAACAAAACTTGTATTGCTGTCAGACGCGCTTGTTGTTCTTTTATAATTGTTCTGATTCAATTTTCAACTCAATTGATCGACACAAGCTTGTACCGAAAGCCACCAACTGTTCTATACAGCGTATAAGTTAATAGCTGTTTTTGGTTCAAATTGATCTGTCTTGAGTGAACCGAAAAAGCTTTCAAAGAAATCTTCCTTTCTTGTGGCATTCTAGAAAAACAAAGCTTTTAACTTCTCATGTAAGATTCTTTCTTAAAACAAAGCAATCCATGCACACTTAAAAGAGTAAATTCGCTAATTGTTAGAATTTATCTTTGTTTTTGAATGATACTTTCTGTGTCCAAATCTCTCGCTTACTGATAAAATTTCCTCGCATCTGTAAATTCCTTCTTTATTAAGAGACACTTTTAAAGATAGAATGTGTTAAAAAATCAGTACCTTTGCTTGTAAACTGCCTACTATCTTATGTTATTCAGAATTGTGCAATCAGCCTCTTAAAATTTTAATGAGAAGGAAAGAAAATTGAATTAGGTCGGGTAGCCCTTATCTCGATTGCTCGTAATTTTGTTTAGAATTTTCAACAAAGAATACGCGACAGTTCACGATAGAATTGAGTAAAAACAGACGTAGTCGATTCAATAAGTATCTATAAGATAGAGAACTTCATCTTCTCCGCTAGTCTTTTACATACTTTCAAACACATACACCGGTTGACCGCAAAAGTTACAATTATATCTCATAGAATCAGTTGTAGTAAATTTTATGTTAACTCGTTGCATGTTTACGGATAGTCGATTATGAATCAATGTTTGCCACGAATTCACTTGTATGTACAACAGTAAAAAAGGGTTAGTTTGTGTATTTTGGCAGGTTTCAAAAGAAAGAGTGAAAATCGGTATTGACACAAATCGCGGTAAATTTTGTATTAAAAATTTGCCCTCTGCAACAAAATCGCTCTTTCAACTCCAAGCGCTTATCGACTCTACAATTATTTCAGACGTAGATTAACAACTCAATGATATCGCAGATGCTCACATATTCATTCTCTAAGAAAACAAGCTAACAGTGAACTTGAAACTCAGCTCCTTTTGTCGGTGGCTTCTTTGCTTTTGGTGACATTGGTTAAAGCTGAAATTAACACTGGACGCCAAGCATACAAAATGAGTTTCCCGTGGGGAATTTAATTGCCGTGATGTGATAACCTTTTAGTACCTCCCATAACAATTTTGGGAAGTTCCAATTATTGTAATGTATTCAACACAATCACTGGCGCTTAATAATACAACACAAGCCCTTGGCGGGTGGCATTTTGACTACAATGAGCAGGGAAGCTCTAAAGCACGCGCGGGTCCTTTTATCTATCAATTCACCCCTCACAGAGACCAATTTTTGTCGCGTGGAGACCCTAATAAACTCTGAACAGTTAATCAAGTGTAGTACACTTCAAACAATAGAGAACGGACAGGATTTTCAAAGCAAGTTTCCGGTACTTCACTCATTCAATTACTCCGCAACACGAAATTCACCTGCCAGCGCTTATTCAACGGAATGAAACAAAGGAAGAACTGGAATTATTTCAGCGACGTTTAGCTGTATCAAATCTTTGGAAGAGGTGATAGTTAAACACGAGATGTTAATTACAAAAGGGATTTAACCAGCTAAAGAAAAGAAGATAGATGTACATTAATTCTAACGAATAAAAACGTAGGCGACAAAAGATAATTTCTGACATGTGTTTATTTATTTGACTTCAATGTACATGTTATGCCATTACTGATAATGTTAACAAAATTAGGTGTGAAAACATTGTTAAAAATTTCACTTATATTGCCTGGTTATAGCTACTACCCTTCGTATGAGTAGATATTATTTCTTCACGCGAAATCTTCGCTTTCGTCGCTATTAAAATTGTGCTTAAGTAATATAAAAAGGACAACAAAGGAAAAAATTTGGACGAAGTTTGAGCAATTGGTTTGAATTTCTATACAAGCGAATCTTTTGCAATTCAAGTCAACATTGACAGGGTTGGTAAACTCAGTTTTAGCCTGTCGCTCTCTAAGTTTCGATAATTACTGCTGATCTTGTTAAGATGAAGTGCAAATATTTAATTTTTTTACAAATTGCTACACACATGCTCCCTCGCGCGAGTTAAAATTACGAAGCAATCACCTAAAAAACCTTAAAGATTTTAAGCTTTCGCGGAATCGCGTTTAATAAAGTCTGGATAAGTTCATATGTTTCCTCTCCTTAATGTTCTTAGTGAGCTTCTTCAACGTGCTCTTTTAAATCAATCTTTTTTGAAAATCGCTTTCTACAGGTTCGACAGTGGTAAGGCAAGTTGTCAGAATGGGTATGCATATGAAACTTTAGATTAGACATCTTGTTGAAAGCGCGATTACACTGGTTGCATCGAAATGGCTTCTCTCCCGTGTGAATCATAATATGGTTTCGCAAATTTCCCTTTTGATGAAATCCTTTCCCGCAAATGTCGCAGATGAAGGCTTTCTTGTCGCTGTGTGTTCGGAGATGAGTCTTAAGTGTGGAAGAGCGGTTAAAACTCTTTCCACACTCATCGCATTTATGCGGTTTTTTCTCTGTGTGAATGATCTTGTGCCTGCACAAGGTGCTGGACAGACGGAAACCTTTTCCGCAAACGTTGCAAACAAATGGCCGACTCTGAGTATGATCTGGCATTTTTAAGTGAATGGACAAGGTGTATTTGGTCTTAAAAATTTTGCCACACTGATTGCATTTATGGATGGCCTTGTCTGAGCGACTCTTAGCGCCTGTATCATTTAGTTCATTTGCTTTATTCACATGGGAACTTTTTTTGAGCGCTGAACCCGACACCCGCTTGGCTTCGTCCGAGGACGAGTCAATGTTCTTGTTGAAGTCTTTGGCGAATGCGTTGGTTTTCTCCTCCAGTGCTTCATTTTCCCGAAGAATTCCTTGCCCGGCATAACAAGAGATTTCCTGAAGATTGCTTTTTTGAGCATTTTGGCCCGACATTTTCTTTCCATTATTAATGAAACCATTTGCAAACCTTAGAATCTTTCCAATATCATTCACTCGCCCATCAATTCGGACATCGGCTGGGTAAGATGATTTCTTTTTCTTTTGAAACGTACCGAAAAATTCAACTTCCTTTTCCTTCTTTATTTTTGCCGGTCTCTTGCTTCGCCTGACATCTGAATAATCCTCACTAGCGGCTTTCTCCTCCTCTGTGAATTAAAAATACAACATAAATGATACTTCAGTTAAAATCTTAAAATGAACACACGGCTACAACACGAAAGTGGCTGTCTGACGTGTTTACATAGAGACGCTTTTATTTTGAGACATTTCGAATTAAGGCACTCTAGCAAATACTTATAAAAGATTTTGATTCAAAAGGAAACAAAAAACTAACCGTACTGAACGGAAGAAAGTTTTCTCTCGCCGAAATAATTGCCGTCATCGAAATTTCTCTTTAGCAGAAAGGCTCTTGGCATCGTAGCAAGAATTTGTAGTGTGGATATTATCTGTCAAAGTTACGACACTACCAAACACGATTTTCCTAAGCAAGAAAATTTCCCGCGATTTAAGCGCCGATCCACAGCCAAGCTGCACTGTGTATAACTGAATGAGTTGCTTTTGTATTCTTTCATTTTATAGCAACTTTGTGAGCGCGTAATCTTTTAACAACTCTATGTCATGGGGACTGAAGATAGATCTGGCATTGTTTTGAGTTCGGATGATGCGGTTTCCAACCAATCAAAAACCGTCAGGTCTGGAAACCTGCAAACATATTGAATAATTTATAAACTGCACATATGAAAATAACTCTGCAACACCTGCCACTTGTGGGCTTTAATTTTTAGGCTCTTATCGGTAAATCCGCAAACAAATTCTCCTTGCGCATAATGGATCGTATTTTCACGCGCCAAAACCGCTAAAAGAAAAATTCCGATTGCCCACATTTTTCATGGGAAGAAGCAGTCGGTCTTAACTAGTTTCGGAAAAGACGATCACAGCAACCTATTGAGTCGCAATAAAAATGCAAATACTAAAGCATTTTCTCTTGGAAATATTTATTTCCCCCTCGCTAGGGTGTAATAAGTGCTGTTAAAAGCATTGGGCCCGCCTATTGGACGGACTAGCATAATAGGTCTAGCTAACTTTATTACAGTTCGCTGTTAGTGGCCTTTTGTGTGGAAATCTTTTCTTGTCATTTCAATGGCATTTACGAGCCGCCTTCGCGTCAGAAAATTCATCCCACCTTTTTCCATCGTAGAAGATGATATTTCTAAACGTCTTCTATCTATCTTCGACCCATTTTCCACGTTAATGTCGCTGCTTGGGAGAGTGGCTCTCGTATGCATAGAAAGATATATTTAGAGGAGCACGTCCACACTCCTTTTAATGAACACCACACACGACCCATGATATCGATTGAACATTTGTTTATTTTTCGCATAATGGTCGGTCGCCAGTTTGTCTCCAAATACTCAATAACCCTTCCACCATTGTTTTCGTTTCTGCATGCTTCTAAGACAAAAGAGATTTATGCGGTGTAAATCTAACATTGTTAGCGGTGAAATTCCTGCTGTGTCATTATTCCTTCTAACTAACTTGAAACTGCGAGTGGTAATAATACAGAATAACCTTATTTTCAGATTTTAAAGGTAACTTTCTCTATTCGATTAGGTTGGCTTGAATTTCTCTCCTATTTCTATTTTTCCGAAGCAAAACTGTGAACTTAAGTTAAAGTTAATTTTATGCAGTGTAATTAAACCTTGCAGTTCATTTTGAGTTTGAATCAAATTGAATATCGAAAGCTGCGGATGGTTGAAACAGGAAAATTGTTGACTTCAAAATTCTGTCTCAAATTATCTAGAGAACACAAGATTTCGATATTCAGTTTAAAAGTATCGTATTAGTACTTTGGGAAGAAACATTTATTGGCAGTAAAAGAGAAATATCAGATTTCAAAACGAAAAGGATATGTCAGATCCATATCGATAAGAAAATGCATTTCAAAACTAGACAAAAAGTATAAATTAGAATTTTCATTCCATAATCGAGAGGACCTACTTACGTGTTAATATAATTTCCGCGGTTTAAAACTGGAAATCTAACGCCTTGTGAATGCAAACTCTTTTATAAGGATTAATTAAATTTTAAAATTTGTCTTGAATCTTAAGGAGTTAAAATTCTCTGGGCTTACTACATATGTAATCACCCACAATATTTAAGGTTCTCGTCGCTCTCGTCTGCTCGAGTTTTTTTCTTTTGAAACAAAAACCGTGAATTCAATTCAGCAAAGACAAAAAAGCTGCCTTCTTGAGGCGTGTTTGACAAAGTTGAGTTAATTCAAACAATATTTCGTATTCCGTTTAGCTTCCAGTTAAATTCAATATCCCCGCTGAAGCTAGTCCGTAATAAAAACGTTTAAGAATGAGCCAGTAATTGAAAGACAACGCACCTAATAATGATTAACATTACCACTTCTCAAACCTTTATCATTTTCGCGCTTGACTGTGAATCATGTACGCCGTAAAATGTTTGAATAGAAAATCATTTCAAAGGCTTGTTAATTAGGACGTGTTAAGTATTCAGATGTCTGTCACCATTTCTCTTTCAGTCAGATATCACTTGATATTCATAGTTATCTTCTGAAACTCTATCTGTTGGTGCACGATAGGAAAATATTGCATAGACAAAAAAAATACGCTTATCTTGTAGTCTCGGTATATTTCCACCGTGTTTTTGAAAATTATTCTGACAAAAAACCAAACATGACAAGTTTAAAATTTTATCTGAAAAACACAGTTTCCGTTTGTCTAAGCTATAACTTGAGCATAAAACAGGTGTCTTTGACATCTCAGCATATATTACCGACAACAAAAATAAGCAAATTTTTAACTGATGGCCTTTTAACCGTGAATTTCGCCGAGCTCTCTCATGTTTAAGAAACATTTTGTGCGAGATTTCTGGAGAAATTCAAGGACTTAATGATTATAAGCTTAAAAATTTCATCAACAATTTCGGAAAAATGCTTTACGGAAAATGTTCTCCGGCAAACAAGCCTTGGCCTGTGCCGACCAAACTTGCATTTCCTTGGAACATGTAATTTTCCGGTTTGTAAGCAAACTTGTCATGACTCTTGCTCATTTTCGAGGACATAGTGCGCTTCTTCATCAAATGGTTAACATGTGTAGAGGCAAAACTGAGGACGTGAGAGTTTTTGTAAGAGATATTTTAATTTTTATGATGGGAAAAGCATTTAATGTAATAATACCTGTGACAGATGATTTGAAAACAGCCATTTTAAGGATATCCGATATATCTATTTATTTTATGATGAAAAGCCTCAGAATTACATTCAGATTTCGCGTAAAAAAGCGAATGAAACCCGACAAACGAGGCCGTAAATCACCATACACGTTTAAAGAAAAAAGTTCGCTTTGCATCTATCCAGCGTGAGATCCTTCTTGAAGACACATGGTGCGGATCCATAGAGTTGGCTGAAAATAATTCAAACGCTCACAGCACGTGTTTTCAAAGTCCTTTGTTTGAAGTTTCCTCTACTCTTTGACAGTTTTTTTTAAACTTAGAAAGTGCTTTTTAAAGACAAAGGCATGCTACTTGTTCCTCTAGTCTCACAACTTCTCATAATTGCCGTCGTGGAAACTAATTTTAGGAACCAGTTTTGCATTGCGTAAATTGTTTGAATAATGAATTATTCCTGTTCAAGGCACAGTTAACAATAAGTCAATCGAGTTCAGAGCTTTCAGTGATGCGAATCTTATTTAAATAATCAGGAGAAAAAAATTCGTTATATAGTTTCATCGAGGCCGGAGAGCCTTTTAATTTTACTACAAAATTAGTTAAAATGATGCTTGGGGCTGGTCTGTTCCTCTGTCAATGATTAATTTATTTCATGATACCCTGAGCACATGGAGATTTGCAAATGAGATTCTAAAATAAAAATTCATTCATTAATGTGCATCAATTTTCCTTTTTTTTTCTTATAAGTGTAGGTGGACATTCCTGATTGCTATAACTGTGGTCTTTGCTTTGCTCATGAAACTCGGAACTTTTGCCAACTTCACCCAAAACCTAAATTAAAGAAAGCATCGATTTCTAGTATCATAGAACAGTCGTGTTATCTGATAACGTGTGAGTAAACGATTGACTGATGATAATAATTATAACCACTCTGATGATAATGACCACGAGTGAAGTCGAATTAGGATTCTAATGCTTCGAAATGTAAAATTTTTGAGTGAAATTAAACGACTGTGAAATGGATGGCGAATTTTCAAGTTTTACTGTCACGAAATAAAAGCGATAGACGTCTACTCCAACATGACCACCTCGAGAAAAAAGTTTGGCAAGGCAAGCTTAATAAGTTTTGTAATTTCAATTATGCATTTATTTCGTTGCGCGGTTTCTTTAAAGTGTTCGGTATCGAGAAAATGAAAAAAAGACCATCTCCCCCCAAGGATTTTTGATAAATGATGAAAATGAAAAGATGGAATTTCAGCCAATGCGCGCTTTTCATTTTCGATCGGTCTCCAGTCCTCCAACTACTGAAAAATGACGTGTTGTAGCCTAGACTCCAGTTCTTCGAAGAATATGATCCATCATGGCGGTTGTCCACTTCCTTGGGAGAGACAATTTTTCATCTCGCGTCCAGGACAAGTTGTGGGAGATTTGAAGGGGAAATGAAATGGAAGGGAGTAAGTCAGATAAAGTAAGAACACCAGAAAAGAGTGCCTTTACCAAACTTCAATCTCCAGAAGGGAATAAGTCGGTAGGTTTGTAGTTATTTTTGTTTGAATTTTACGTCACTCAGAATTGAAGCTGAACGTAAATACGATATCCGTGGTTCTCTCGTGTAGAAAAGGGAAATTGCCAATTTGCAACGCAGATTTAAAATTATCGTTCCTGGTCTTCCATTATAGTCCTAAGTCAACTTATATACCGCTATTTTAAAAAACATTGGCCTTGTTTGCAGTAGCTATAATGCGCTAGTAATTCCTTCTAAATAGCTAGTATTTAAGAGGATTATAAATATAAAAGCTAACTCTTGAATTTGAGAATTAAATATCGTAGTTGCATTTGGTTTTTCGTGTATGTTGTATCACAGTCACGGCTACTTTGTTCAGAAGGGTTGTCCTTTCCTCTAGCTGTTCACCAGGAACTTAAGTTCAAAAAAATCTTTCAATATTTATATTTAGCTTGTCGTTTCACCATGGTATTTTTGCTGTCAAAGTTATTGATATGGAGCTAAGAAATGACTTAATGACGTATGACATGCTCAAGTTTATCAAAAAATTTTGACAATCAAGTATTTGACTATTTTGCCACCAACTCAGAGGAATCTGCAAAAGAGTTGCTTGCTAATAACAGGAATCACATGGACAGTTATTTTATTTTCCCATAATTAAACAGCAAGAGAGACACTGCTGTATATTGAAAATCAGAAAACATCCTTAGAAATTCAATCAGAAATGAAAACTGTGGAAAGCTATATGGAAAAGAAATTTCATCAAAAGGATTGGACCATCTGAAACTGGATTTGACAATAAACTTACAGAGGTCTTTAACCCTTTCAGTAATTCCCATATGTGACTGAGACAGAATTTCCCTATAGAATAGACATCACAAAATCAAGTAAACAAATGATGTTAAGAGTAAAGGATATTATCATGTAGGGAATTATTAGTTAATCCAATACCAAGTTCTCAGGACTAATATGTTCATGCACTGATACTGTAATTTCTGAACATGAAAAGTTTTGAGCTAATTAAAAATGCAAGGGACTGTGTAGAAAGGACAGGAATAAAACAATTTCAGTTAACAGTTTTGATTTTTTTTTGTTTATTAATTTTTTATGTTTAGAAATCAGCAATAGCAGAGGTCAGCTCGACTGCAATTGTGAAGTACTCTGCCCAGGAAGTCTTACCTTACTATAACAAATTGCAGCAGGTAAAAAAAATAGTCTTTAGAATCATTACTTTAATGAATAGTGTCTAACAAACAGCCTACTCTTGTCACTCCACCAAAAAGTGCCTTTGTGGCAAATATTTACAGGAGCACCTTTAAAGTTATGAAATTTTTTGTTGTTATCAATTGATTATTAATAAACTGTATTCACAACTCATAGTTGTGAGAATTTGGTGTTAAGTCCAGATAACAACTTCTACCTGATAAGTTGGAGTATTTTCATTACCTGTATGGTTGTATAGGGAGAAGTTACATGTTAATCACTTCTGGGGTTTAAAGGGTTAACTCTGATAATGATTTCTTTAGAGGTCGTCAAATATTATTCAAATTTGAACAGTAGTCCTATTTAAGAAAAGCCTCACCCAGACAAATGCTATAGATAACAGTTTCAGATTGCTGTTAGTCATCACACTTGATGGGAATGGAGAGTGTGAATTTGTAATTATATGTCTGAAGAAACTTCCACTGGCCGTAACTGATTGCAGAATTTTTACTGTTAGGATACAAACCTCAATGTTGCCCCTTCAAATTGGCTGCGAGATGGAAGGTTTTCTGATCTCAGTTTTCTCAAAAGGGACCCTGTTGAGTTTACAAGGTAATCAATCTTTTTCCAAAAGAAACTTATTTTATATATGAATTAATTTTACAATTAGGGACTTCTGTTGTTATTGCATTTTAATGAATGGTAATATCCACTAAAAGTACATATTTAAGTTTTAACTTTTCAATGTGCTTGTGCATGACTTTTTTTGATACTGTGGGAGATTTTTGAAAGTTTCTTTGAAAAATTAGGGTGACAAATGCAACTGTAAACCTTTTGACATGTTGAAACAAAATAGCTCTCAAGGTGAGGAGTGTTATGAGGTACCAGCATGTTGCCATGCAAAGTCACATAGATGATAATAGAATTTCCAGAATTGATGCTATGGGCCAGCATCTTATTTTTGAATAGAAGCACTGCTTAAAAATCTTTTTGTCATACAATGTTGTAGACAGAAAAAGCCCTTGATATTAGCTTGGTACTGATCCCCATCACAGATTCTCAAAAAGTATGGATTGTTTTTTTTTAAGAACCTACTAACAACTGTATAAAAATTTCTTTTGGAGCTTGCATCATGGCCAAGAATGTTTCCTTCAGTTTCATTTCAGACTTTCTTTATCCTCTGTCCTAACATTTGATTTTACTTTTGCATTTTGATCATATTTTATTTTTACAGTGCAACTGTGAAAATACATTATCAAACATTGTCTAAAGAATGTGGTTGGTTTAGCTGGAAATGTATTTGAAAAGTAATAGATAACCAATGTGAAGTTAGAATTTGTTCAATTAAAAATTAATATACTGGGTATTTTGAATCACAGTTTTGGAATGGCACACAGCTTTGTTGATACTATTGGAGATGTTGATGTGATATCTGATGCTGAGGTAAAATTTTCTTTTCTTGAGACATTTGAAACTCGTCAGCTTTGTGACAATTCTCTCAGGTTGCAGGGTCAAGCAGGGTTAAGCAGGGTCAAACCCTAACCTTAACCTCAAGAGCAGGATGTTTTTATGATTTTGAATTGTTCTGCTGATACCATGTCCTTCATTTGCCTTTCCTCTGGGTCCCTTCTTTTCCACACATTTACCTTCTAATGGCGAAATGAATAATAACTTATGTATTCCTTTTGACATCACCATTCCATTATGGTTGACAACATTTTGAGCAATTTTCAATGGAGTATTGAAAGAAATCCAGGATTGCTTTGTTTCAGCTTTACTGCACTCTGTGACTGTTCCCAAAAAACTTGTGCCACTCTCTTGACCAATTATATGCCAAACTAAAACCAATCAGATTTATTTCTCATATTTTCCTGCGCTTGTAACAGTTTGGTTGGTTTTACTTTGAGTTCTCATTGGCTCTTAAAGGTATTTTCCTTTCTTCAGATTGGCTGTTGTGATTACATTGGTTTTAGCTTTAAGACACTTAATCAATGAATGCTCTGACCAATATATACACAAACTGTCCGAATAAAATGAACTATTCATACCCAGTGAATCAAATGAGAAAGAAAACTCTGAAAACATGCTTTAACTTTGTCTTAGTGGGTGCATATCTTTAATTTCTCTTTAAATTTTTTTCTTTTGCTTTTATCAATATAGAACATCAAGAAATTACTTAAAATACCATACAGGTGTGTGAATCATGATTTTCTTGGTATGATGTACCCCATCTTAATGACTCTTGATTTGGCTTTGAGAAATTACTGTTTAATCAGTCTGGTTAATCACATGCATTTTGTAATGCTTATTAATTTATTCAGTTGATACCAGCTGGATTCAGCCAAACACAAAAGGTCAATTTTTCATTCCATTCATTCGGGTGATTCTAAGAATACGTCAAGTTCTATTTTGACTTCCAAAACAAGAGGAATGAGTTGAGTGTAGGTAGAGAGGTAACTGGATAAAAAGTTAACAGTCTTAAACAAGAACGAAAACCATTCCCAATCAACACCTTTGTAATTTGATTGTCTTGGCTTTGGTTGCTGTTACATGTACCGGCCTACTATGTAATTGATCCTGCCAGATTTGGAACAGAAGGTTTTACCCGCATTCATGACTTCTGTTTACTAAGGTGTTTTTTAAAAAAATACATTTTGTCATTTAATTTTGTTGTTCATTTAGTGCCAAAGCTGAAGTAAGCTTAGCAGTCCATAGAGTGGGGCCAACTCTGCTGTTGGATTATCTTGATGTACCATCACTGATTTCATTTGCTTCTGAGGTTTGTTTATATTTAATTCTAAGTAGCTTCAGTCTGCGTCAGCTAAAATCTTTAATGACACTTAACCCTTTCACTCCCAAGATCTCATTGGTATTTCTCCTTACTCTGCTATATAACTCCTATGATGTTAGTTTGGAGAATTTGGTATTGGATAAACATTCTTGATTCTCATCTCTTGTCTGCTTGATATTGCATTGATATTGTAAGGAGAGATTCTGTCTTGGTCATTGGTGGGAGTTAAAAGGTTAACAAGAATATATCTGAATCTATGTGACTATCTGCAATACCATCTTCCAATATCTTATATCTAAAGATAATTAAAATTTTGATCTAAGTCTTCTCTGTTAGGGATTGATGTAAAACTATTTTCAGGAACACTTTACCAATTAAATGAATTCATGAACCATTGAAATATTTATAACTCATTCAGATGTGGGCTGGGAATTGAAATTTTTATGCTAAGTTACCGTTACTTAATGCTTAATTTTGCCAAAGATCTCATACCTTTCTTAATATTCCAATTTTCTAATCATACTCCTCTACTTAGTTCTTTTGATTCAGTGCAAACTCTTTAGTTTCCAATAAAATTTGACAGGGACAGTTCTTTTCATTTTTAACCCTTTAACTCCCATGAGTGACCAAGACAGAATTTCTCCTTACTATATCTATACAATATCATGCAGACAAGTGATGAGAATAAAGAAAAATATCAATTGTGGGATTACTAACTGATCTGATACCAAATTCTCCAAACTTAAACATAATGAGAGTCATTTGGCAGACAGTAAGGAGAATTACTAGCAAGATCTTGGTCTCCCAGGACCAGTCCCAGTTCCCTTTTTCACTCCTACATTTCATGACTTTTACTATAATAAAAGAGTGGTAAATTAGCCAGGGTTTTTAATGTAAGCCATTTACTGGTGATCTGCTGCTGTATACAAGAGCTTTTACCACCATCTATGCCTTTTCCCGGCAGTCAACCCATCAATTGCACTGTCTACAACCATGAAAAAAGTTATTGAAACCCCTAATTGATATTTCCCTGTACTCTCATCACTTGTCTGCTTGATATTGTGTGGATATTGCGAGGAGAAATTCTGTCTTAGTCACTCATGGGAGTTAAAGGGCTATGCAATGATTAGAAGCACCCTGGGAATACCATAGCTAACTGAGTATGAAATTATACATTATCAATCCATTAATTTTGTTTGCTTACTTTTCTTGCAGGGACACAGTGACACTATTTTTCGTAGGTGGCTTTATGATTTCTACTGTGAACAAACTGGAATTCCAAAGGTACATGTATGTGTATGTTATCAGAGTAAATAAGGCATGTGTTAAGAGGGTACATTGAGAAAAACAACAGTGTTAGGTATACATGACTGAAAAATGTTCAATATACAACTGATTTCCAATAATGAGATTACAAAAAAGTTTGAACATACTTGTTTGAAAATTTGGGGTTAAAAATGGTATGTTTTGCAGTGCATCAGCTTCATTTGATCCTTTTTGTTGGTATTTGTCAGTTCAAAGGGCATGATTATCTTTGCAGGTAAAGAAATTTGCTCTGTCTAGAAATATGTTCATGTGCATTTGCATAAAAGCTGGCTGGTTTTTGATAATATCAACATTTTATCAATTTTCACCTTATGCCAGGTTTATGGATCAATGGGATTTTGATATCTGTATGTTAGTAAACTATTTTTACATATAGTAAGTGAAACATACAACACCATAACATACTGCATTTATAGGATGCTAGCTTTGAACGCAAGAAGAAGAAAAAAGATCAGGCAAAACTCAGACACATATTTTCAAAGTTCCTTCATTACAGGTACAGTCAGTGTAACATAAGGCATTTCCCTTCAAATATGAAGTGTATGGGAAGATTATCTGAAAACCAACTTGACAATTAAGGGTTTTGTATCATAAGAGCAACTGCTATCTGTATGTAGAGAATTGTGGGAGAATGCTACCTTGGAGAATTTTGTAATTGAAGATTAGTTTAAATTGGATTTCCTTGATTGGTGGCAAAAAATTCCAGTGTTGGTATAAACATGTGATACTTTTGATTCATTTAGTTTAAAAATTTACTTTTATTAGTTGAAACATAAACAAATCGGAGCAGTGCTTACATTTTATAAAATTAAGGCTAAGGACATTTTCACCTAATGCGGAAGACTTTTTTGAAAGGAAAATTGTACTGTCAATGTTTCTAGAATTATTCAACAAAACAGCAAAGAAGAAGTTTGTTGTTTTTTATTTATTTATCTATCAGTTGAATATTAGAGTTTTTCTGTCACATGATAACTCTTGAAATGAGACTGGACTGTTTGTGTTTCTTCACCTGAGGGAAAGTATGAGGTATTGAGTAATGAGACCTCAAGCAAACCTCTCCAAAAGTCCTCTCAAATCTTCTCACTAGCGGAGAAACATGGGTCCTGCTGTGTTAATAATGAGGGCCTACTAGCAGGCTAGTGGAAATACTGTTTGCTTTTGAATTGATTTGTCAGGTGATCAGCAAGTGTTAGATATGTATTATCTCCTGGTCAGCACAGTTGGTACTTATAAATGATATTCCAAACATAACAAGTTCAAACTGAAATAATTTTTTTTTTGGACTGTTTGTTTGTGTGTGAATAAGAGTAATTAATTCCTAACATCTGATAATTACTGCTCCCCTCTAGGTGTTAGATCAAGGTGCATGTAACAACTTCTGCCTCGGCTGATAAGTTTGATAAGTTTCTGGATAGTGTTTGGGTATTGTAGGGAGAGGTTACAGGTTAATCACTTTTGGAAGTGAAAGGGTTAATTGTCTCAGGATCAAACAAAAAAACAAAAAGGAAAAAGGAGAAGGAAAGAGAGGAATGCTTATTTGGGCCGGGGTGTGTACTTTGAATTTTGAATGTAAGTTGTGGAGGAGATTTCAAAAAGAGTCCTAAAGAGTCACTACAGAGCAAACCCACTGCTCAAAAGGTTTGAAGTTGGATTATGATAGGCTGATACCCAGAGATCATTGCTATGTCAGTCGTGGTCACAAATTGTAGGGTCAGTGACTTGACACAGACTGATCTTTAAGGGGAGCGGAGGTTCTTTTAGAAGTGCTGATATTTATGGGTTCAAGAGTGTTCTTAGCAAAATCTCCAGAACATCCCAACCAAACATTATTGATTTTTTGGGGAGGGGAGTATCTTTTGCAGTTCCCTAATGATGGTTATTTGCGGTTGTTTAAACCATCTTCAAGGCAATGGTTTCTAAAGAAACCAAGATAAAAATGGTTTTTTTGTAAAAAATGGTGAAAAATGCTACCTAAATTATGTTATGGTAATATATTCTGGGTTAATCTGTGACCCTTTGTTACTAATTTCCTTCATTTTTACTGAAAAATAGACTGCAGATATGTTTAACAAAAGACAATTGAGAAAGACTCATTTCCCAGTTGAGGTTGGTAAAGATGTTGAAATTCTATTTGCCAACCAGTTTCCAATCTGCTACATTTACTGCCATCATGCTTGACTTCATCTGCTGTTGTACCAGCCTTGTACCAGTACTTGTACCAGTACTTGTTCTCCTTAGTCCTGTAAATGTTTGTTATTCACAGTAGCCTTCCAAGCCTTTCTTTTACCAGTCTGGCAAAAGCCACTTGTGATGTCATATCCCGTAAGAGCATGGAGCTCTTGTCTAGAAAAGCTCTTGTTCAAGCTCTTCTACGGGACAATGTATTAGAAGATAGCAGAGCATGTCATTTGCCCGATTGCGGAACCATATCCAGTCACATCTCAAATGATGATATGTAGAGTTACTATATCAGTGTCAGGTGACTGAACTACGATGCAACCATGATCAAACTTCTTGCGATCGGGAGTACTTGTCGGAGCTCATTGACTCCCCAATCGACCAACAAACCTCTTGCGATCGGGGGCTCTTTTCAGGGCTAATTAACTCCCCAATCAACTAACACACTTCTTGAGATCAGGAGCTCTTATCAGGGCTCACTGACTCCCCTATCAACCAACAAACGTCTTGCAATCTGGAGGTCTTATCAGAGCACGTTGACTCCCTAACCGAACAAGTGACTTCTTGCGATCGGGAGCTCTTATCAGAGCTCAATGACTCCCCAATCAACCAACAAACGTCTTGCAATTTGGAGCTCATATCAGAGCTGGTTGACTCCCTAATTGAAAATGTGACTTCTTGCGATCAGGAGTTCTTATCAGGGCTTGTTCACTCCTCGATCAACCAACAAACTTCTTGTGATCGAGAGCTCTTATCAGAGCTCGTTGACCACCCGATCAATCAAGAAACTTCTACCAATCAGGAGCTCTTATCAGAGCTCGTTGACTCCCCGATCAACCAACAAACTTCTTGCGATTGAGAGCTCTTATCAGAGCTCGTTGACTATCCAATCAACCAAGAAACTTCTATCAATCGGGAGCTCTTTTCAGAGCTCGTTGACTCCCCGATCATCCAATAAACATCTTGCGATCGGGAGCTCTTTTCAGAGCTCGTTGACTCCCCGATCAACCAAGAAACTTCTATCAATCGGGAGCTCTTTTCAGAGCTCGTTGACTCCCCGATCATCCAATAAACATCTTGCGATCGGGAGCTCTTTTCAGAGCTCGTTGACTCCCCGATCAACCAAGAAACTTCTATCAATCGGGAGCTCTTTTCAGAGCTCGTTGACTCCCCGATCATCCAATACACATCTTGCGACCGGCAGCTCTTTTCAGAGCTCGTTGACTCCCCGATCAACCAAGAAACTTCTATCAATCGGGAGCTCTTTTCAGAGCTCGTTAACTCCTGGATCAACCAAGAAACTTCTATCAATCGGGAGCTCTTTTCAGAGCTCGTTAACTCCCGGATCAACCAAGAAACTTCTATCAATCGGGAGCTCTTTTCAGAGCTCGTTGACTCCCCGATCAACCAAGAAACGTCTTGCGATCGGGAGCTCTTATCAGAGCTCGTTGACTCCCCGATCAACCAAGAAACTTCTTTTCCATGCATAGAATGCTATGCACTGCAACCTCTGCAAAGCTTCTATCATTGCGATTGCAACTAGAAACTTTGATGCAATATTGAGTGGTGCATGCAAATTATGACGGTCTAAAACTCATCAGAGTATCTCCACTGAAATTCTTTTGCCTTTGTACATAAAGCAAGATCAATAATGAGGTATTTTTCGATTGAACAATATCTGCTATTTATTCTTTTCACCATTTTGTTATTATTTCTCACAGATGGTTTTTTTTTTCTTGGTTTCCTCTGCAACCATTGCCGTGTTAAAGGTTAACAAATCAACCGAAATTATCCCGCATTTAACTAACTGCCAAATCTACCTCACCCCTTCATTTTTATTTCATATATACATAAATATTGTTATTTCCTAAAGCGCCTCACTGCCCCTAATAGTTAGTCACTGACGCCAGAATTTTTTACCACGACTAACATAGCGATAATCGCAGGGTATCAGGCTATCATAATCTGATGTCTAACCTTTTGTGTAATGGGGTGCTATGAGGGTGGCTTTCTCTGGCTTCTCCTCCTCGACTCATATGATAAGTGCTTAATCAAAGGGCGAGCACATTTGACGAAAGGCAGTAAATTGAGGATTTTATGGTATAGTCATCATGATATCTTGACCTTTTCACTACCTGAAAAGTTGCGTAGTTTGGTTTAGATTGTCTTGTTATAATTTTATCTCTTCATTTAGCATTCAGAATGACAATCAAGATGCTTCAACAGATACCACCTTTAAAACATACCCTGATCCCAGCTCGTCGCCTCTTGGAGACTCCTGTGACGAAGGGGAAGGTGAGCCTTTCAGAGATCCAGTCTCAGGACCAACTGTTTTTGCAGAAAAGGGATCAGATCTGTTTGCACCAATAATTGTTGAGACTGATTCACCAGAGGAACCTGTTCTACCCCAGGTAAAGGCAATTACATTTCCGATTGCAGTGTTATTGATATTCTGACTCCAAATTTTCAATCTTGAAAAAAAAAATGTTTTTTGTAAGCCTTTGAAAAGTGTTTATCCTTCAGCAAAGGGTTTGGGAGGGTTAGACTTATTACATCAAGCCTTTTAAGTTTGTGATAATTTCCTATTTTCTCATGAGCCTAATGGTTGATTCAGCTGTGATACCATAGTGAGAAATTAGAAGCTAATCACCCTCAGGGGTTAAAGGGTTAAGAGCTCTTACTCAAAAGTAGCCTGCTCCTAGCAGTCAGTTTGTGAGAGGGAGGGGGGCCAGTAAATATGTAAGGGGGCAAGTAAATATACAGGGGGGCAAGTACTATGCAGGGGAAGCAAAAACAAGCAGGCAAAGAGGGACCGACCCCCCCCCCCCATTCATCCATTCTGCCCCTCTGGCTGCGCAGAGTGCTAAGGATATCCAACAAAACTAACTGATCGAAATGTTGAGCTTACTTTCTTTGGCGATAGGAGAGAACCTAGGCCACTTCTGTGGCCAGTGGTATAACGTGAATCACTGTGCACTGCTCTTGTGAGGCGATCCCTCAAAGGCAAACATCTAATTATAATTCAATTTTGCCAACTGAGTTGATAATGTAAATTTGGCACGCAGCACTGCAGTGTTTTTAAAAACTTGCCCTCTTTATCTCATTAATAGTTTTTGTGCAGGTATGAATTTCACTTGTCTTGCCATTAATGCATTGATATGAAAAAGGTTAAAAACGAAACCTTTGTTGTTCAGCTCCAACAGGACTCTTCATTCCAACACAATGTTCTGTGGCAATTTGAAGATATCCAGATGCTTGTAGGATCCAACCTGCCCATATTTGGAGGTGGTAAATACCCTGCAGTCAGCCTAAGACTTAGGTAAATGGAAAAATCTCTACTGTAAGTTTACAACTAGAAAGTCATCAGATTTGAATGTGGTATTTCAGATGAGTAACTTTAAAGTCACTCAAATACAAAATTTCTACTGTAAGTTTACAACTAGAAAGTCATCAGATTTGAATGTGGTATTTCAGATGAGTAACTTTAAAGTCACTCAAATACAAAATTTATAGATATTCCTTACTACTAAAAGCATCAAAGACTAATCGAGGCGGTGGCGAAGGGATTTTTGTTTAAAGGGAGGAAAGAAATTTACTAAGAGTAAAGATTTCCGAAACGATACAGGGAACAACCATATGCGTTTACTACGAAAGAAAACTGAAAACAGCAGAAACTAAATTATGCCTAATAAACAATAACCAATAAGTTATTTGTTTAATCAAATAAGAAACTTTGATATAGTTATTCCTTATCCTTAGGGTATCGAGAAGTATTTGCTTAGTTTTTTACGGAATTTGGATTTACTAAGCGTTCTATTACAGCAATGAACAGCATTCCAGATCAATACGCCAATCTGTGGAAATTATATTTTTTTCATTTACGCACTTCTGGTAGCGTTAACATTGAAGGATTCATTAGATGTGGTACAATTTTAGTTACCAGATGTTTTTCATGATGTGATAATCAGTTTTTTGGTCTTTGTATTATCAAAGCTGATTGTCAAGATTTTTTTCTGATATTCAGAGAGTGTGGCAACCCCATCAACGTTCTAACAGGGTTGGATTACTGGCTGGATAACCTGATGTGTAATGTTCCAGAGGTAGCCATGTGTTACCATTTAGATGGCATTGTTCAAGTAAGTTGTTTGAAGAACAGTGTTGTATAATGGGCCATATTTAGTCATGGCATGTTGGTGGAGGTGGAGAAATGATCGTGTAGTGTTAATCGTACGTGCCTCTTACTTCTGGAACCTAAGTTCGGCTCCCTGGGGCTGGCCTTTGTGGCGAACGGGCTTTTATCAACGTCGTGTCACGAGCCGCGAAACCCGCCGGTTCCGTGGCAGTGAGAGGTCTGGGAAGGGTCTAGCACATGCCATAAACCTCGCACAACACAGTGGGGTCAAATGCCTACGTATGTGCGAACATTGAAACGATTGAGTATCAAAAAGTAGCGCGTCACGGTGGTGTAAACTCTCATACCTCTTTTGATAAAACTCAAAACGAAAATGATAAATCAATAGAACACTCTTTATAAGACAAACTTCGTGTTCGAAAATTCTCCAATTTCCTTCTTTGGTCCCCCTCGTACACATGCACGCTTGGCTCGCCGGCGCGAATCAGGCGAGCTTCGCCTCTCTTGCCGCAGCGATAATGACAGTCTGCTCGTAGGGTTGAGTTGGTTGTCAATTCTGAGCCACGCTCCAAGGATTTTTCTCAAAGGTTTTTTTCTGGACTCCTCTGGCTCTTATCCCTTGCCAAAAACCAACACTCAACCAGGGAGGAGTGGATGAAGAGTCACCGCTAATATAAGAAGTGCTGTGGTTGAAATCCAATATTATTTTCATGATACTGCGTAAAGAATGCCCCTAAAATAGTATTTTGATGAGTATAAAACGTCCAGTTTTATTATTGCCATTGGATCTTTATGCACTAAAAACTCTAATGGAAATAATGTTGCCAAATTTTAGCATCATCAACAAAACAGTATTTTATTGGTTTCACTCTGCAGTACTACGATCTTTATAAAACAGAGGAGTTACCAGACTTGGAAGGGAGTAATTTTTCTCCAAAGGTAATGTCATCCAGTTCGCTCCCTTTACTCTCAACTCCTTTATATGTGCTACTACCAGAGAATCTGAACAGTGTCTTGAGGTATAGAGGTTGTTCAATACAGGAAGTATTCATTTCATCTCGGTCCTACAACATAATTGCGTCAATAACAAAATGCTCTAAGATGATTGGTTCTTGAGCTCTCAGTAGCCTAATGATAGGTGCGCTGGTTTCCGGGTCGAGAGATTTGGGGTCGAAACCTGGCTGGGTTAAGGTGTTGTGTACTGGGGAAAAGCACTATATTCAGACGGTACCTCTCCAGTCAGGAGTATGATCGGGTACTAGCAAATTGCGAGGGACGCCTAAAGTAATGCTGGGGGGTGACCTTGGACTAGCATCCCATCCAGGGGGGAGGGGTAATACTACTAGTTGCTTTATGCTTAGGAAACGGGATAAGTTCCGGCTGGGGGGCCAATAGGCTTGAGTGTAGACTTAACCTGGCTGTTTCAAGTCCAATCTTTCTGATTCCATCAGTCCGATTACACACACTTGTAAGCGGACAGGCCAATTCGGACAGTTAAGCAGCCAATGAAAATTAAGTTCTTAAAGCCGTCGGGCAATAAAACTCAGCTCCCCAGCCGATGGTCACAAAAGCCGGTTCCTAATTTAGAGTTCGCATCTGTTTGATAGAGCTGTCCCCTGAATGAAGATATGTGTGGATGAAATATGGGAAGACTTAGGTTGGTGTCCGCTTGATTCAGCATTCATCAAGTTGCTTGAGCTTCGTGGAATTTTTTTTTTGGCGTGACAAGTCTTCTCTTCAGATCTTAAACAGCCACCCAACCTACCGAGTTCTTCTAAAGAGCACTCCACGGAATGTTTAGTTACACTCCCAGACACATTTGCTGGGATACTTACTGCATCCCCTCTCCCTCTCAATGTTAAAATTGAATGGAAGTGAGGCGGAGAAAGAACACCAATGACGTTGTTCTGGAGAAGTGCCCCAAATAATTATGTCTGGGAGTGTAGCCGCTTTTGTTATATTTTTCAGTTGATTATGTCTTTGAAATCTTCTGTATCATAATCCTGTCTTCTCTCTATCCTTAGGTCGTGAAAGATGTAGCACAAAATATCCTTTCTTTCATGAAGGCAAACTGCACCCGTGAAGGACACACCTATTGGCTTTTTAAGGGTATAGTGGTTTTTAACTTTGCTTCAGTTAATCCTTTACACCATATTACACATTTCGGAGAAAATGGACAAGTTCTACTTTTGGCCTATCTATTTTTAAATAAGAGAAGACTCCGTTGTAATGAAATCCGTGGATCAAGAAGTTCGTGATCGTTTTTCTCACAGTGTAGTCACTTCCCATGCGGATCTACATCGGAAGTAACTCCATCTTGAAACAAACTATCAAAAGTTTGTGGTTAATTGTTTTTGTTTCGTCAATTCATACACATACCAATCGTTTCATACAAGTTCACAACCTTTTTTTGTATTTTTTACTGTATCCATTGCTTTATAGCGACTGGCAGTGACGTCATTAAGTTGTATGACTTGACATCAATTTGTCAGCAGGTATGGAATTTGTAAGGATTATTACCCTGTTATGACGAACATAGAAACAAACTATATCTTTATTTAGCAGATCATTTGAAACAGGGAGTTAAAAAACCAGTCAACCACAAAGGCTTATACTAAAGTCGACAGGATTGTTGCTCTGGATTATTGGTGTACCCCCTTTTCTCTCGTATACTTGAAACTCGTTTTCCTTCTCTTTGATTTTACATGCGTTTCATTCTATACTCTGTGGAGCCAAAGGTCGCTTTTTCTACAAACCTTTTGTCAGATTGTGTCACCCAGTGCATTGAGGAGGTATTGAAGTATTTGTTAGTTTTGCAAGCAATGACGTTTGAACACTTCTTAACTTCTCAACTATTTAATAAACTAATACATGTTTTATGGTGTTCTGACATGAACATGACTGTGTTTTTTCCTCCTTCCTCTGACTACACAGCGAACGGACGACAAGACAGAGAACTTGTTTACTGTGCCAGTGGCTATGCTGTTCTACCGGTCAGTATTACCTAATCATTTTCTTAGCGCCAAAACAGGGTTCTTGCGACAAGCACTATTCTGCTGGAAGGCGCGATTGTCAAATTTTACAGATTAGGCTTTTACATGGTTCGCGATCTAAAGGATTATGCCTGCGCAGAACTCTCTAGCTACCATCAACTATCAGAAGTTTTAATGTATAGCTACTACCGCCTATCATATTGGAATTTTCTCAAATATTGCAAAATTCAAGTTGTCGGTTTAATGATGAACAAGTATGTTCAAAGGTAGTTCAATATTCGGAGAGCGCAGTCAATTGCTCTCCTTTACACGGGGAACAGAGAACTTTAATGTGACTGTATTACCGGTTTATTTAACCGAACAACTGCCGCGCAACTCGATCTTGTTCATTGTCTAATAATACATACGGCTCGCGACCGCGAGACGAAAACTGCGAACGGTGGGCTTTTTTAGCTTTAGTAGCTACTAGCAATAGTTGTTCCTGGCTCTTCTTTCACTCTCGGCACCTCGCGCCTCGCACGGAACGCTTCGCTTTCTGACCTTACCTTATACGAAAATGTTCGTCAAGAGACGCGTAGAGCTCCCAATATCCTGTACAGACGTTTTTCAGTCCTGTCACGCAATGCATAATGGTAGAATGCGAGCAGGCCCTAATGGTTAACGCTGAAGGACGAGCGTTTCTCCAACCGCAGGAAGATTGGAGACGAGTCGGGGAGGGGTCCGTTGGGCGTCTAGGTCGCGTTTCTCAAGGCCTCACTCTATCCTGCGGGCTAACAAACGCTCGTGCTGAAGTGCCAGTAATAGGGCGTGCTCGAATGCTACGTTGTGGTGGATGGGGAGCTGGGAAGGGGGTGCGAACGAACACCTTGCGTGACAATACCAAAACAACATCTGCGAATGGAACCACTCGAGTTACTGGTCCATAAGATTTTCTTCCTGAATATTGTTAGGTGTAAGTTATTGATCGATGGACTTTTTTAATCATCAGAGTTGCTAAAAATATGATGAATCAGTCACCATTGAGTTCTGGGTAAGTGAGATACAAGAACGCAATACTTGCTAGAACAGTAACCCACGTCTGATATCTTTGGACGACAGCAAGGGCCCTGAGCCGTGTGTATCAAATCGAGGCTTACTGGATTTCGTTTCCAGGGCCTCTCTTCTTCCTAATCGTGGAACGAGAGAAGGGCGGGAAGAACAGAGAGTCACGGAACGAGTTTGTCTTACTGGTAGACTTTCGCATTAAATGAATGAAAACAAGGACACAGTTTTTTAATGGTTACACTTGCTCTGGTCGGCTATTCTTGACTTTAAATGAGTTCCCATTAGAGAGGATCTGTAGTCGGGATGATGGACAGCAATTCAGTGAACGAGTTTTTGATTTTATCATATCATATTTCGTGCATCAGACCCAATTCAAGCATGTAAACCGCAAGACGTTTACCAATACCCACCTCGCCCTCCTCCTTTACTTTCGTTTTAACCCGTGAACTCCCGAGATCTGATTGTTAATTCTCCTCTTTAGCTGTTACACTTTTCCTAGTAAATTAGTGACGAGAATTCGGTGTTAGATCAAGATGACAACTTTGACATGATAAGTCTGAGTATTCTCATTACCTGTTTGCTGGATAATGTATAGATATATCATAAGGAGAAGTTGTATGTTAATCACTACTGGGAGTCAAAGGGTTAAGGAAAACGATTTTGATCCTAATGTCTGTTGCTGGTGATAGTGAATAATACTCTGACTTCTTGGACGAAGGGAAGGCATCAGAATCAAGGGAAGAATTGCATGTCACTGTAGAGTTTGAGTTGTGAAATCTGATTTATTCCTTTGCCGTAATCACGTTGGCTCGGACGTCAGCATTCGTTGGTCGCTCGGAGTAAAGTTTGATCCCCAACTTGAAGACTCTGTTGAATATTTAAATTATTTCTTAGATTGGTTTCCATTTTTTGTCAATTTAGGGAACAATCAACGGTTCGCCAGCTGCTCAATAACTGTCTCCTTTTGTTGGACAATGAAACATATCCCGAGGTAATCTATTTTCACCCATCTTTATTCTGAGCCTGTGCAACTTTTCAAATCATCTTATTTTTCATGTGGCGTTTCTTTAACTGCATACAAAGATATTTACGTTACTCTGTGTCCTTCGTAAAAATAGAAGTTGAGTTTCCATTTAAATAAATTACAGGCGTTAAGAATGCTTCAGTCAGTTCAAATCATAAACATTTTCCTAACTCCTTAATGTGAGACGCTTATAGTAACTCGAAATCTTCGACACTCAATCGAAAAGCGCGCTAGCCAATACTGCCTTACGCATGATAGGTCTGTGATACGTTTGGCATGTGTGTTTTGCCAGATTTTCTCATCAGCAAGCTTTTTGTTATCCGACCTGTACTCCCCCGATGATGTGCACGCCCTGCCAGCCATAAACACAACCGATGACCCGGAAGGCGATGAAGAGGAAAATAACTCTGAGGCTAGCCCTTCTGATGAATGGTCTGGACAAAGTGACGGAGAAACTATTACGGCCCTGAAGGTAAGACTTTAATCAAGTCCTCCATAGGACGTTAAGGTTTCTTCCTTCGTTATTCGCCAGCATTGAAAACTTTTATTCAGTCGTTAATCGTTTTGCAAAGTCGCTCATCGATTTAGATCAGTCCGACCTATAACCATCATTACAAGGGTTGAGAATTTTTTTCCTCTCTCCGCGCAATTGTACCCTACCTTCCCTAGTACAATGTTTACTTTACCCTGCAACCGTTGACGTACAGGGTTACACAGAGAAGGTATGTCAGAGAGGGTAAGATAACTCGAACGCTCTCCCCAGAAAACGCACTTGTATATGATAATTTATTATGGTCAACGAACTTCCGCGTTGGGTCAGGCCACTTTCTTTGTTACCTTTTCCCTAAATGCTTGAAACAAGGACGGAAAGCACAGGGGGATCGCGAACTATTGTTCGTTGATTTGCGTCGAATATTGTCAACCGAGACAGAAGGTAGTTTAAAGCGGCATAGGAGGCCGCATTCAGCATTAACGTAGTAAGGCAATGTTTTTGGGGAAATATTCGCCTATTCCTCGCGTGAAGTTTCAAGTCCTTGCTATCGGCTCACTCTCTTCTCCTTAGCTGTCAACGTACAAGACATGACCACTTTGCCCAAAATAACCCGTTGCAATTTTTATTTCCCGCCAAATCTGAGTGAGTATTTTATGTTCTTCTATTTTACAGTCGCTCGACGTGACGAAACTATCGACTCCCATAACACAACAAGATGACTGGATTAAGGTACTAGCTGCATGGTAGTCCTACTGGCTGTTTTGTTATTGGTATCTTGAGCAAACTACGAAGTCGATGGCAAAGCGATGGGCAAGAAACAACTTGAAAGGTTTTACAAGGAGAACGATAGCTCTGCTCGCGTATTTTCTAACTTTGTTTATTTTCTAGCCGTTCTCTGCAAAGTAACAATTAGATATTTTCTTTAGTCGGAGCAGAGGCTTTAACAGCTTTTTTCCATAAGCAGCCGCCGATGGTTCATAGGTGGCTGTGCCCGGAAAAAGGCCGTAAGGCGTACTCCACACACGGGAGCCTGCGCCTAGGCTAAACAGACGGTGAGCCATCTGAGCTTTCAGGGCTACGGTTCTTCCTCTGAAAACATAATGTAACGTGAGCTTTTCTGCCGAGACAACAAACCTTTTCCCAAGGTGGTTTGCGTACTGAGGAGGCGGGGACGGGAAGCGCTAAAGTGATAACAGCTGCTGGGATAAGAGTTGACAATGAGCATCTCCAACATTTTACTTTCTAACTTCTGAGAAAGTTCCGTTTTCATTTCTGAAAAAGAGATTTTTTTTCAATCATACAGGTTTCTAAGCCATTACCTAGCAACGTGGAAGAAAGGTGTAAAGTGGCTCTGTCACAGATCGTAAAGGTAAGCTTTCTTGCAGTCTTAGCTGTTCAGAGACTCATTTGTCCTTAACACTACATCGGGAAGAAGGGAGTGCCCTCAGGAATAGGAGCGCTGGAGTGTTCTATTTAAGTATTTCAATGTTTGAAAAAAATACGGCAAAAGAGCAGGCTATCAAAAGTGTATATTCAATCTCAAATAACCTGCTGTTCACGGGTAGATTTTGTTTGACTTGTTCAGATGTAATCGGAAGTTAAATGGCCAGAAATTGCTCAAAACTGGTGCTATCACTCGTATCTACTCACTTCGATGTTTGAGTTATTTTTCAGTTATTTTGTTTTATAAATTAAAAAAATAACTCTTTGTTAGCGTGTAGAGTTGCTCGCACCAATCAGATCGCCGCATAAGGGTATTATCTCGCACCAATCAGATTGCCGCATTTGGGTATGTATCTCACACCAATCAGATTGCCGCATTAGGGTGTATATCTCGCAACAATAATTTCGCAGCATTTGGATATCGTACACCAATCACAGCGTTTGGGTATTGTTTTCTTGTAAATTATGTCATGGAATCAGGGGGCTGTGCACAAAGAATGACTTCATCCAGAAATTTTGGGCTCAGTTGGTAAGCGTTATGATAATGGCCTTTGCAAGAGCCTCGTCGAGTGAAGTCGAGATTTATCGCGATATGAAAGGTTCGCACTTATTTTTCTTGTATCTTTTTTAAGTTAAGACGTGTTTTTCTGCTCCTTTTCTCACAGCGTACACGCCAAACAACTTACATTCCATCACATACCATGAAAACAACGTCCATAGTCTAATCAGAACATATCCAATCATTGCACTACATGAACATTAGACAATTTTTCACCTGCTTTAACTTTATTCTACCAATCAGATTCCATTTTGCCACATTAGACTTCGCTCCATCACATGCCATTTGCTTGTATACAACCAGCATTTTAACACTAAGTCTAACCACATTATTCAACCCCACTGAAAAAAATTCACAGGGAACTCAATGCTACTGATAGTGAATTTTCCATGCAATTCTTCCGCGTTTTGACTTTTTCTACGAACAAAATTGTCCCATCTCAACCCACTCAGCCAAAAAAAATAATTCTCGCATGCTACGCATGCCTACGTTATTGACTTGCAAAGGTACGTTATCATGGTCTCTCTCTCTCTATCGTTCCACGTAATAGGGCCTTTCGTGTGTCAAAAAGCATTTGTCAGAAAGCAGCCCTCAAGGGGATGTCCTTAATAGTACCACCGATGACAGCTCCTCTTCCGAAGGCGCCCCATCTCCATCCCAGTCTCCTAGAAGTGACGCGGTATCGAGCTCTAAATCCCCCCAAGCAGTTGTTCCTACTAGTTCAAAACACCTTTGTCTGCATAAGAGGGAGAAAACTCCTCTTGTCCTTAGAAGGCCGGTGCGCTGGCAAGCAAGGACGGCTGGCTTATTGTTTCACAAAGCGGCGTCTGTCTATCACTCGCTGGCCTGTACTTTTAATTCAAACGGCAAGTTTGGCCGCGGTTTGAAGAACTGTAAACTTGCATTTAAGTGTCTAGAGGCTTCTCAGATTTTTGGTGTGGAGCCAAAGAACAAGAAAGGTAACGAGCTACCTTACACTCCTAGATCGCTTTACGTCAGCAACAATTTCTGAAGGTTGGCCAGACACTGCCTTTTATGAATCTAAAAGAAGAGCAAAGTAACTTTTTAAATTTCTATGTAGCTAGGAGCCCTTAGCTTTCGAGCAGGCCCTCATTATCAGCGCTTCCGCACCAGTGTTTCTTCGCCCGCTGAAAAGTGTGAGGCCTTAAGAAACGCGAGCCTGCGAGAGGTCTGCCAGCGGTTTTAGCACTTATGATGAGGGCAAATGGTAAACCTCTCCTTGACTTGGCTCAAATTTTCCTGCGGGCAGAGAAACGCGCGTCCTGTAGAGCTTATATTCAGGGCCAGTTGATACGTTAGAATGAAAAAATGTAAGGTGAATGGGAGTTTTTGTTAGAGTTTACCCTGATGCTTGGCAAAGCTCAGACATACAGTATTTGAATTTTTTAGCCGGACAATTGCAATTATTGACAGAATCACCAAAACGAGTGGACTGTTTGGCTAGTTCTGACTATTGGTAAGTGCCCTGGGGCTCCTGTGCAAATTGAGAGAATGCTGGCAACCAAAAAATGAAGAGTAAATAGAACGTAATTGTATGCGGAGAGATGTTCATGTTTTTTTCTTGCTAAGATAAATATTGTGTTGCTAAGTAGCTATTTCGATTAAAATTTTTGGTTTATTTCGGATCTCAACTTAACGTAGTACTTAATTTGCACAAGACAGTTGCCTATGGCATAAGTCAGGGTCACATTGTTCAAGAAAGTTTCTTGTTACATATTTAGGCGACCAGTTGCTGATCTCGGTACAGTTTGTGTGCGGAGACTCCTATCTGATGTTGGCCAATTGTCAAGGGAATTTAGCTGTCCATCAGGAAGATTATCGTTTTAAATCCGAAGAAGATGTTTTCATCTGCGATGCGGCCGAGGAGTGCATTTCCGGTCAAGTTGAATATTCTTCTAGTGTTAAGTTTGTGTCAGATGTGGAGAAAAATTTACTGAAGAGGCAAGTTTGCTAACCAATCAATGGATGTCTCAACCCTTTAACCTCTAAGAGTGATCAGCGTCTAATTTCTCCCTTTAATATCACCCCTGGATCAAACATTAAAGACATGAGAGGATAGGAAATGATCACCAAACATAGAAGCTCTTGATTGTTCAACTAATTCTCCCTTTCAGTGAAAAAGAAAATGTTCCAAGAAGAGTAGGGAGAATACAGACATTGATGTTCAGGTGTAAAGGGTTATCATCACGGGCGGTTCATACACCCTCACTTAGGATTCTCTTGCTTCTTTGTCTTCCTGAAAAGCCCTAGAACGTTTTTATTAGAGAATAATGTCCCACAAAAACTCGGGGATTCTAAACTTATTTCTGTGAGATTCGTACAAAACTGAAATCAGATCGTGGCATGGCATAAAACTTTTCAAACGCCCTTAGTCCATGAAGTTATGTTTGTGAGTTTGATAGGTCGTCAAACTCAGAGATTTGTTGCATTGTACTCGTTGGGTTCCGAAATTCAATTTGTTGTTGTTTGATCATCCCTAGTGTTAGCTTATATGACGCCGCCCTTCAACTCGCAACGACAGACACCAAAGTGGAGCTGGTGGTAAACTTAACAAGACGACTGGGGAACGTTAAAAACGAGTTGGGCGTGTTTTATATGAACAAAGCTGCTTCCCTATTGGACAGCAGCTCAGAACCCTCCAATGAGGAACGAGAACTGTGGAAGAAAAGCTTCTCTAATTTCGACAGCGGTATTCGCACTTTTGATGTAACAGATGACAGGTTCGTTTTGAATATTATGTTGTTTAAAAAAACTCATATAAAGGCTTGTCTTCACTGGCGATGGAGTTGGAGTCGTAGGAGTGTTTCCAGGAGTGTTTCCAAAAACAAATGAGATTCATAAGCAGAGTTATGGGCTTGACGGGAGCGGGGTCGAAAGGATCAGAACGATTCCATAGTCTTCTCGTTCTTTTTTCATGTATTTGACGCCAATGAGCAAGTAAAAAAGTAACTTGTTAGAGGGTGGGTACTTGACTTCACTGTTGGCATGCTGGTCTCCCGTGAGGTAACCTGCAGTGGAGGAGCAATTTTTTGGGGTTTCCTTTTTGCGGAATCTCTTGCGTAACCGCTCGCTTCTCGCTCACTTCTGCTCTCCTGAAAAACGCTAAAAATTTAACAAACATACAAAACAATGAAAGAAATCGCCCGTTTTCCAGGGTACCCTAGGGTTGTAAAGTAAAGTTCTCATAAAATTTTATACTTTCTTCAGGACCGAGAAGCGAAAACCATACTGGATATGTTTTCGGCTAAGGAAGTGCTCCTAAAGAAGCATTCAACCTCTGTTTTTTTAAATCAGCGGCTCAAATGACATTAGTTTACAATAATCTTTCTTGTGTATGCTTTTTGTATCTTGCCATTTTGAGATAATGAACTAATCCGTTTACTCCTTTATTGTTATTTCAACCGCTTTTCCTGTTCTTTTAATCTTCAGTGCAAACAAGGCGTTATTGCTGTCTAATTTAGGCCGTCTAATGCGGCTATGCGCCCAGGCCGTAGGAGGCGTGGAAACCAAGCTGACAGGAAGAAGGGGAGAGTTCACTCAGGAGGAGAGAGGATATTTTAACAAGGTTCGATATTGTCTTTATTCCTCGCCTTTTACGTTGGTCCGCCCAGTTCTTGAGCTGACATTCACCATGAGAGACGGTGTGTCATAAACCCGGCCAATTTCAACGTATTTTGTTACGTTTTTTGGATTAATGTCAGAATCTCAACAACTGCTCCGTCACCTACCCCTTCACAGACCCAACAGCAGTCAACGGATAGAAAGTTAGGGTTAACTTTGGGTTACGGGAGGGGTAGGTGCGCAGTTGAACTGATACTGACAGTGATCTTTTTCATGTATTCAGTTACCTAATTCAACATTAACATTGCGAAAACAGTTACCAAATTTGTCACGGTACGCTGTACTTTACATTAACAATACGATATACGAGCATTGTTGGCATTGCCAATACTACTTAAAGTAACACTGTTGGAGCGTTATAAAAGCAACACCATTGATCACAACTACCAATCAGAAAAAAGGTTGACATCATCAGTAATCAATGAAAACTTAAAGTAAAAGTAGGTAACCTGCGTCAAGCGCGGGAAAGCGCGAGTGACCAAGTTGAGATTGGTCTTAGTTTTGCATCTGATTGGTTGAGAGAGTAGCATGAACTCTTTGGACCGATCACGAAGCAAAGTGAAGCAAAACCCAAGTAATTCAAGGTCACTCTCGATACTCTGTTGAAAACTGCATGACATTTTCATTTACCTTACCAGCCTAATCGTATTAACCTTGTACAGTAGAGTATAGAACATGGGCAGTTTTTAATTGAATGTGGTGTAGAGGACATTTACGTGACAACTGCTCGATATTGTTTTCACCCTCACGAAGATCCGCGCTGTACTCAGGTTACGAAGTGCTCTCTAACTGACCTTAATTATGATTCTTGTTGCATTGTCACCTGTTGCTGCCCTAAGTCCTTAACTTTTTTTGTTCGGCTAATTCTAAAAGCACTGTTGATCCTTTGCGATGCGTTTTTTTCCTCTCTCACCAGATATCGTGGATGTGATCTAAAGAGTTTGCCTTTTTTAACGTCAAACTGCAACCATGTACACAATCCTTACACTTTTTGCAACCTTAAAACCGATCATATCTCATTCTTTCTCTCCATAATTTTACCACGATTATTTGAACCAAATCGACTGCCCTATATAAAATTTCCCCTTTGTCTTTACAGGCTTTTGAGTTCTACAACAAGGCTCTTCGATGTTTGGCTGACAGGAAGAAAAGTCCAGAGGTCTGGGACACAGTCACGTGGGAGTTATCGGGCTCTTACTTTTCAATGGGGACCCTCCTACAAGATTTTGCACCCCTTTCCACTTATGCTCAAGAGCAGGTAACGGACCTTTATGACGGTACCAGTCAAGCGTCAGTTGACGCAGAAAAGGTCCGAAATCCAGTTTAGTGCAGTCCATGTGAGTCCAGAGCTCATTCAAAGTCTATGGGCCGGTTATTTGCACTTGCTTTAACCAAAACCGCAGTTTTACGCAAGCAGTGGGCCTTACGTATTCTTTGTAAGAGGGTTGTTTTAATTAAATAAATATCGCTCCACGGCTAGCTTTCGGCCCTTTAGAAACTGTTCACAAAAATAAATGTTCAGATAAAAGATTCAGCGAAATTCAAGATAATTTAGAACGCAGTTTTGTTATCAGTGATAAATTATGACTGGTCCATTAGAAGCTCTTCCTCGTGATCATCTCTCGCTGTTTCTCAAGAGAGATTAAAATTGTTTTCCTATTAGCGGCGATCTTTTCAGTTTGAGGACTTCTGTTTGTTATGTCCATTAGGTTGAACAGGAGGTAACTGAGCTGATGATGAAAGCACTCCGTCTGTGTGAACAAAGTGTCACTTTGAGTACGCCACACGTTAAACCCCGGTCTCTTTACCAGCTCTATCATCGGATAGCTTCAATTCACCATCGGCTGGCGTCTCTTTACCACAATTCTTATAGGAACCAGGTCAGATTGAGTAAAAAGTTACTCTGATTTTTGTCTGAGAAAGAGAAGGTTCTTAGCATGAATCTGGAGATGAATGATCCCGTCCCGTGGTGCATCATGAGTGTTTTGGGTCGTGAGCTTGTTTGTGTTTTTCCTTACGGTGATTAACTTGTTTAATGATAAATCGCTGACTGGGTGGCCGATTGAACGATGTTTTGGTCGCTCGATGAATTGAGAGGTTTGCCCATCGACCATACCAACGGATGGACAGACGGACTGATTGGCTGACTGATTTTCTGAATTACTGTTTGACTGGTTGGCTGATAGACTGGCTGACTGGTTGACTAACTTACTGATATACTGACTGAATGACTATTTGACTATTTGACTGACTTACTAACTGGATGGCTGGCTGGCTAGCTGGCCGACAGACTGGTTAACTGGTTTACTGACAGTTTGACAGACTGACAGACTGACAGACTGATTGTTTGACTGACAAACTGACTGTTTGACTGACTCAAACATTCGCCCTGAAGAAGGGCTAACGGTCGAAACGTCAACTTTGAAACCCTTTACGGTGACCAATTTACATTATCAATTCAGTCGATGAAACCAAGAATTATGTTATAATCCCCCACCAACGCAGCACCACAGTTTCTTTAGAACTTAACCCCTTTAAAGTTTGACCGACTGATTGTCTGACTGACCGTCCAGATAGACATGGAGAAGAGAGTCATGCGCTCTTTTAATGAATTCAATTGCATTCAACTATATTCATTAAAGTTTTTCTTTTCAAGGCTGTTGATCACTCAAAGAAGAAAGCGCGCTCTCTAGCGGAGTTACACTACAGCAAGGCTGTGGCGTATTTCGATGCCACCCGGTACCCCTGTGAGAGGATTCGAATTCATTTGGAGCAGGTCGCCATGTGTGAATATCACGTGACCACTTACGGTGGGTCTGCGGCAGCCATTCGTAGTTTACAGTCAGCTTTGGAGCATTTGTGCCAAACTAGGACAGCTTTAGAATATTTGGGAACATTAAAGGTTTCCGAAGAGAGTGAATGCAAGACTGCAAAGGGTGATGAAGGTTCCGAGTCACATGTAGTCGTTTGGGATGAGATAAGGACGCTAGTTCCGATTTTGGAATCGCGTCTCACAAGTGTTTTGAAAGAACTTGTGAAGGCTAACAGTACGCTGAAGAACAAAGGAAAGTCGAGCAGGGACTGGGGAGGACTGGAAATGGCCAAGCAGATGTACTCTGTTGCATTGCGGAGCAGCAGTAGCAGTGGGGTTGAGGATATTGTCAAAAAATGCCAGAGAATAGCTGAAACTCTAAAAAACCTCCAAGAAATTAAGAAGCAAACGCAGTGATGCCTCTGCTTCTCACAACTTTAGTAGAAAAGACCCCCCCTGAAGAGGGAGTCCCGTAAGACGTTTATGTGAGAGCCCCTCTACAGTCAAAATCCAGCCTAATTTTCCCCCTTCCTTCTTTCCTTCCTTCCTTCCTGTAAAGGGATCTTACATTTGATTAAATAGGTAGTTGATGTGGGAGTCGTTTGGTTCGGACAGACGGTGTGTGCCTCAGTTTCAATGTAAACTGTAGATTGTTATAAATTATTACCTTAGGTAGTCGGTCATCTGTAAAGCGTGCTGAGGTTATGTAGCTGCGTTGTCGAAGAATTTTTTTATTGTTAATATTATTGTAAATGAAACTTTTACAAGTATTCTTGTGAAAGCAAACTCGAACTGATAGCTCCTACCCCTTGCAGGTAAAATATTTTCATGGTAACAATAGCAACTTAACCAAAGCGCTATTGCATGTATGTTCAGTCAATTAATGTCCATTAATGTCCGCTCAACACTGTTGCTGAGGATGATGTAGCAGAGAATGTTACAAGGAAGCAAACATGGGATCATGGGATCTAAACAAAATTAAGTGAAAAGGGAAAGTCTTTGAAAACTAAGCGGTTCTGGTGAACAGGATAGAGGAGTGGATGGAATATTTGATATATCAAGGTAAAGATAATGCGTGTTTGCCTTTAAACAAACATGTTATGGAATAATATTCGTCCTTTTTTCCGCTAGATGTCACTAAGGTCTCAGGAAATTTATTTAGACGCGTCGTACTCTCGCAGCTAAGGCGAGAGTAAGTTTTACTCTCAAGATTTTTCTTGCTTAATAAAGATCCAAGATGATTGGTTCACAATCCCCAGAAGCTTGGAAAGGAACCATATTAGTTGAAGACTACGAAGAGTGCCTGCTATTTAAATCTTGTTCAGAGGTAATTGTATTCACAGACAAATGCGCGTACGAAATCTCCTCCCTGGAGGTGTGGGCGGAGAAACCACCACTCCCCGCACGCAAAAATTTTGGAGAGTGTGACCTCTGAGAAAGAGGGTGCATTCGTCGAATTTCTAGGGGAAGATTCCTGGATGGAAAAGTCAGCCTTGAGGGTCTTGTTTTAGAAGTAAAAGTATTACTTTGAAAATTCTCGTCAGAATATGGGAACATCAAAAAACAACAAAAGAGACCCCCTAAAGAAAGACTGGCCGCCGACCGACTGGAAACCCCCTGCCACTCTAATTTCTGCGTTAAATTAAGTTAGTCAAGGTTAGATAGCGTAAAAGGAAAATTAGTCGCACAGGGAAGCCAAACCGCGGTTTTTCTCCCGCCTTTAATTCAGGCCACCCACCTCATCTTCTCTTGATTGTCACAGCGTTAGGTCAGCATTGTGCCCACCCCTTTGAATTCTTAGCGGCCTTCTGCCCTGATATCCTTTGCTGTTGCATGAAACCGTCTAATTTATTATCTACGTGTCTTAAACTTCCCAAGTTATTGTTTTCTTTCGATGAATGGGATTCAAGTGACTTTTTTCCGGATGACAGAGTTCGAATAAGCAGCCGTGAAAAACTGGGAACGATACTGCTGACGGTGCTAATTTTTTCGCGCCAATGCCCGCGAATAGCAAGAGCATAGTACTCGACAAAATGCAACAAGTCGCTTTTTTTGAATCGCCAGTAGGTGCTTACGAGATCAAGGCCGACGATGATGGTATCACAAGCATTAATCTGAAAGGAGAAAAGCTAGAGGCAACCGAAGAAAACAAGAAACTGGACCCCAACAGTCGCTCCACTCGACACCTCCAGGAATGCATTGCTTGGATGAATGCATATTTCTCCAGTTCTCCTATGCAGAAAGTTAAGGTGCCGTCTCTGAACGTCCAAGAGTATGAAATTAGCAAGCCATTTTGCTGCAAAGTGTGGAAGATTCTTACGGATCGGGTGAAGCCAGGAGAGACAGTGACTTATGGAGAACTTGCCAATATGGCGGGCAATCCTAAGGGTGCAAGGGCTGTTGGAATGGCGATGAGGACCAATCCCATCCCTATTATCGTACCTTGCCACAGAGTTGTCAAAAGTGGAGGCGGTCTTGGAAATTATAGCTCATATAATGGCGTTGTCACTAAGAAATGGCTTCTTCAACACGAGAAGGCCATCATTTAACCTTTTAAACCCAAACACGAGTATATCTTTATTCTCCGTTCTGTTCACTATACGTTTTCTATGGTACTGACAAGGAGAATTCGTATAACAATCAAAGTTCCTTAGGTTGGCGATCATTTCCTCTATTCTCATGAACTTGATGAATGATTCAGCAATATTATTGTAAGGAGAAATTAGATTCTGGTTACTTTAAGGGGACATGGGGTTTATAACCTTTAGATATTTGATTATGTAGGAATTCCCATATATAAGGGCAACTGAAAGGTGTAAAGGAATTCACAAACCTGAGGCCTGTCTCTTGAAGGTCTGGGTAAATTAGCAGGCCCTTGAGGTTCTATTTTCATCAGAAACAGGGATTTTAAAAGTTTTGAAAATGATACTCTATAATTATCAGCTAGAAAATCAAAAGGGACTGGTAAGGATGCTAGAACTTGTTTCTCTTTTCCTGAAATTTTTTATTTGAAAATATGGCTTCAGGCCTGTTAAGTTACCATGACTTTCAAGAAAGGGGCCCCTGGTTCATCTTCATGTTGTGTTAATGTATAATCACTATTTCATGAAAGCCAGAAGTAGACGAGTCTTCAGCAATTAAATATGTAAAATGTCTCTAAGGCATGTTATGAATTGAGAATATGCGATAACATAGTTATATGTAACCTTCCAGTATGATATTATATACAATTTAAGTTTTGCATTTTTCACCATCTGCAAACTACAGCATGAATTATGCCCAAGATTTTGCTGGTTAGTATATGGGCATGTTGTCAAGACAAGCTACCCTAGTGTTTAGGTAACAGCAATATACTTAATAAAGTTTATTATGATTGAAGGAAACTAAATGCACCAAAGTTAGACACAAAAACCCAAAAAACCAGCAGGTGCAAAAACAGGAAGCATGTACTCCAACCAAGGCAGTGGTGCCACCCTTGGGGTTTTAGGGTATCCTTTGAATAACATGATATACACAGGTTGATAACGGTACAGCTGTGAGTAAAACCTGATGTGAAAATGACAATACTTCAGAAAAAGGAAAAACTAAGTAAGTTTAAATGAAAATGAAACTTAACACAGGGAAGGCTAAATGTAGAATGCCTTGCCTTACTAACAACCCCAACTTACAAACTATGGACCAAAAACTCTCATTGTACCTTGCACACTCCTCTAGTCCTCTGATATGTGCTGGGAAAATATTAATTTATGCTAATTAGGATTAACACAAATTACATCATTCACCTTCTTTGGCTAGGCTGTGTGAGGCTACCTGTTCCTTGAAATTAATCATTCTCACCCTGGCACTCTCATTTTTGTTTTTTTTGTTTTTTTTTTGTTCTTGGTTTTCTTGTTTTTCTTTTTGGTAAATGAGTGGGCTACTGCCTGTGGATCAAGCTGCATATATATGAACTGTCAATGGTGCACGACATGAAAGGTGCCGATTCAACTTGGAGTGACTTTCAACCCCTTCACCTCCCACCCCACCTGACAGTAACCATACACTTTGTGAAATATGTCTTCACATTTGATTTCTTTCTGAGATTTGGACTTTGTCACAGAAAAAAGCATCACAGAAAGTCAAAACATGCAAAATTTTGACAGTGTGCACATGCTATTTGTAATTTGCCCCCATTATACAACTGCACTTGTGTTGCATGAAAAATGCACTCATTTTCAACCAATCAGAAGCACATGATTTCTTTTTCATGTGTATTATTAGAGATTTAATAATCACATCTAGTTTTGATAACCAAAGAACACTGCAGATTACCACAATCTTAAATAAACCTGCATAGAAATGGATCAGACTAACCTAATGCTGCAGATGCCTCAGAATAAAGGAGTGATAGGCTTCCAGAGGTAGAGGACAAGCAAAAACAGTTACACACATCACTGCCTCCTTAAAAGGGATGTTCTTGACACTGCCCTTAAACAGGAGGAGAAATAAAAAGGGACACCCACAGAGGTAGCAAATAATTCTTTTATTTCTAACAGAAAGGGTTTCATCACAGGCAGTGATTGATTAGAGAACTTTAATGTTAAGGGCAAAACACCCTGCAACTTGTAGAAGATTGAGAAATGAGTTAAGCAAGACAAGCATCTGTCACCATTAATCTATGGTCACTATTCTATAATTTCTTGAGAAAGAACAATCTACATTGAAAATAAGAGCTGAACGCTAGATTTTAAGGGGTTGCAATTGAGCAATATCAGACTCAAAATTGTGTTAGCTTAGAAGCATGCCCTCATTATTGGCAGTGCAAGACCTGCATTTCTTTGCCCATGTGAAGATTGGGGACAAGTCTAAGAGAGATGTACCAAGGGTCTGGCACCAATAATCAGTGCCACACCCCTTGCAAACCTCTTCCCAGCTAACATTGCTCAAGAACTTGTATTTTTCCATAGGCAAAGAGACACTCACGAAGCACTAATGATAAGGATCTGCTCTTAAGCTAATAATAATTTGGCACATAACCTTGAGTTACTTGTTATTTTGAAATTCAGCATTAAACTGAAGATGGGGTATTAAATCTCTACAAACTCAAGAATCCAGTCCAGTAACCTCTTGCCAAAGGTGTAGTAAGGTTACTAAATTCACAAACATTTAAATCAAGCATAGGCATAGTAAGCCATTGACACCGATGATACCCAGTTAGTATTCAGCCATACATGGACATCCTTCCTGCATCAAATGTTCATTTTTCATGTTAAGATTACTGGTCCTTAGTGATGTAAGGCCATCCTCTTAACCCTTTGACCCCTAAGAGATTCCCAGAAGTTAATAACATCTAACTTCTCCTTACCATTCCAACAAGTTATCTTGTATACAGGTTATGAGAACAGAGAAGCTTATCAACCAGAGGGTGTTACTTTGGAATAAGACCAACTTCTCCTGTCTAATTTATAAGGAAAAGTATGGCAGTCATAGGAAGAATTATTCATTAGATCTTGGAGTTAAAGGGTTCAAATATTTACCATCCTATCATCTAACCTCATGTTATTTTAACAAATTAACAAGGTGCAATATACTGACACATTAACTGATCGACACAATTCTTTTTCTTGCTAATTTTAATTTAACACATATTAAAGATTAAGACTTAAATTTAAACACAATTTGTTTTTTCTAATGTCCTAGCTTGTATTTAATATCAAAAGTATTAACCCTTTAACTCCAATTAGTGATTAAGACAGAATTTCTCCTTACAATATCTGTACAATATCAGGCAGACAAGTGATGAGAATAAAGAATAAGTCTTAATTAGCTAATTGTTAGTTGATCCAATACCAAATTCTCAAAATTTGCATCTTTAGAACTGTACTTAAGACAGTTAAGATAAGTACTAGATAAAAATGGGATTTTGGGAGTGAAAGGGAACTTGAACTCAAGTTACCTTCATTAATTGTTTTGTTACTTTTCTTTGCCCAACAATTGACTCACTTTCAAGAAAGGGATGATGGTGATGAAAAACAAAACATTTTAAAGGGATGGCCTGATTTACATTCAAGTGTGCATTGTTCGTAAAAGCTGGGTATGTCCTTCGGGAGAAGATGATGCTTGAGGGCAAGTATAACATTCTTGTAATAACATTGTGATTAACTTCTCAGTTGTTCCAGGCAATTGGCAGGCATACCCTGTTCTCACTTAATTTCCTTTAGGCTGTTTTTCACTAAACCAAGTGCCTGAAACAGGCTCCTGGTTGAGAATTCTTCTGTATGGGTGTTTGACACTTCATAGGACATAAAAAAAGTTTGTAGCAGCGAAAAATGCCTGCCTTGAGTTACAACCTTTTAGTTTTCAACAGGTGTAGGTTGCGGCAAAATTACTTGCACAACATGACCTTTGGGAATTTTCGCCTCTCCTATTGTGGTCTTGTCAATCAACATTCGCCCTGCATAAAACCATCTCTGCTTGGATGGCTCAATCCCTTCCAGTTTTTGAAGCTTTCTCTTAATTTTAAGGACAGTGTCTGAAGTATATACAGTCATTTTAAGGTCCTTGCCAGTGGACAAGCGAAGTTTAATATACAGTTCTTCCCCTGTGGGCACTGAGTCATCATCTTCAACTTCTGCACTGGCCTCACCACTAACATCTTCATCTCTGATTAAATTTGTTGGCTTGCTCACACAATAAACTGGGAGGACATATCTGTTACCAAGTTCATCATATGCATCTTGCAATGATCCTTACAGATAACAAATTTAAAGTTAATGCATGGAGAACTAGGTAATCTTACTCACTTAAGCATCATACCCCAACCCACAACTTTCCTCAAATTTTGTTTAATGATAAAAGTATGAGGTTCTGAAAGCACTCTGGAATAACCTGACTTGTCATCAGTCTTCAAAAGTGCGAGACAGAGGAAGGGTCACACAGTGAATACCTTTTACTAACCAAATTTGAGGTCCAAACTGTAAGTTACAGACGGAGTTTTTCTGTTCCATAAATCTGAGCGGGGTTCCATAACTTACAGTACAAACCGCGAAAAAACAGTTCGTAAGATATTTCTTATATGTCTGAGTTCAAATGGAGGGGAAATTTTTCAATTCAAACAAACATTTAAATTGAGCAGGTCAGTGAAATACAGCCTGCTAAACTGACCCATCATGACCCATCATGACCCACATACTACCTGAGAGAGAAAATAAAGGGCAAAATGAGACAAGATGATCCTCTGCATTCCCAGCTCTCCCTAGACACTTCTAAACCTCTAATCCTGAACATCTGAATAGTGATTCTCCCTTTCTGTTGCTCAGTTTTCCTTCAAATCAATTACCAGAATTTGGTATTCCATATGGAATCCACCTTAAGCTGATTATCATGCCTACTCTCATTACCTGTTGGCTGAATTAATTGAAATGGGGGGGGGGGATGGAAACAATGAGCACTGCTGAATCACCTTTCAAATTTAACCTTGTGTTTACCTGCAATTACCACTACCCAAAATTTAAGTTTGTCGTGTAATATCCTGTTTTCTTATTTTCCTACAATAATAATTGCTACAACAGATAAATAAAATTTGTATGCTAGACAGGCATTCAGTTTATGAAAAAAATTGACAAAAGTAATTAGAATAACATTAATTGTGGTCTTGAAAAAATTTTTAGTTAACATCTTGATTGCTGAGAGCTGTGACACTCACAATTCATGAGCAACACAACTACTCAGCTAATACATTCAAATGAGCATCTGAAGATACATAAATGTCTATTGATTGTTCAGGAAAGGAAATATTCAATTTTCTTTGACATGATGGGGAAGTGTATTTCTAATGCACCTCCCTTAGGCAAGTGCAGCTTTCGAACCAACCGGCTGGTCAGGTGAGAGCAATTTCCGCTTCACTCACACGAACTCGATATGTTCAGCTACAATACGATCAACATAAACTCCCGCATAAATTAGAGTACATCTTGGTGTTTATGTCGAGTGATGTCTCTTGATATTATATTCAAGGCTACAGCTTGTTTGAGTTTCCATTACCATTTAAGTAAACAACTCAGCAATAGAACAGAGAACTAAATATAGTCTTTTGGAAGCGCGATCAGTTATCGAAACATGTTGAAAGTTGGCAATTGGACCATCTGCCGTATATACACAGTCTTTCATGATTCGCGAGTGCATTTTTAAGAACAGGATGCGAACCTACTGTCTTGCATCTTAACAACAACAAAAATAAGTATTGCACACGAACTTCAAATCCGTTTTTTGACGTGGTAAATCGCTATGGGTATATTAGATCAGCCGATTAGAGACGTTTAAAGACTCATAGGAATACCGACAAAATTTACAGAGAATTCTACTCGGACAAAAAAATTCATCGCTATGGTATTTCTTGCGTGACTTGAGCGATCGTTCGACATACATTTTTAGTTCCCTCGCCGTGCTCCAAATTAAGACAACTTCTCAGCGCTCACCTGTGGGAAGAGTAATGTTTGCTCCATCTACAATTGCTTGCGCCCAAGTATGATCGTCCGTTTCAGCAGCTGCTCTTAACGCATCCCAAATCTCCTTCCGCCCTTCAAAAGCAGGCGCAGTCTCCCAAAACTCCTCTCTTTTACTACGGAGTTGGCCTTCTGTAAGAGGAATTTCAGAAGTCCATGGCGGTCTCTCTTTCTTCAGTGGTTGATTGCGACCCAAAGTAACTGCAAAAAATAAAACAGTATCGATCAACTCAAAGCACTTTAGTTTTTTTTAGTCCCCGTTAATCGACAATAGAACTTGTCAAGACATTAAGCGAAGATAGAAACTAGTGCATTAACTACAGTACCTCCTGGCGTACTACCAAATTGATCGCTACCAGAGCTGACTCTTATGCTTGGATCTCGAGATGTTCCCATACAACCACCCATAGTTATGACTGATGAAGAGGGTTAACCAAAAAGAAATTACACTGCACCGCCAAAAAAGGGGTAACAGAGGTCGTTCTCCTCCATTACGTTGCAGATCTTTTCCCTCTGCTACCGTACGAAAAGTTCCTGCGAAATCAATTGATATTCGCTCGATACGTGACGTCAGAGGTAAACAGAAGTGGACATGCGCGCTTGTATTAACATTTTCTCATTTTCCCATTTGTTCAATTTATTGCATTTCAGTATTTCAGTAAGTAATTGCCGAGTGACCCCGGTTCACTTCAGCTCTTATGTAAATGGCACTGAAATTTTATCCGGACTCATGCATCTTTCATTTTATCTTGAAGCTTTCCCCGATTTTTTCCAACCCCTAATCATTTTGCTGTTCTTCAATGTGTGTTTACCACAAATTTCAGCCATCAATCCCCCTGATCTCTTTACTTACAAAAATTTACATTCCCTGACCAAATTAATGCAAAGCTTAACACACATCCTTGCCAAATCTCAGTTGTGTATACCATACCATAGAAACTTAGAAAATGAGAAAATTGCTTTCTTCACTTACAATGGGATAAAAGTGGCCACAAAAGCTTTCTTCGGCCTTCAATGACATAGCGAGTGACCTTAAATTTTAAATCATTTTTCTGTCTTTGAATCAAAAATCTAATTTGTTTTTTCAAAATATAATTCTTTCCATTTTCCTCTTAATATGATACAAAAGAGACCCAGTATTCTGCTGTTACAGGTGTCTTAGAAATGGTAAAAGCAAACCTATTCATGACTAAAAAACTCTAAAAGCCACGTATAGTTTGCCAAGTTTAAAAAAAGAGTGTGCTGAGAAAAAAGTTTAGCCCTGAGGATTTCTTTTATTGCACTATGCATGAATTATGAAAGACTACAAACAGCTGTTTTGTTTATCAATTCTGTCCTGGATGGGAACAAAATTTTTCTCATGTCTTCAGTAAACAGACAATAACTAGAGCCAAAATGTGACACCAGTCTTCAATGCAAGAACTCAACCCATTCGTGACTAAGTTAAAGCAAAAAAAAAAGAAAGTAGCAGGAAATACTGTAGGTGGTAAAACAAAGAGGCCCTTCACAGGTTCTTGAACTGAGACAAACCCAAATCTTGAATCATCATCATGAACCACATGAAAAAAAGAGAATTTGAATGGTTTGAGTTTGTTTGAAAGTAACAGTAAGTTTTGGAACCCCCTTAAAAATCTTGTTGAAGAGAAAAGCATAGTATGCAACAAACAGGTTTAAAGCTAGAATGTTTTCCTCTCAATCACAAATTTCACTGAATGTTGTTCAGTAACTATCAGAATTTTTCATTAGCAAAAATTTTCTTCACTGAGTTCAACAATATTGAAAGCAGTATTAAATACCACTAACCAAAGATACATTATGATTACTGATCAAGAGCAATGTATAATTTTATGACAATAATTTTTAATCTAAGCAAGAAATTATAACTTGTTCAAGGGCAGACTGGAAGAATAGACTGCTAAATGTAATATAATTTCTTTTATTCAGGAGAATAGGTTTGATCATCTTTGTAAAAAATGTCAGACTATACATGAGTTTAGAATTAATGACAAGAAACAAAAAGAATCACAGATGAACCTGAAAAGTGAAACCCAAACACAAGAGCCTGCCAGTAGGTTACCCTCAAACTCCCAAGATCTGATTGTTAATTCTCCCCTCTAGCTATTGCACATTTCCTTGTAAATTGGTCACAAGAATTTGGGGTACAATCAAGGAAACAACTTAAACCTAATAAGTTTGAGTTTTCTCACAACCTGTTTGCAAGATGATGTATGGATATCATAGGGAAAAGTTACGAGTGAATCACTTCTGGGAGTTAAAGGGCTAAACAGACATCCTAATAGGTTTTATAGGCAGCTGTAGACAACAGGTTTCAATTAAAGCTGTTATTGAAACCTCTGCTTACCAAGTGTAACCCTAATAGCTATCATGTACCTTTTACCATTCTATAGTTGACAAAATGTAACATGTAGAGTTAATTGAAGAATGACAAATTTTCCAGCCTCTTAAAAAGTAGTTACTTAAAAGTTTTATTTTCATTGCAAGATTTCTATTCTATTGCAATATTCCTTTTTTTTCTAATTATACACCTTGCTTGTTCCCAGAAATTACCACTGTTTTTAGTTTCTTGACTTGTAATTTGCGACATTCCTGAGAAAAACTGCAAACAGGGTTCACAGGTAAGTAAAATGTTTGGGTAAAAAATTTATTCAAAGATAATTGAAATGGAGAATGGAAAATTCCAGAGAACAGAAACACCTTAAATTTGATAATTACTAAAATAAATAGTTTAAATATTATCAAAACCAGTCAGGTAAAGCCAAGGAAATGCAGGATCCCCATAAAATATGACACTGACTGAGAAATTCAAAAAAAATATAATCATCTCTTGCACTTTTCAGCACAATTTTTGAAAATAACTTTCTTCATATTCTGTAGGAAATAATGATTCTCACTACACAACTGGGAAAACAAACCCCACATTGAATTTTAGCCTTCTGAGGCACCTAGCTCTGTGCAAATTACACTTCAAACTTCTCTATCCTCATTAACCTGAGGTGGTGTACACCAGGATAAACCTATGACAGGAAGTTGGTTGTCACAACTTTGAACTTTACTCCTCAGAATGACTAACCAAAGTAATGGGCCTACTGTTAGTAGCACTTAGCCTCTGAGCTGGCCCTTTTTATTAATACTCCAGGATGTGCATTTCCCTGCTCATGGGAGGATTTGAGACGAGTTGGGAGTAGGGAGAGAGGTTAGTCTGGGGTCTGGCAATCATTATCAGTGCTACCCCCTGCAGATCTCTATCAGGGGTTGCCTTACACTATCTTGCAGTCAAGGAATTGCTCAAGCTGAAGCACTTACAATGAGGGCTTAATTCATGTTTGACTATTATGTAAGAGTGGACGTGCTGGAACTGAATACAGAATTATGCGATGAATCATTCAAAGATTCAGCAGCAAAAGTGAAACGTCTGTTTGGTCCTGATTGCAGAGAAGTCTCATGAAGTCTGTCAGCTGAGTACTTGGACTGAAGTTCCAAAGATCCCACACTAAATGGACGTGGTTTCTTCTCCGAATGTGATGCAGTCTCTGACTTATTATTCAGTTCTTCACTTTCACTTTTTTTGGAGTCCAAAGATGGTTTCACAGGTTTGGTTCTCAAGCCTGTAGAACTTAAGTAAGGTGACACAACAAACGAAATGAGATGTTCAAGTTTTCTGTAGTTTCTGCTAGTTTGGTCATCATGAACACCCTAGTAGACAAATAGACTTATCGTTATGGAATGAAAAATATATTTAAAAAAATGTTACATTTATAAGCTACAACCTTTATCAAAATTCTTGAAAAAAGTCCCCCTTGTCAATGTTGGTAGAAAATTGGGTATCATTGAAATAGAGGCAGGGTGATTGAAAGAAACATGAAGTAGTTAAATGAAATATATGATATTTTAACCTGCAGATGCAATACAAGTTAAGAGCTTATCTTCACAGAAGAGGTTAAAAAAAAGAATTGAAAAAAGAAAAGCTTTGATGGGATTTGAACCCATGTTTCCCAAATACTAGAGTAGTAGATTTTATAAAATTGATTTTGAGTTGAATGTCACTTTGCATAACTTAAAAACCTTTATACCTTAGCTGCAACAGCATATTGTCACAAGCCACGTTACTTATTGCCCTGTGACATTCTGTTTGATAATCATATCAGATATATCTGTCATGAAGGAAATCAGGACACTTGGCAAAACTATCATCAGCACAGAAGCATGGGCTAGTTATACTCATTGTCAGTTAATTTCATATTGCTAAAGAAATAACACTTTGAAATTGGAAATATTTCCAGAAATTTGCAGGTAAAAGACTCTCCCCCTTACTGCATAAAATGTCTGTAACTTTTCAAAAGTATGATTTCTTATTCTAAACTGAAACAAAAGCTGACAAATTATCAGGTGCTCCACCTGTTAACCCTTAAACTCCCAAGTTCTGACTGTTAACTCTCCCCACTACTTTCTGCAAGTTTCCCTGTAAATAAGTTACCAGCATTTGGTGTTAGATCAAGATAACAACTCTTACCCAAGAAGTTTGAGTACTGTCATTACATTCTTGCTGAATAATGTTTGGATTTCATAAGGAGAGGTTATATCAGAAGTTAATCACTTCTGGGAGTTAAGGGATTAACCCTCCAACATTAGAGAGACTGGCAGAAACCTCACAAAAAGACTGACTGCGACAAGAAATGGTGATGTCAACAAAAACATTGCTGAACATTATGAACTTAAGAACCACACTATTGACTGGGACTATGTTCAATGCCTAACCTACATTAGTATACAATATTAATACTAGCATTAATACTTTAATATTTGAACTAATGAATCACATCACAGCTAACCTGATCAATCAGTTTACAATACATGACTGACAACAACTACTGTACACATTTAACTCTGATGAAGGTCGTTGGAACATCAGTCACCACTACCAACAACATTCCTTCTCAAAATCAAATGTAACCCCCTGGTTCAAACAATTTATAACACAATCATTGTTTGCTTGAGAAAATTTGGCTATAGTAGCCATAATAATAAAGTTAAAAAGGATCTGACAGTAATTACTAATGATATGACAGTAATTAATAATGATATGGCTGCCTTCTGTTGTTGTAATGTTCATGAATGTACCCTTGGGTATCATTGTGATTTTGATCAATGGCTATCGTTCTTCAAATAATTATTGAAAAGCAGCATACGACAAATTATAATTTTATACAAACCGGGTATTTCTACTTTCCCTTCTATTTGCCCAAATATAGGTCTCTCACCTGCAAAATCAACAGCATCTGTGCGACTTTTGGCGGAACAGTCAAGTCCATAACAAACGCTTCTTCCAATTTAGTTTTCAACACTACAACGTCGCGAAAGTTTAATAGAGCAATTGACCTAGTAGACTGAGCTTCACGGGACTGTATGTCTAAGAAAATTGCTTGAAGTAACGGCAATATCGTACAGAAGAAGTAAGTCCAACTATCTGCCAGCTTGTCCAACAGAACCTCGCCATTTTTGTCTTTGACGTCTTCGCGTAGAATGATCATTCCTTTAACAAGTGATTCTTTAAACCATTCACAAATCGTTGAGCCGCCGACTTCCTGTTTCACAGATTTAACCTTTTCCGTAAGACTGCTTAATTCTGATTTTGCTAACTTCTTTCGTTGAAATAGGGCAGTTACAGCATTTGATACAGTGTTCCAATCTTCATTCTTTCCGCCTGCAAAAGTAAACTTCTTATCGGTAATTTTCGGGCTTCTTGGTCGCTGCACTCCAACCATCGTTACTGAACCATCCTTTCTTAAGAATTCACCTAAATTTGACACCGGCGACCGCGCCATGAAGGTAAAATAGCGGTAACTTCATAAAATTTAGAAGTGATCAAGTGCTCCATGAAACGGGCTGAAAGCACAATTTGGGCACTAGTCTCTTTCGGACAACTCAGTCCGTTGAAGTTCCTAAGAGTGAGAACGATAAGGATTGTGTGACAAGCGTGACATGCTGGGACCAGGGATTTAGAAAACTGAAGGGAGTTGAGATAAATGAGAAGGGAAAGAGCCTGGAAAAAGTGTAAATTTTTAAGCGGTAATGGTAATTGCTCAGAAACAAAGTTATCGAACAATTTTTTAAATTTTCCTTGAATTTTCCTAACCAATTTCTGTTTCGGAAAATAGGATAAAAAAGATAGGTCACCACGCTTATTTAAGAGATGTTTTAGAAAACCTCTTTCCTTTTTAGATTTCAAGTAACAATTTCTCTCTTTCTCTCCCTCTTTTTGTATTTACGCGCGGCGCGCGTGATTTCACAGATAAGCCAATCACGTCAAAGAACTCTAACCTTGACATGGGAAAACTGACATGGACATTTTTCTTGTGCTTATTTAGTTTTAGTTGGTTTTGAGCTTTCGTTCGCGTAAATTTGTTCTGTTTGGAATTTGAAAAAGTTTCGGAATTTTTATTGCAGCCAAATCCTGTGGTTCATTTAACAAGTTTAGTGAATATTTTCTTCAGAATTTAGACTCTAGCCTTTTTTTCGTAAATAGATATTATGGGCCAAACTTACCCCATTCATGCCTGTTCCGGCACTTATTCGGCGCGTTATATATCGAATGGTAATAGGACCGAGTGGAGTCCAATTCGGTCCGTACTCGTGCGAGTGACTAACAAAACTGGACGACCGCGAAGTGGGAGTCCAATTTGTCAATGACACGTTGAGTATGATTACAGACAGAATTGAACGACAAGAAATCCTGTTACCAATTAATCATAACCGTTACAATTTCCGGAAACAAAAAATACATTTAGGTCAAATATCTCTGGTAGAGGCATTGTCTAAAGTAAAAGATTTCTCCATTTTTGGAAATTCCTCAATTTTTCTTGGATAAGTGGTTGTTGCTATGGTTACCGAAATTAAAAGCAAACATGATTAAACCTCAGAAACGACGATTCCATGTCATCGAAAGTGATTCGGACACAGACTGAGTAATCCCTTGAACTGTTTAGCCGGACTTTGAACTTTTTTGCGCCTTAAAGATGTGAAGATATCATTGCATATTATTGTTTTGATCGTACGCGGTTGTTTTGATCGAACGCACGGTTTAAATATATATATATATATATATATATATATATATATATATATATATATTATTAACCCGTAATCACATGATTTTTCTTGTGCAATTTGGAATAAATAAGCACCTGTTAATTTTTCAAAGACCACAAATTGCACTCGCCCTACGGGCTCGTACAATTTTGTTAGTCTTTAAAAAATGTACTCGTGCTTATTTATTTCAAATTGCACTCGAAATCATGTAATTACCTGTACAAATCGGGCTGGTGTTAACCAATCACGTTCGAGAATTTTGTTATAGTTTTGATCAATATATATATATATATGTATGTATGTATGTATTACATATATATATAATCTGTGGCAAAATTACGCACTGTTAAATGACATCGACTCAAAACGTATACCTCGAGTCGTTGCTTTTAAGGTCATAATTTGCATCCTCGAGAAACAGGCTTCGTGCACGCTTTTAGCCATATCTTTACCTGGCCATTGAAAAACAACACCGTGTTCTCGGAATGCGCGCGCTTGTTCGCCTGATTACGTGATTTTTATGCGCGGTACAGGATGCGCAGTGCACTACCGAGGATTCACTTTACTAATAGAGCGATCACCGTCTCCTCATAGATGGACACCCAAAGCTACAAGTTCTACTTCTTCGCAAAAATAAGCAACTAAATATAATGTTATTATTTCAGAAATTGATTTTGCAATAAGAAGCTTCAATAACTTTCCAAAGTGAGAATTAATTTCTTTTCCTTTCGAAATTAGGACTTCTTAAGAGTTCTAGACAGACAAAAAAAAAAAGGTAATGTTCTTGATTTTGATGGAAAAGTGCAACACAAAATGTAATGTATACAACTTGTAACATGTTAACCAGCTCTGAAATTAAGGAATGTAAGCTCTGAACATTACTCAGTCTGGAAGCTTGCCGAGGTGATTATGAGGAAACATCTTCTCGTCTGTGGTTACCACCACTAGTCGCGATACTGCCCTTGTAAACATGAGGTAATTACTGGCAAGTTCATCATTGAGCCAGGAAATTGCCACTACCACTCGCCATTCGTATGAATGAGCGTTGTGTCCAAAATCCAATACTACCGCATTTCTGTTACTGTTGTTTACATCACAAACTGGAATCCCCTTTTGTGTCATTAGACGAGACAAGTCTTCTCTGGGGAAGGATGAAGTGAAAAGAACAGCGACCTGATGTAGAAAGTCACTTTCTGTCCACCTTTTGACTTCGTCCTCTATGACATTTGCAATGAAATTAAAATCAGAGTTCTCAAACACTGAAACAGATGGTCCACAAACGTGATGGCCAAGATAGTTTGAGACATCGTATCTTTCAGCAAAAGAAACGAATAGTTCCTTTGTTTTTTGTTCAAAACGATCAAATTGAGGTTGGTTTAATCTCTGTGATAATCCGAGAAGGGACTTCTTTGCGAACGCTTGAACAAAGTTGTAAACCTCAAAGGTAGATCGCATTACCGTTTTCAAGCAAGGAGGGTGAAAAACGTTGAACTTTTTGCAGAGCTCCCGCGCTTTATTCTGAATTTCTGCTGCGCTGGACAGCCCTCCTGTTACATCCTGAGAAACAACGCCTTCATTCCTTTGCATGTAATCATAAGCAACCCAAAAATAACAATCTCGATCTGTGATTTGGGCCAGAAGTTTCTCCAACAGTTTTATCGTGTCTGGAATTTCGGCTTCGAAGGTCTGCATTTCATCAACAAAGAAGTGAAACTCTGCTAGATCATCTACGGAACCATTTTGAGCGTCGCTCGGGGAATTTCTTCCGGTACTGGTTGAAAAATCACTTCCGGAATCCCTTTCAGTATTGCTCACTAGATCACCTTCGAGATCTCTTCTTTGGAGAAGCTCGGAAAACTCAGGAGGGGAACAAACAGTCACTCTACTGGAAATGTTGTCGTCCATATTGTCCTCGAAAAACTCTCTGTAAAGATTAGTCAGTGAAGAGGGTGCCACGATAATCACCTTTTCTTTTTTCTTTTTAGCGCATTCTAAAGCTTTGAACTGAAGCAGAATTGTTTTTCCACAGCCAGATGAACCGTTGAAGAACTGTTTCCGTGGTCCATTCCAGATGCGCAACTGCTCGAGGTTCAGAAACAAAAATTTTGCTGTTAGGATATTCTGCCCCGGTTGATCAGCACTTTTCACGACCAATTCCGGCCCGATCCCACCCTGCTTAGCATACTTTTCATGGCTCTTTCGGAGAAAACTCTGCTTGTCAATCTTCTCATGAACATCCGACAGCGTTTTGGAGCTGACATTGCAATTCTGGCCAACCAAAATGGCTATTAGCTTTTGAAGTTGTTGCTTTTCGTCGCTGACAAATTCCATTGAAACAAAGTTACTTTGCCACCAGCTTGTGAAACTGCTTTTCGAGAGAATATCAATTCCTCGAAGACTGATACACTGCTGATTTCCTCGACCAGGTTCGCTTACGTTTGGCATGGCAATTACCTTATAGACAGGAATAGAAATTTCCTCACTATGATCAACATGCAAAAGGGCCCGAATTATTTGCTCACTAGTTTGAAGCTGTTTTCGTGCTTTCCCTTGAAGTGACTTAGAAAACTTTCTTGTTGATTTCACTTCGATGAGAATGACACCAATGTGATGATGCACAATCGCGAAGTCGATTTCGGCGTCCTTAAAGTTTACTTTCCCCAGATTAGCCTGACGATCAAGCGGCACCTTTTGGCGAATAACATTTGTGATGAACTTCGCAACTTTTACTTTCGGTACAACGAACATCGGTTGGTTAGTTTCATTCCCAAACTTTTCCAAAACGTAGAACAATTCGAGTTCGGCGCTATCTCCGTCAATATTCACTTTCTCGATTTCAGAAAGGGGAATTGCTCCTGAAGCCTCTCCCGTTGGAGCGATGTATTCGAAAGGAAATGCCGGTGGACACATGACAGTTTCATGATCTATAGCGTTAACATAGTCTGGGTAAATTCTACTGAAGTGATCTTCACAAGCTTTCAATAAATCAGGAGAATACTTGCCACCAGGCTCTTTGACTACCACGGGATGATCCATCGGTTTAAGTTTGGGAAGGCCTTACTTTATCCACATTAAGAGCAGAATGCTGGAAAAGAAATGAACGGTCAATTTCAGACACTTCCGTTTTCGCAGAAATTTCTGTTTCGATTTCGCTTGGGGACGTCCCCTTCTTCTTCCTGTTTTATGTCCTGTCGATGTTACGTTAGAAGGGGTGGGTTTGCATTTCCCTTACGTGATTCAGGGCAAATTCCAATCTCGAGCACAGGGTCATTTCGGCTCCTTGTCATTGTGGGATTCCGGTTTTAACTGCGCATGACTACATCGTTAAAAAATTCATGACGAGCTTTGCTCAAGAAAAAAATTCTCACCAGGGAAGCGTAAAATGATCCATAGGCTTGTCAAAGTAAAGCGAGAGGGCTCAATCAGCAAGTGAAAGCGAGATGTTTGGCTTCAAACGTGAAATTAATTAAAGTTAACAATGTAAACAGGCGCGAGGATCCGCGCGGCTTGCGCGTTAGGAGTGCTACGTAAATTTAGGACTCTTTTGCACAATTTTCTCCTTGGAAATAACTACGCATTCATGGCATGAATGGCAATTTTCATAATTGCAGAATGATTCAGTGACAAGAACGGCTTAGCTAAGCCGTAGTGTGTCATGGCATTTGAGGATAGCCTGGTTATGGTGCGTGACATTACTATCAAGTAACAGTTGTTGTACCCGGCATGTTTTGTCCGTGATCTACAGATTTATTGGTTTGTGACATAAAGAGAGATTATCTGTTCTGTCACGACAATACCAAAATTAAATTGTGTCAGCCAACTTGTATTTCACTCTGATCAGACCTTTGACTCTAAGTCAGCATGGAGGCCGGTGAGACGCTCGCTAAGGACCTTGTTTTCAAGAGAGATTTCGACTTCATTATGTTCTTAGGTAATTTGGAAATAGCCTATTTTAAATGTACTCTATTTGACAAAAGGTTTTTAAGTTGCCTTGCATCAGTAATAGATTACAGATGATGCCAAAAAAGAATGTGGCACATGAGGCACAGCTGATTTTGTCCTTGATGTTCTTATCACATTTTGGTATAAGAGATAAGAGACCCACTGCAGCATGAAATCTATTTGTTGCATAACAAACTGAGACAAAATGCTAATGGTGATTTCATCTATGTGTCAGTCCTCCAATAGATCATAGCTAAGAACCAATCAAAATGTATCTATAATTCAGTTTATCATACAAAGTAGAATGAACAGCACATTAATTAACAGACATTTCTGAAAGGTCAGATCAATCTCAAAACACAGTGCTTGACATAATTTTATATGTACTCATTTATGAAGGAGGTACAAAGTGCACAGTTTCTGGAGCGTACTTCTCCAGTAATATCTACTCTCTCTCACAGTTGGTATTAAAATTTTTTTTTTCGTTGTCAGGCCCAAGGAAAAGTTGCTGCCCTATGAGTAAAGACAAGTTACCAGACAACAAAGAGCTCAAGGAACCACATTTCAAGGGATTGCCAAATGACAAAAACAGTTTTGGTTCTAAAGACAAAAGCATGATTCCAAATGCAGACAGTAAGGAAAATGATAAGGGTAGCAGTTGCAATTCACTAGTTAAACCTGCTGTCAGTTCACCATTAGGTATTGATGGACATAACTGTTCAGTCCATGGAAGATGGAGGAAGAGCTACAACAAGGGATTGATAATGGAGGTATTGGTCAACTGCCAATTCCAAGTAGAGATACAAGAGTATCATTTAACGCTTGAAACGATTGGGTAGATATTTTGATAATACTTTTCTGGCGTCCATACAAAGGAGCTCTTTCAGTATAAAATATCATTTTAGTAAGTCCCAATCATCAGGTAAGCGCGGGAAATTATCCCGCGAAAATTCTGTGCGAAGGTACGAGTGTGTTCGGCGGTATCTGCGAAAAGGGGCCATCGTTCTTTCCTTAAGGTAAGGTCTTAACTGTGTATTACTTCGCGAGGAAGAAATTCTACTCGCTGGCCTGACCAATTTGGCTTTTAGGTAAGGTTATATGCCTGATAATTTCTGTCTAGAGCTATATAATGACGCGCGATAAATCTCGCTGCTTAATAACCTTTGAGCGGAAAATTATGATGCCCAAACTGTTTATTCAGCAAAGCAAGGTTTACCTTTACTTCTGTGCTTTCGAAGCAAGAGAAGGAATTATTTCTGTAGTGGTAAGATGACAGATGCTTAAAATCACATGGTGTATTATCCAACTGTTGAAACCTAACATGAGCAGGATGAACTAATTATGGAATGAACTCTGACATCACAGCTCGAATATTCCTTCCCTATAAGATGACGTGCTCTTGGCAGGTTAGTGTGTTTTCTAACTAATCCTATTGTACTATTTCGCAGTTTCGAAAGCAGAATCCTAAAGATGCTCTCGTTCTTTTGTTATTTCTTACCCACTCTCTCGGGTAATCAGTCTTTAATTACCTGACTTATCTCCGTGAGGTAAGAACCTTCATTTTTTAATTTTTTTTCCCGGTTTTGTCACCCGG